ATTACTGGCAAACTTTTACGTCTCCTAAATTATGGTCGTTTCAAAGGTTGGTATACACAGCAGCAGCAGACAGAAAGCAACATGTTGGCACCTGAAAACAAAAATTGGCATGGCGTCTAAAGCTATATGACGAAACTTTGTGCAAAACTTATGAAATGCATCTGAAAAGTTTTGTCGAAATATTGTGCTTGGCATTTGCTCAAAATACCAAACGATAAAATTAATCTACAAATGTCGACAACATGCGTAAATAACCATTGCTGCAAGCCATTCTCAGGCCATCGCCATTGAAATTGTATTTTAAAGCATGGCAAGTATGTAAAATAGAAATGCCAACTTTTAATATATGGATACCGATTATAGTTTGAGCAGATAATTTGCGATACGTTATAATCGCATTGTAAAGCAGACAATATCAACTTCAGATGTTGCTAAATGCTATGAATGCTAAAGTATTTGTGTGTGTGTGTGTGTGGATGTGTGTTTGTCAGCGGAGTTTGGGATATTTCAACGTCATCTGAACGGTGGTCTGATGGTTCATTGTTGTGAATATGTATAATACACTGTATATACCGAAGGAATACTCCGTTTCCCAGACGAAGAATTTTTGCCGCATAAAAAAAACACGAAAACGAATAAAAAAATCCATTGCGGCCGAAATTTCATTCGCACAGCTGCCAGCCAAGAGGGAAAAAGCGTTGAAGAAAGCCTGTGTGGAATGATTTAAGAGTGTCTCGGTGGCTTCTAATGACAGCCATCAAGAAAGGCGGCGCGTTGTTATAACAAACATACATGTATACAAATCCAAACAAAACAAATGTATTGCAAAATTTTGCGCACAATTCACAGACAATGTAATTTTTACAGATGGGACTGTGTGTGTGTGTGTTTGGGTGCGTATGCATCAGCATGTCAATGGATGAAAATATATCATTAAAATCGCTTCAAGCGTTTGAGGGCCATACTTTTGTGGTTTATTTGATTCGCTTGCCAATCTTTCATACATTACCTTACTTTTTATTCCCGGGCTGTTTTGGATGGAAAATTGTTTATTTTAAGTTTCATTGTGTTTCTCTTCCATTCAATGCCAAACTTTTGCCAATTTTTATTCATTGTTGAACTTTTATCCAAACGAACGAAAATGAAAACAAATGGAATCAATCTGATATTTATGTTATTTTCCACTCCGAATGATGTGTATTTTCTGCCATTCATGCATTGACGCCGTTCACTGATTCCATATCTCTCTCTTTCTCTCTCTCTCTCTCTCTCTCTCTCTCTCTCTCTCCCATTTGTTTAGTCTCAATGATGTCGTGATGAAATAGAAGAATGCGGAAATTGCTCCAAGTTAAGACGAATAATAATAATACTCTTTGTGTATACAATTCACTAACTTTCTTCAGTAAAATTTGTAATTATAGTCAGCATTAGCATTTACTTGGTGCTCGGTTTCTCGAGCTCTCCTGGCAAATATTTTTCAAGTTAAAGCAACTGAACGAAATGATTGGCGAACACTGGAAACGAAATATTTACACAATCTTCTTTTAAAGAAGTTTTCTCCCTCTCTCTGCTCTTTTTATTTCTAGGGTGCAAATCAAGGGAAAAAAAAACAAACAAAAATTCAAATGAGAAGATTACATTCTCTACTCTGTGTTGTGTACATCTTGATGAAAAGAGAAGAACATATTTTCGTTTCAAACAAGCATACGTTTACAAAGAGCGTATTCAGTAATTGTGATTAATTTATAGAACTTACAAAACGACGTACGCTTCTATACATGGAAAATGCGTCGGTAATATCGAACGAATCGGAGTACTTTGTGTTGTGTATGTAATGGAACAGACAAGTCGACTGCAAAGTACACACGCATGGTTTGAGGGTGAGAGAGAGATTTTCAGATGGAAGATATCTTTTTGGAATTACTTTTATCATCACTTTTTTTTGTGCACACGTCCTTTTCCATTTTAGTGACTATAATCTTGTAACACGCTTCGAATGAAAAGGCACGAAATAAATAACGCGTTTCATATGCACTTCGAAAAGCCCAAAAAGCGAATGGGTGTCAAATGCCATTGACTAAGAAAAAGATAGAAGAAGCTTTTTTTCCAGGGCAAAATTAAAAGCATTCCTTGCGGGATTACTATTCGAGCATACAAAGTGCTTGTGTTCATTCGTTATATAATGCATTAGCATTTGCCCTACAGAACATTCGATGATAGACGAACAATAAAGAAAAAGAAATGTGTAAAATCACTTCGGAAAAAAAGAGACAACGAAAATAATGTTTACGAAGGATTTATCGTGTTTCACAATAAATAGAGAACATATGGTGAAACAAATCACAATCTAAATGTTTGATAATGATCAAAAAACGGGCATAACAGCGTACAACAACTGTCATAACGATAAAACTTTGATATTTTAGAAAATTTGACATTAATTTCCCTTCACATTTTATGGTGCCACTGAAGCACACACACACACACACACATACAGCGAGCGAAAAAAAACTGTATATATCTTTTTGATTGTTACATTTCAGTAAAGTATGTTGTTAAAGGTTTCAAAGCCCAATAAATGAAATCATTTTCGGAATAAATCAATTTAATGGGTAAATTCACCACATGCGACCGAAAGACCGACCGGCTAAGCGATTTTCCACCCAAAAACTTTTTAAAATAACATACCTTTCGAGAATACAAACGGGGAAACGAAGAAAACGGAAAATAAATTGAGAATGTGAAATGGCAAAAAAAGGAAATATTGATAGAAATAAAATCGTATTAAAAAAAATATGTAAGAGCAATTGAGAAACTGAATAATGAGATTATATGGAATGAATTTGGTTCGGCCTTTTTTATTTGATTATTTATTAGCCAGCGGCTAGATCGAACGCATGTGGGAGAGCATTTGTAAACGATTCCAAAACATTCTCGTTAGGATATTTGCTTGGTTCGTTGCCATGCCACCTTTAATCGTCTTGTGACCTAGTCAAAACCAAATATTGCTGCTCGGTATTGCTTTTGATACGTTTTTTTTTCTTTCTGCCGACAAACACAACACCACACACACATCACCCATCATCTATTTTGGTTTTGCTACTGAAGAGCCGACCGACATATTGAAGCGGTTTGGTGGTTTGTTTCAAGAATGATAGATGTAAAGTGGTCACGATATTCGAATTGGCCCGTCATCATGGTCGTCGTCTTCGTCGTCGTCCTGGAATGATTAAAGCCTAATATCTAACCAAAAATGTTGCAAGCCACATTAAGTGGCCATTTTAGTGATATCCATTTCGGTTTACACCGAATCCAAAACCAAATGAGAGACGTCATGGCATGGGAAAATTGAGTTAAAATGGAACCCAATCCACGAAAATGACCCCAATAAAGATCATCAAATGAGCAAAATGTCTGCAACAATGCCAACTTACGACGACAACAACTAGCATGAAAATCGATAAGTGGAACCACTTAAATAAATGTAACACGTGAACCGTATATTGTATATGATATATACATATCAGACAACCAAAGGAGCACATGCAATGCTACTCTGATGAACCTTTGCCATGCACTATTGGATTTCAATTGTTTCCTTTCGATTCGCAATCAAAATGATTTTAGTGTTGCTTTGATTTCTTCAATTGAACGTTTTCCATAAGTAACAGCAGCAAAAATGGAGGAAAAAAATCGTATCCAAACAACGAACAGCGATTAAAATATTGAAAAAATATCTGGGATTCTAGGGCAAGAGTGGTTATATGCATTTTATTTGTTGATAAATTTAAAAAAGATAAATAAGTTTATTCGAGTTTGCCATGGAAACAATTAATTTTGGGCGTTGCGATGGGAAACGATTGCGATTTAACGCAAAGTCAGGCGGATGTTGTTGACTGAGGTAAATGAAGATAATGCGTCAAAATCGAAGATTGAATGTCTTTGGGATATATAGTATACACGTTATCTGGTCGATATGAGTCAAATGCAATACACATTCTTGTCGAAAAGTGGTCAAGTCGAATTTCATTAATCACCGCACCACACCACTGATAGATTCCTAGGGGGTAATGTAATACCAAAACGAAGTGCTTTCTTGGCATCCTCTCTCAATACACACACACACACACACTTTTTCTCTTTCGCTATCTATCCTGATTGCAGTGTCAACAGATGACTTTTCGAAATCTTCATTCGTTGGCACAAAATCACGATCACTTTATATTGTGCCATTGCTTTTGGGAAACGAAAATCCCTGTCGAGTAAAATAAGTGGCGTAATTTGTAAAATCTCGCTGTACCAAAAATAGAATGTCGCACGAATAAACTTCGACAAAGTTTTTCGAATGAGAGAAAGAGGGAGAAAAAAAGAAGAACGTGCTTTTTATTTTCTATGAATTTCTTCGCCCTGTTTTGAATTCTATATGGAAGGTTGGCCTATTGACGCGTTTAGATTTTTTATTTTCCTTTTTCTTTGGTATGTTTTGCAATTTTTGTGTTCTGCGCTTGTAAACACAAGCAATTCACACCAGATTATACATTCCCGGTGAATGAATAAACCACAACGGCACACATGAGCCAACGCTATAAAATCTTACAAATGAGAAATTATTGTGTAAATATGCTTGGGAGCTTGGCTTTCTCTCGGCGTTTGAGGCGATGGTAGGAGTTGGAAACCGCACAACAATAATTGTTTTATTGTATTACTGGTTATTTGCTTTACCATCATTACTAAATGAAACAATGATGAAGATCCAGTTTCATTGGATTTGGACGAGAGCAACTATTCAATTTTTGCCCCATAAACTTTCCATTTTAAATTGATATTGGAATTTCAAATCCGTGAATCAATTTTGTAGAAATAATAAATGAGAACTCGATCAATTGAATTGGGTGGCTCAAGAGTTGAGAATAAGTTCCATTCGATTGAGTTTTGCTAATAATTGATTTTCAGTTGAATTGACATCGATATACAACTTAAAATACAGTGACTACACTTACCACTTGAATAAACAGTGAGTTGAGTTCACTGGGGCTTTGGCCAAATCGATGATATCACTATCGACACGTTTTTTTTTTCATGAAATCGCGCAAATAATTTAATTTACATGATGCACATCGACAATGACCATTGTCAAATAAACACGTACGACATTTAGCAAGTCAACAAGTTGAATCCGGAATAGTTTTTGCATATCGTGTAAACAGCACCAAACCCCAGACACTATAATTAACTGTTCAAATAGTGTACGCTTCCATTGGAATTGTGATTTTCGGTTTGTTACAAATGTACACATATCAAATTTAGATTGTTTCCCATGCTTTAAATTTGATTAGCACACACACATATTCACACACGTCTATTCATTCAATTGAATTTTTCGAAGAGGATGAAAAAAATTTCGCGATCAAATTTTCTTATTACCAGTTTCATACACCGAAGACACCAAATAAAGTCTCACACCAAGTGCGCTGAAAATGGTTTTTTTTGTGTGTGCTCACAACCAGAAGAAAAAATTATTTTCGATTTATTGTACGCACAACAACAAGCTGCTACTTTGTTTGTCAATGCGAATGAATAAAATCAAACAAATATCGGCGATAAGCGATTTCTTCTCTCTCCCACTCTATTCCGTCGAATAAATTGGCGATTGCATATTCATTTGTTTGAACAACGGATTTAGTCAGGGCTCTGTGTTTGTTTTTACTCTGCCAGCGGCTTTGTATCGAAAATTAACACGATATAGCGTAATGAAACCAGCACGATACAACCAGAGAACCGCACAAAAAAAAAATCACTGCTGCGCCAAAATTCAACCACTCGAACTTATTTTAATGCAAAACTAAACAAAATTTGTAATGTTATTTCCAACGAAAATCAGTTCCGAGATCACCCAACAAAATCGCATGGGATGAAACAAAATGTTATTTCAACGAAATGTTTTTCCCACGCGGAAATTGAATATTTTTCTACGAAATTCTTCAGACTCCACAAAGCACGTTCATTTTCTTCTCGCAAAAAAAAACTCTCCTCGTTCAATGGGGTATTACACACGAAATGGAAGTAGCAGCAGCAATAATATCGGCCGCTTTGCTTGGCATGACGATGGTTCGAAGACTGAATGTTCTCGATCGGAATCGCTAAATTTTATCGTATAATTTTCCTGTGCGACGACGACGAGTCGAGAGAAATCGCTTGAATGGATCCGTTTCTCTCGTTCGCAATCGCGCTCTCGGCTCCTTTCCAGTTTGGAATGTCTGTTATCATTGAGCACACGAGTTGTCGGTGCCGTGTTTTTGAGCCGATGATGCAGTTGTGATTCGCACACACACCACGTGCTCCGCTCCATTGCGGTACATCGACACGTGCGGCAGCCGCAACGCTTCCTTTGTACGGTGACACACGCCAGTGGCCCAACAGTTGGATGTTGAATTGATTCTTCTCTTTTGCAAACACACTGTTTTTGTTTTACCAGCGTAAATATTTTAAAATTCGTACGAACGCTACGCTGTCGCCGACGACGGTATTCCAGTCGATGCCGCATCCAAATGGGAAGAAACCAACAGTAATACTCGATTTTGCACATTGTCTGGATTATACGATAATTCATTGTAACACTCAGTCGTTCCTCATAATAAAAACAGTTACCGATTCGCGTATCGCACATACCATATGCTTGCATTGGATGCAAGAGCACGAAAGAGAATGAGAGACAGAGAGGGACAAGAAATTTGTTTAATTTTCTACTTTTCGGTCGTGTTCTGCTTGACAAAGATTAACTTTAGCCTCAACACCGAATTCAAACGGATTTCCACTGTTGAACACATTAAAAATGGATTTTATGAACACGTGAATTTTTACCGATGATCATCCCCCATGTTTCCCGTGTTGAACAATGGTAAAACCCTTTTCGACTCAGAAAACGTTTCGTAACCAAATGGCAGGACACCATCCGATGATATATGTATGTATGGTTTGAAGCATAGTTGAGATTATGGTAATGATAAACACGCCGATTGCGCAGTTCTCTGCGTATTTTCGGTTAGCGCTTAATGATGTTAGCTAGTTAGACCTTTCATCGAAGTTATAACGAGCGTATTTGGTGCAGTTAACGTGATCCATCCCATTAACATTAGCTCACTTATCACATATATCCATGTTTTAAACGACAAACAACATAACCGTATGCATTGTTTACATTTGAAAGCTTAAGTGGTGCCAGTTCGTTTAAATTATAATAGTTTGCCGTGTGATAGTTATAGTGAATATGAGCCAAATCTTCCGCACTTCTCCATGTGAAACCATTTTCTATAAATTAAATTTTGAAAGATAAATATTGTAAGCTTTGCTATCGAAGGAGTGTAAGTAATTTTGATATGAACCAGAGTGAGCATATCTCTGATTCAATCCTCCTTCAACACCGTGAATAAACAATCACGCAACAGCAAGAATAAAAAATGTGCGATTGTAAACTTAAAGCGAATATTTGGATTGTGTTCGCGCATGAGTTTCCGTGCAAAGAGACCATCGTGTGTAAATCAAAGTTAACAAATCACTTGTGGTTTTGATTGTTGATAGTATTACAAAGGCTTAAGGTAAGTTTTATTTTCTTGATTTTTCGCCTAAATTGTTGAATTTCATTAGGAATGCGAAACTTTTCAGCCAGAAAAATTCACATTAATTCATTACCCGAGCGATGTGTGTGTGTGTGTGTGTGTGTGTGTGTGTGTGTGTGTGCGTTAATTTACGGCAGGAAATAAAATAAATTTCACATGTTCCATCACAAAACGGAGATCTATGTTGTGTTAGGCACGTAAGCGAAAATTTAATGTAAGCATGGGGATGTAATTCATTCGGAAACATCAATTTGAATTTAGTTACAGGTGTGGATGCCATTTCATCATCCATGTCATTTTCAATATATGCAAATATTTTGGGAATACGATGGCCTATGGCATGATGATAGCCACAAAATGGAATGAGCTGAAACCACATTAGCTTTCAAATGATGGCCATGGATTGAGCATTTCATCCATTTTCGTTGGCGATGTTGTCGTTGTTGATGGGACAGTCAATTGGATAAATGTGATGTTTGTCCTTCATCAGCAACGCAATGATCTGTGCCATTAGAACAACAACCGAACTGCACACCGAACCAAAGAAAAAATTGTGTGTTGTATATTTTTGATATGATGAAATGCAACGAGACGGGCATTAGTATCAATTTGGATTTGGCAAACGATGGTAAAAGGAAAGAGATGTTTGAATAAATGTGTATTTCACACGAAATGAAAATCCAACGAAATGAGGTTACTGAATGTATTTTTATATACTGTTCCACAGTAATGTAAGCATGAAAAGTTCGCGATGTGCATAAATAGAAAATGTGGAGCGGATAAATGATAACAGCAACAGCATGAAACTTCAACTAGATACATTTCTAAAGCAATGCGGTGAGAGTGTGCCAGAGTGAAAAGCAGCTGCAAAAACAGCAAACACTACAACATCATGACAAAATCATTTTATTTCACAAGAATATTAATATATATTCTCCATTGAAATATGCAAGGCCATTTGGTTAGATTTTGCTGTGAGCTGCATGGATTTTATAATGTATATCCCACTCTATTCCGCTGAGCTGCTTTCCATTCAATACATTTGATAACAAGAACAGTCAAGATTCAATGGCGGTTTTGATATTGTATTGTAAATCATATGAAAAATAGTTGGCTGAAGAAAAGCTCACGTCACACCACTTTTTTATGCATTGTTATGTATGCTCATCAATAGCAATAAACCGTGCATTGTTCTATTGTACTTCATCCGGAGTTTTTTTTTCTTTTTCGATGGAACATCTCCCGATCACTATACACAAAGTAAAAGCGTAAGAAGTAGAACGTAATAAAACGCACAGCTTGATTGATTGTGGAGTTGCATACGTTTTCCGTATCGCAAATAAGATCTGATTGGAATACATTGGCGTCATTACTAGCGGCAAAAACAATAGCAAGCACAGTAAATATGCTAACGTTCTTTCGTCGTATTCGCCAGATTACATCGATTGCAACAAGTTACCACACGCGCTCGACCTACAAAGGTCTTCGACGTGATACTCCGCGCATCAAATTGTTAAATTTTCTTTGTGCTGTCATTCGGCTAAAGTTGTTATGGTTCTTCCCTTGGCTTTACCGTTCATTGTTATCGCTCGCAAGCGCGTTCGGAATACGAACGTCTAAGCATAAATCTTTTTGGTGAAAATAGAATCGACTACAACGCACATCGCACTCTAATATCCATCATTCATTGACAATGACAAATACACCTCTATTGTATTGTATTGTGTGTACCTTGGCCGGGGCTCGTGATTCATTGGTCTTTTTTCGTAATCATTTTCATTATGTCTGTGTTTGCCGCTAGGATGTGAGGCTGGTGGATGAGAATAGGTATTGTTCTTCACGTTTCTCTTTAGTTCGAAATTACCATCAATTTCCAATACCGAAGTGTGTGTATGTGGTCGGACAAAACCTACCGCAACAACAACGTTCACACTCCCACACATGATCAAATTACACAATGAGACCGTGGCGGAAAATAGCTCCAAAACGGCAAATCGCCCATAATGAAAATGTAAATGAATTCGAACAAATGTAATACGAGCCCATAGATTTCATTAGGACGACTCTGTGTAATACGAGTGTTTTGCCTTGTATCAATAACGATGCCCTAAATAGAAACTCATTGAAAAATTGCCACATTTATAAAACGGCTTTCGATACATGGAAATATCTTTAACGAAACACTTTACATTGAACTCGTTTCCATTGTGATAAGTGCTTGAAACATATAGTAGAATTTCCACCAGTATTTCGGTATAAATGTGTTCAAATTATCTGTGTATGTGTGTGTGTGTGTGTGTCCGTCTTTGTGTAGAGCGATGAAAACTCAAACACTTGATTTCCCCTTCATTCGATCTGAGTGCGAATGATAGTAAAAAATATGTGGATTCATGTACAAGTAAATATTTTGTTTATTGGCATCTCATCGTACATAAATCGTTTGTTGTCTCCTGCGTGTGAGAAGAAAAAGGAGAGATAGTAGAAATTTGTTTCGATTTTTTCTTCTTTCTTGCAGATTAAGAGCACCTGAGACTCTCCGACTTAGTCGGTTGTTATGAATTCCATTGAATAATTCCGTTTGCCACATCATTAATGCCCAATTCATGGTAAACAAAAGAAGTGCTCGGTTTTATATCGATTTATGATGACAACGACGAAAAGAAATCAAATAAACCAAATATATTGTGTGGCTTATCCGCCAATAAGCATCCCATAAATCTTCCCATCGAATCCGTATCAAATAAATTTCAATTTTTCGCACTTCTTCCAAAGACGTATTAACATTCAGATGTGAGATTTGGAGAGAATAAGCAACAGTTCCAGTTTTTCTTGTTTCTCAACAATGTATGACGAGATCAATGAAATTGGGGGAATTTTTTTTCCGAGAAAAAATCTTTTCTTCCACGTACTTAAACTCTTTTTTTACATTCCATTTGACACAAAAGCAACAAAAGAGTGAGCATGTTCAATATACTGAAATAAATCTCAACTCAAAACGTTGCTGTACAAAATCATCATATTATACCAGTTTCTCCGAGAAGTGTTCATATATATGTAACTTAAACACAATATCGAAATGAATATGTAAAAAGTGTTTCGAGGCACTTGTAATTCGTTCGTCGATATTAGATGCTCGGCAACAAAATTCAGCCCACATCTAGAAAAAATCGATTTATTTTCGGTGAGATTTATTTCCAACTATTTTGCATGTAATTGCCATTCTGCCACAGTGTTTAGTGTGGCTATATGCCACGAACGTGCGCGCACATCCGTACACAAGGAGTTCGTCATATCGACGAAAATAACATTTTCAACATGCGAACAGCCGGCATTATAAATTTCACGATATATGTGTGTGTTTGTCTTTCGGCAATAACAACTTGAAAATTGGATACTATTTTTGTTTGCTAGCGTCTATAGTTTTGCTGGCTAATGACCAGATGTGCGCGCGTAAACACACAATGAGAACAAAAGGGACACTAACCATACACATTTCATTTGTTTCGCTGAAAATTGCCGGCACATCAAAAAACCAATGTATGTCGACACACAGACAACAACAACTCAACTAATTTATATATATTTAACTGATGGATGTGATTCTCTTGCTCGTTTTTTGAGCGGTTGTGCGTAAAATTATACTCGCTACTGAAAACTCAAACGAGCATTTTCCGTTCAGTTATATACTGGGCATAGACTTGCGAAAAAGCAATACCACGTTTATCTTCGCTATTTCAAAAAGTTGAAAAATTGTTCGAAAACAAATAAAAAAAAGCAGCAATCACAAAAACAACAAAAATGGATAAGGATTACACGGAACTATGCAGTGAACGCACGATTTTTTCGGAGCAACAAGGATTTTTTGGTGAAATGTTTGATGTTGTGAAAAATTGTTGCACGGAAAAGTGGTTAAACACAAAATTTGAAGCATTACCAACCGATGATGAAAAATTTCGTTTGTTATTTGACGAACCGAATGTGAGTGATATGTTGCTGGGCACATTGGAGCACGTAGCATCAGTTTATCGGAAAAAAGATTGTTCGTTCTCCTATCAAAGACGTAAAGAAGGCGAAAGATTACATCAGAAAAATGACTTGGATAATGCATTAACACTTTTGACATTTGCCGTACTCCGTGCTCCAGCCAAAGGTAAAGAAGCGAACAAAATCTTGAGTTGGTGTGTGTATGTGTATGAAAACATTGAGCCAAATAAAATCGGAAAATAAAATCAAGTGATTAGAATTTCAAAGGGCAAATCGTGAGCGTTAACTTAAAATGAATTTTTTCCCCATTTCATAGGTGTTGACATACGATACGATGCTGGATTATCGCTAGCATTGGCATTGTGGTCTCGATCTGCTGTTTTACTTGACCTAAATCGCGGAAGTGATGCATTAGTCGACATACAGAGCGCTATTGATAATGGGTTGGATGATGTGAAAAAGCAGCTTGAATACTATGTGCGTCTAGCTAGGGCAAATGCGAGTAAGTGCACGACCAACTAATTTATATGCAACGACATTCACTACACATTCGATTTCTGTGTCATTTCGATGGGATTCCAATGGGTTCATCGAATGCAGTCACTTTTTGTCTGTCATTGAATAACGCATTCAGCTCTGATGATAAACCGAGATAAACACACATGCAATGCATTCGGATGTCAAAGTTTTACCAATCATTTCGCTTTTGTATTTGGATTTGTATTTTTAGTGATCGGAAACGAGGGTAAAACGAAAATTTGTTTGAATCTGGTGAAAAATTTCTGTGGCGCCGGATCACACTATGACGCAATCGAACATCAAATTAAGCAAATCAAACCCAGTCCGACGATTGAAAAAATCGAAGGTAAAAATATCTCTAATTGAATCGATTTTAATCGTTTTAATGTATTAATTAAACGTTTCGTTTAAATTTAGTACCACGTCTCAGTGACGGAGAACATGCAACGCTGAAATATACAACAAACAAACTTGAAATCCGATCGGCGCCAGAGTGTGGAAATTTTGCAGTTGCCAGCAAACCGATGAAAACCGGTGAAGCGATAGTTGTTGAAAAGCCGATTGCGGCATGTTTGTTGCCAAAATATTTTGGGTCTCACTGTTTGCACTGTTTGAGACGGTATGCCTAACACATTAAATCAAATTTCAAATGCTTCCCCCCCTATCAAATCATATTAATTTGAGTTAACGTTACATGTAAAACTCGAAAAACAGAATCGAGGTGGCTTATGGCTGTCCAAATTGTGCGGGCGTTGCATTTTGCTCGATTGATTGCCAAAAGAAAGCTTGCTCCACATATCATGCATATGAATGTAAATTTATGGACATGATGATTGGTTCGGGAATGTCGATTTTATGTTTCATTGCACTTCGCATGATAACGCAGCATGCTTCAGTTCAAGTGGCCATTGAGAAAGGTCGCCAGGTTACACAACTACTGTGCACCCATTCCAACCAACGTAAAGCAACCGATTATTTGCAACGAACAGTGATGTCGGCATTTCTATTGCGAGTCATGCAAAAGAGCGGCTTCTTTGGACGTCGCACTTCGGAATCGGGTAACTATCATAACATGACAAGCTGGGCTATGAATTGGTTGGTTAATAAATGTATTTCGTTTAATTTTCCCATTCAAAAAGCATATCCGAACAGTGAACCGGAATTTGAAATTGGTGGAATCCTGATTGGTTTACTGCAGGCATTACAATTTAATGCACATGAAATTTACGAAACGAAAGCATTCGGAAGTCAACAAAATGTCGGTGGGAAAAAGACGATTTACGTCGGTGCAGCTATTTATAATTCAGCGGTTTATTTCAACCACAGTTGTTATCCGGATGTTATACGACATTTTGTCGGTACATCGATTGTACTCAGTGCATCGCATCCAATGCAACCAGGTGAAACGATTTCGGAAAATTATGGACCCATTTTTACAAGGCAAACGTTAGCCGTGCGTCAGAGAAATTTAAAATCACGCTATTGGTTCCAGTGCGCGTGCATTGCTTGCAAAGAAAATTGGCCAATTCTGGACAAAATCACAAATAAAGCACGGTTGCGGTAAGCAACTACGGGCGACAACTTTAAATGACATTGAAAACTTTACCTTAATTTTCAGATGCCAAAACTCGGAGTGTACTCACTTGTTTAATTATCCCGAACGAGCGAAGAAGAGTGTCAAGTGTCCACAGTGCAAGGGTATGACCAATTTGGAAGTGCAGATTGCCACTCTCGCCACTGCTGAAGACCTGTACCGAACCGCTGCCGAGCACATGGATAGAGAACAGCTCAAAGAAGCGGCCAAGTTATTCTTTGATGGCATCAATATGTTTTACTCGGTCGCAACACCGCCACATCGTGACACTCACATTGCACAAGACTCGTTGCGAGTTTGTCTATCGAATATTGGTCACATTTAAAAGTATATACATAGTATTTTTGTAGCTAGAAATTGGAATAGGGTGGAATAAATACAATGGCAGGCAAAAATGTCAATATTATCGGTGGTTTTATTGAAATTGAACAACCTTTATCTGGGACACTGGGAAAAAAATTATTGCTCAATTCCCCGAATTGCGATTGAAAATAAACTTGAGAGAAAAATATTCAATGTATCGATAGATTGATGGGGGAATTCGATAGAATGTTCCAACCAAATATTTGTTATTTGACCTGACTTAAACCGATTTAATATCACTAATTAAAATATACAAACCATATTATTTGGCTAGATTTTCCAATGGTCACTGATCATGGTCAATTTGATGATACATTTTTTGAAAGTTCAAGTTTCTCATTTTTCCTTTATTCAGCACACAAATTGGCTTTGAAATATTGAAAAACACATCGTTGATGTTCGTAAAAAGTGGTATTTTACCACAAATTACTGGTTATCAATATTGAATTCAAATTTCATATACTGGCGCCCAATAAAAAAAGAGAACAAATACAAAATTGAATATATTGATTGAATAATTTAAGCGTACGCATCAAAATTCCATGCTCAATATTTCAATATAAAAGGCAATTCTCCACAATATTTTATGCTTAGTCTGCCTTCTTTGTGTGGTATAGAAAGAGTAATTTAACAATGAAATCGGTTGATTTTATTAAATTGCCCCTATTCGTAGTCGCCATTAAGGGACTGGAGGTGAAAACAAGTTATAATGGTGAAAAGGCATATTATATAGTTGCAAATTGGCTTTTGCCATTGGGTCTTCTGAATACAATGCTAAATGGATACGGTCAATACGCGGTGATGATGGAAAAGATAAACGACGGTGCAGGATTATCAGTGTACGGTCGCCATGTTTACCCATTTTTTTACATAATATCTTTGGTGACGAAATTATTTACGCTACTGTACAAACGGCGTCAACTCAACAAATTATTACTGACTCTGGATGATGTTATGCCGCGCACGGGAAAAGATCAAAAGGAATATCGCCTCGATGCATTTTACAATCATATAACGACATTAACGCGTACATGCGCCATCATTGCAGTGTTTGCGATCAATTATGCAAGTTTCAGTCCAACCGTTGTGGCCTATTATAAATCAAAAACCAATGGAAAAGATTTTGAAATGCAATACCCATACGAATCTTATTCAATTTATCCAACACAACGGATTTTCTTTCCGATTTTCTTCTTTTCACAAGTGTGGGAGTCGGCCATCAATATTGGGGCAATCAATGCCATCAATTTCATGATCTATGGCATTATTGTTTTGATTGATATGCATTATAAGCATTTGGCAAAGAAAATCATCTCTTTTAATAGCAGTGAATTAATGGTGGTTCGTGATGACCACAAAGATTATGAGCATTTGATTTGGTGCGTGACAAAACATAATCAATTGGATGGGTGAGTGAGCATGAGCAGTGATTTGATTCATTTATATAATATTGACAGTAATTCTAATGTGCTTTTAATTCCACACAATAGATTTATTTATCAGCTCAACGATATTTTCTCAATCGCCAGTTTGGTCAATTTATGCTGCAGCACTTCCATCATGGTTTTATTCTGTTTCATGGGCACAAATGTGGCGTCCACAAATGATTTTATCCAGTACTTAATGAATGCTTTTTCGTCCATTGTCGATTTATGGGTCATGTGCTGGTTTAGCCAAAAGATTAGGAATAGCGTAAGCCCAAAATATGCAACTCTAATCTCGTTCTTATGGTTTTTTGTCTCGTTTTAGAGCTCATTTATTCCGCAAAGTGGTTACGAGAGTATTTGGTATACGAGAAGCACAGGCTATCAAAAGGGAATCGTTATGATGGTCCGAAATAATCAACGAAATTTGCATTTAGAAGCTTTTAAATTTGCAGATCTTTCGATGGAACGATTTTTAAGCGTAAGATGATTGAGCTTTAACTGATGACAGTGCTACTTTTAAATCGAAGATTTTATTTCATCGTTATAAATTAATTTCCACAGGTTATTCAGCTTTCTTATCGAATTCTGGCTTTACTTAATAATGTTGAGGAATAAAAGTGAATTTGAAATGGCTATAATTGAATTTTGGGCGGAAGAGCTGTATATTGTGAGCATGTGCAATATTTTATTCATATCCAAAGCAAACAAATCTCTTATATCACACGATTATAATCAAGAATGTAGACTCTCTGCAGCACCGTTGATTAGTGACGGCGAAATCACCTGTAAATAGCTGGAAGTAATTTCGACAAATTACGAAATACTGCATAATAACTCCGATTAGTACTGAATTTGGTCGTCATAGATCGACGACGCTGCAGAATGTCTTGACACGAATTTTCTTTGGGAATATAAGCGTGTGCCTTACATAGATGAAGTGTTATTGATTATTATCTCGAACAGATGTTGGCACCTAAGCAATTGTGTGTGTATATATTTTCAAAAAAAAGATACTACAAAATAATTTCTGCATTTTGACTTCAGGGTCGACGGTTTTGGTGATCACGAACACCACCCTATTTTATAGTTGTAATGTACCTTGATAATAATAAATGTAATCTTATCTTTATATTTTGAAGCTGTTTGTTGATTAGAACTCAATGCGTTAAACCAGTTTTCTGTGTATGTATTTCAAATTGAATTTCATTCTTCTAAGTGAACCAAATCGCTGGGGAAAGTATTTCGGGTCATTCTGGATACCTACAACAAATGATTTGATTATCGCTGAACACTTTTTAATTTGAGAATCACAATATTTTATCTTTACCATAGATTGGGAATAAAACTGTGTCGCTGAGCATAAAAATGGGAATACAGATCTGTTATATCAAGAACCGAACATGAAAAATTATTTCGTTAAAACGCAACATGAATCTCCAGTCAGCATGAATGTAACATGAGCTGCGGTTGCTACAGTATTCTTATGATGCGCTTCAGTGTGGCGCAAATTCATGTTGCGTTTTTACGAAATAATTTTTCATGTTACGTTCTTTCGCATATTGCTTCTTTGTTATATTTTTTCGATTGTTCTGTTCATGTTGCATTTTTCAGTTTGATTTCATTCATTCATTTACCAAAGTGAATTCGATGTGCCGATAACACCAATGGAATTTTTACACAAAATACTATATTAGAATAAAAAAAATGTGGTCAACTTATTTTCGATTTTCGGCTGTGTTGCGACCGTCTACATGGGAAGTTTCTATGAAAACGTCGGAGTGTCGGTGAAATAACATTGATTCACATGGTAAAATGTGCACATGGCCGAATTTCAAGTATTGAGCAAGCATAATCAATAAAACTCATCATTTGTACAATTGGCGACTCCGAATATTTCAATTTAACACATTGGTTTCTGAAAAAGTAGAGAATATTTGCATAAATGGTTAAAAATATCAAGTTCTTCCGAATAATTGTATCAGGAGTTCAAAATTGTCAGCATTACAGAGAGAAAACATAATCGAGCTCTGCTTATTGTACAGCATCACTATAAACGAACGGAGTATCTAAAACCATAGCGCATGGAAAATACATTGATAAAATACGGCAACCAAACAAACATTGCAAAACTTCAACGCATCTGAGAGTTTGAGAGAATCTGTGCTGTTTTCACTACAGCAAATATTCATAACACGCTGACAACGACTGTGGTTCTCCGAAGTCGAAGCTGCAATCAATGTTGAAGTCATTGTCAATATGTTTTTCTCTCCGTTAAAATTTAACTACAAATTTAGAACTAACTTACGGTTCATCAGGAAATGCTTGGTACTTTTTTGTAGCAAATTCCTTTGCTGGGATGTTTCCTTCGATATTACCGAGAAAAAAAACTTTGCTTTTACATATTTGATATTTCGTCTTTCGAAGAAATCATAGTTTTTTGTCGCCCAATTATAAATTGCATACGATATCAAAACGGCCAATAGTAGTAATTCAACAAGCATTTTGATCTTAAACAATGTGACAATCAAACTAATTCAATAAATTATTATTTAACTGCAATTGTATTCATTTTCGATGAAACAAAATTCATAGATTTTATATCAACACAAATCTTTATCATTTTTAAACCCTATCTACAATGTTATGCCACTGGGTATAACCTATGAGTTTTAGCTCATCTATGATTCTAACAGCCGTTTTGGAAGACAAATATAACAGATCTTCTTTGACGATCAACCTTCCATCGACCACGAAGTTGTAGTCCATATAAGTTTTTGGGAATCATTTAAACTATAAAAATGAAAACCATATTCCATTGAACCTATTGAAAATACGTTCAATTTTGGGATCGGAATTTATTTATGTTTTTATTAAAAACTCCAAACAGGAATAATTCCAATTCAAAAACAAATATAAATACTCACTTCAATGTTCTTTCTCTGTTAATTTATCACGACGTTAGATGTTCAATGTTTGGAAGGTCAACTCGAACTGACTTTATTTATACCATGTGTTGCAAATTTGAACGAAATCAGTAAGCGGCATTTGCTATATATACTTAATCGCAGAGAGCAATCAGTGTTGATTCATCATACTTGAATAAATGCACGGACAACCAATTTGTGCGATGATTTGATGTTTTTTAACTGATGTTTTCATAGCAGTTGTTCTGTAATTGACTATTTCATTGAACAAAGCGTAAAACACACATAATGTTATCATCAGTATCATCACATTCGGATTCAAAATTTACACCTTAGTCTGAATTGCATTCGTATTCAATCCTTGAAAGCTCCGAACAAACTGATATCACTCGCCGTATTTTTATCAACTTTTAAATCATTAATTTATATTTGATAAAACTAAAATGGAAACAATTGTCGCAAAATTTGGACGTTGTCATCGTCCTTAACCAATAATAGAAATAGTATCGAAAATGAATCGAACTTTTTGGTTAAAAACAATTTCAAATATAATAAGGAATTTGCACCACATACATAAAGTGTACCGTAAAAATATCTATTTCGTTGTAAGTAACGAAACCGCTTGTTTTACGTAAAAAATGCTGGAAATGCCTAAAACCTCAAGAGTAAACCATAGAAAAAAATATTAAATGACGTCCAACGGTCGATTTCAAATTGAACGTTTCACTGGAATAAACATATTGGAATATGCAATTCAATGTCATTGGAAATCACAATAACAACATGACTTTGACGTTTCATCAAAACATACCTCAACAATACATACCTAACCTCAATTTATTCGCAACAGATGTAAACATTTGTGTTAGACGTAAAATAATGTTAAGTGCGCTGAAAAATCTCCTATTGAGTTTATTACGAATTTTTCTGTTTTAAAACTTGAGCAAAATGATAAAACGACCCAAGGCCACCGACACAGAGGATGATGTTTTGCGAATGCAAAATGATTTCCTGAGTGAACAAAAAAAGAGTACGGATTTTCAACCGGCTGCGAAATTAGTTAAAATTGAACCAAGTGAGTAGTGCTGATTGTTTCGAAAAAAATTCCATCGTTCATTGAACGGCATTGCAATTAATTTTGTTCTGATTTAATGTGAATGTAGCCAAGAAGTTGTCAAAATTTGCACAACAACGAGCAAAGCAGTCTAAAGCGTTGGAGAAAGAAAAAACCAGCACAGAAAGCGGTTTCACTTCGAGCAATATCATAATTGGGAATATCGTTGAGCGTAAGGAAGATGTTGACCCCGATCGAAATGTAGTTGAGAGTGTAACGTTTGACGATTCTGTGGGTTTTCCAAAGCCGCAGAGAATTGACAAAAAGGTATTGAATTTGAATTTATTGACAAAAAAGCATTTTTTGTGTTTATTAACACATATTGAATTTTTTGAAGGTTAAACTCGAATCAACGGAAACCAAAAGTATTTTCGCTCAACTTCATTCCAAACATATTGAACCGGGCCCGAGTTCATCGAAGCAATCGGAATCAAAAATGGATTTCGGACTGAAATCGCATATTGTTGAAAATGCTGATGCTGCGTCGATTCACAATGAAAATACCGAATATCTTCAGAAGTTGGGCGAGGCGCAGATTTTAGAGGAACGAAATCGTTTGCTTGGATCAATGGATCCATCGATTGTTCAATTTTTAAAGGAAAAACGTAAATCAAAGTTGTCAAAAGTGAGCGAGAATGCTAGCTGTGATGTTGAAATGAAAGAGGTCAAACCTCAGCCATTGCCAGATATTGATTTACTTAAAGATGAAAACAGTAAGAATTGGTTGCATTTTGATGTGATCGAACCAGCCAAATTGGAATGGATGCGTGATTTGCCGAAAAATATGCCAGATCTAAAACCAGGCGAACAATATGAAGCTCGTTTTGATTGGAAAGGTGTACTATTGCCATTCAAACCAAAAGAAGACGATACAACGGCTACATCCACTGAATTATATTTGCATGGTGACGATTCGCATCGCCCAGGTTACACTTTGCAAGAGCTGTTCCGATTGGCTCGATCGACAGTTGTTCAGCAACGTATTTCTGCTCTTCGATCCGTTGGCGGCATTCTAAGCATTTACAATCAGGGATATTACGATGGTATTTTTGAGCTACCAATTTCGAAAGTATTCTTTCTGTTGCGATACGCCTTTGACGATAACACACCGGCTATGCTGGAAGAATCGGCCAAAGCCCTTTCAGCGTTGTTTTATAATGAAACGGATGAGGTATTTTCATTTTCTTCTCCTTTTTATTCGGTTTTTTTTTAAATTTGTTAAATTAAAACTAAAACTAGAAAAATTCGTGTCTATTCAGGTGTTGCTGGACATGACACACGACTGTTCATTCGATGGACTGGAACCAACACTGGAAATCAAATCGGATGAAACATCAAACAGTGGCGCCGATTTGGAGGATCAATTTTCCAAAATGAACATTAAATCAAATGTGATGCAAACACATTTTAGCGATGACGACGATAAGTTGTCATCGATGAATGATTTTCACTTGGCCGAAATTGATTTAGTGAAGTGCTTCTTGCGTACAAACATTCTACAACGCATCACGTATTATCACGCATTTGTTGACGAATAAGAACTTGTTGAACTACTGAAATGTTTCTATTCTTTTAGTTATATTCTCACGACGCTAGAGCTTGACAACACCACAAATCTGAGCTGTGTAAAGATACTGATTCGCCTGGCTCGCACAAGTCGAGAAGTTGCTGACCAAATCTTGTCGCATTCGAACCTGATCAGCAGTTTGATGAAGCAATTCGACAAAAGTGGAGATCGTAAGACAATCATTTGCACTGCATTCAACCATCATAATTCTTTACCCATAATCATTTCTATGCTCGCTGAAAATAATGAATTGATATGATTCCAGAAACACAATCTCGAGTCCAAAAGGCAAACATTTTCACATTGAAACTGTTCCGAATTCTTTGTTCGTATGGAGAACGATTCATTTATCACTTGCACAGTCAAGGACTGCTATCGATTTTGAAGACTGCCATTTACGTTCAGGAGAACAGCATCACAGTGAGTGGATTTCCATTTTTCTCTTTCACACACATAAGGATGAAACGATTAATATTCACTCTCTTTAGGTGCAAACGGTTAAAATGCAAATTGAAGCGGTACGTTGCACTCGCACCATCGTTGTAACGACCAAATCCGATGCATTGATAGAGTGAGTATTTTGGTAACAAAATTTTTTATTGATAATGGTTGAATTATTCGGTTTTCTCTCTCAAATTTCTGATTCAGTGAGTTGATGCCAGCGCTTCGTTACACGCTGGAGTGGATTTTCCAATTTGTCGTATTCCAAGATGAGACTCATTTTCTATTTCGACAATGTGCATCGGCTCTAATTGCACTGTTCGCCTCCACCAATTCTATGCATAGTCTGTCGGATAGGCTCAGTCTTTGCTTTTCGAAATGGTTTTCAATGGCAACACAATATGGCAATCTAGAGGTAGGTCCGACGAAAGTTCAACGTCGATTATTAATTCAGTGTTATTCTAGTTTTATTCAATATCACAATTATATGCATCTTAATGATTTGAATGAAATTTGCATCTTCAAAATTTTCCAGCTCTCTCAAGTTGTACTGCTAGCGACTTGTCTGAATGCAATCAAAATTCCGGATGCATTCCGTGATTTTCTCACACCATATTTATCAAACTTTTTGTCATCATCATCGTATCAAACTATGTGCAAATTATTATCGTAAGTCAGAGTTATTTTCTGCTTTAGATTGTTTTTTTGTGGTAAATTCGTGTTATTTTCGATTATTCTGGCAATAATTCATGATATATTTTATCTAGAAATACATCTGGAATATTGTCATCGTATCGATTCCGTCAGCAGGATCATAAGCAACTGCCACATTTGCATTCAATTGTGTATAATACGCGAAATTCACCGGTGTTCATTGTATCGGATCGGCCAACCATTTACTTCATCAGCAGTTTGTTGCGATTCTACAACAACACCAAGTGCCCGGACAAAGGGATTTGGCTCAACGATGGCATTCGCAAATATGTGGAAAATTTTGCACAAAATACCGAATTCAAACTCTCACTCAATTGGTTTCTTCGACACGAGATTTTATTCGTATTGGATCTTTTGAAATCACCATTTTTGCAACAGAATCTTCATGAAACCATTCAACTTCGATTGGCCTACAAAGTTATCGTTTGTTTTACTGAAACACAAATCAACGATGTCCTATACATTTTTAGCCAATACATTTTCAACATTGATATGTATGCACAAAATATGAATTTAACGGTAGATACAATGAACAAACTGAAATCAACCTACGGACGAGTGTGTGCAGAAACTTATCTCAATAATGCCGACGAACTGGTAAATTCGACTATATTACTTCAATTTCGTTTCATTTAATTTCTTTAAAAATTCTATTTTACTATTTATTCCACTTGTGAATAGGCTAGTTCTGAGAATTTCGACCGAATCCCGTTGCTGTCGACAGACTGGCCTGGCATGTTACTTTTGAAACTATACCAAACACCCGATGACGGTGAGTTTTATGTTCAATACATTTCGAAAATTGTAAATGTTCTTACAATAATTTTCCTTACAGCTGATGAATGGTTGTACTTGCCGGAGCAAGAGGCCATTTGGACAACGATCACATTTTTGGCACTTCAAAATATCAACGAAATCAAAACACTGAACTTAACCGAGCAATTTGTGTATGCAATGATTGCATTCCTTGGCAAGGAAAATGTATTCTTAGAGGCTGACATGAAGAATTCACTCGCTGAATTTGTTCGGACAACATTTAAATCTCAGCAATCGCTGAATTTTAACTCGAAATTTGCTGGTAAAATTGTGAATCATCACACAAAATGGCGATTTCTTAAATTATCAGTGATAATTTATCACTCAAAACTATATAGAAATGGAAACCATCACGAATGTTTTTGTCTTTTCAGGTAAATTTAACTTTGAGAATCTGTACATTTCATTTTTGGACCAGTTTCAAGGCGCAAGCTACGGTGATCACACATTTAGCCGTCTGGTGATGGCACCGTTGGCCCAAAAGCATAATATCAAATGGCGTCAGATGATTTGGTCAGAACATGTGCATGTATTGCGCTTCATCACTTGCTCTGAGCATGAGGTAAGTTGTCGAATTGCAATCGCTGAATCGATTTTTCTCTAATTTAAGATGATTTTTTTACGTAGTTGATTGGCGAGCTAAATGATTATCTGGAGCCTGCCGAAACCGATGTGGTCTTAATCAAAAGCTACTATCAGGCAATCAATTCGAATATTCTACTACCAAATACAGCACCATATAAAATTGCTCAACATCATTACAACGTTTATCGAGCGAAAACCAAACAAGACGAACAGAACGCGATGGAGACTTAAAATACGATTTTAATTTTTTTTTATTAGAAAAAAGACAAAGAACATTTAAACTGAGTTCACTGCGGACAACATCTCTTTTACGCTTACAGCAATTCGTACACGAATGAGTCAGTGTGACAGTTGGTGTGAGTGAAACAAAGTTTGACAACAAACAGTTTGGTTGTGTCAGTTTAAATCTAGGTTTAAATGTTCATTTCAATTGAATTAACTTTAATATTCGTTGAGAAAAAAGAGATAAAAAGCGATGAATGTCTATGTGAATGCAAAAACTTGTTCCAGAACAATTTGGCTTTATAATACAATTTTTTTCTAAATGATGAATTTCAAACAAATTTTAAAATAAAAAGAAGAATTACAAGAATACGCCCAAACTTATTTGTTATATTTCGAGATGTTTCGCTGAATCTATGGCAATTCGGAACCCTAAAACAGGAATTTTATTTAATAATGTGAATTGATTATCAATCTTATCGAATAGTATCTTACTTCTGGGGCTTTTTCAAAGAAGCATTTTGTTGTCAACCATGCTGTGTCACATCTCGTATCTCCGTCTAACATTGAGAATGATAGAATATTTCTAGACAACACAAATCTTTTATATAAATTTAACATTATTTAAATTGCTTACGAATTGTTTTGCATTCTTCAGAAACATATTTAGCGGTCTCGGCTAAACTTGGCGACAATAAATGCATTACATCATTAAAATGTATAGTTCCGTCTTCCTCAATCATACCAGCATGTTCAAAAAAGCAAAGAATATAGCATCCAAGCTTGGGAATGTCGGGTAGATTACCGTCTCGACTTTGATTTACATATTTTTCGTCTACCCCAGATTCAACAAGACATGCTTTTCGCATAATCTTTACTGCCGCCTTCAAGTGTTCTGGAACTTCCAAAGCCTACAAAAAGAAAATTCAAATACACTTTTCCACTACACAATCAAATAAAATATTAAATTGGATATTCACTGCCAAGCTTAGACCAACAACACCCAGCACCATCAATACAATTTTCATCTTTATGAATTTTTTGTCGGAGTTTTGCTATAACTATGAATTAATATTCACGATTGAGCTGCATTGATGTTAAACTCGTCATTTATATTGGAAAAATTTGTCGCAATAAATTTTGTAAAGTCATCCACATATGCAAGTTTTTGTCTAAGTCGCAATAGATTTTTAGAAGGCGGATTTGTTCTTAGAGAGTATGTGATATGTATGATTAAAAATTTTCTACTTAATGTAATGCTCCATCATACTTTGTTGTGGGTACTTGGTTTTTTCTGAAATTTCAAAATAATTTTTCTGAGAAGTTTCAGACAATGTGTCTCTTATTCCTATCGGACGCAGCACTTTTTTATATGATTATCAATAACAGCCTACAGTTCAATTCAATTGTAATGCTAGAAAATTAATGTGGTTCATATCATTACTTACATTGTATACCAAGCGCATATCGTATTGTATCAACATTTCGTTTGCATATCATTATCGGAAGTTGTATCTTGGTCATTCTCTATATTTTATTCTTAGGTCAATATTTGCATTTGTTCAAGTTCGACTTTATATATAAGGACCTTTTCCCGTGCTTTTATTAGCAAAGTCGCGGTCACGACATATCTTCTTTGTTTTTTTCAAAAGTCAATCCATTATGACACGAAACTAAACAATGACGCTTGATTTTATTTAGCGAGTAGCCCCAAAAATTACATTTTCAGTTCACATGGAAGCTGCCTAAAATACTATGTATAGCTATACTTCTTTCAGTTTGTTCGATTGTTCAAGACAATCAGTGAATTATTTTCCAATGCTGCCAATAAATTGGCCTGTGAGGGTTCATATGAGATTGCTTGAACGAATTTATACTCTTCACGGTAAGTTTCAGTCAATTTTTCAATAATTTTATTCTGATTTTTTTCCTCTATCTAATTTTAAACCCGTTCAAGCCATGATTTTCTGTTTTTTATTCATACAGATCTAGTTAAGATTTTCACGCAGTTCATTGACAATATTATCGCTGCATTTTTTGGCCGTTTTCTTGTATGTGTCGCTGTCCGGGTGGTTGTACATGCGATTGCTAATGTTTTTGTTGATGTTTCGGTTAAAGTCGCAACGAATCACAAATATTCGAAACCGAAGATCAGATATGTTTATCAAAGAAAGACTTGATTCAGTTTCTGTGATTTGGAAAGTGAATATGAAATCATCACAACTCTACAAACATCACCAAATTTCCAATAAAAATACTAGAGAATGATTTAAAACGTATGGCATTTGTTTTTAACCACTATGTTTGTCACACACTGAAAATTCAACATATTGTATTAGATTTGGAACAAATTTAAATAAATAGATTAATATGAACATAAAGTAAAGATAGTAAAGCACAATTTATGAAAAATCTTGTTTTTTTTACGTAGGAACAAAAAAATGAACAGGACGCGCTTTCAAAAAGAACGTTCATTATTATGACTGTACTTGCCGGATAAAGTTGTCATTAGCGCAGCAATCACATTCATGATAATGAAAATCATCAAAGAAAATGCTGGTAAGCTCGACATAGAAATTAAATGAATTGCCATACTAAAATATACACATACAAGACATTTATATGAAAGTCTTAGAATGAAAATTATAATCTATTTATTTATTGATGATGAATTTCAAACATATTAAAAAAAAAATTAAATAAAAAATAAAAATATTCTTCTTGATTACAAGCTTAAAATGAATAGTTATGCATTGGGAAGATTTATTTTGTTGAAGTTATGGCAATTCGGCACCCTAGAAAAAGAATTTCATGCAATAATATTAATTGACATTCAATTTCAGTCAAACTGAACAGAGCCTTACTTCTGGAGCTTTTTCGTAATAGCATTTAAATGTCAACCATGCCGTGTCGCATCTCGTGGCTCCGTCTAATATTGGAAATTCAATAAAATATTCATAGAACAATATTTTAGAACAAATTCAAGTCTGTTATATGGTATTTAATATTGTTCACTTACATATTGTGCTGCACTCTTTAGTAACATATCTGACAGTCTCGGCTGTACTTGGCAACAATAAATGCATTACATCATTAAAATGTATAGTTCCGTCATCTTCAATCATCTTGCAATGTTCTAATAAGCAAAGAATATAGCATCCAAGCTTGGGAACGTCGGGTAGATTACCGTCTCGACTTTGATTTACATAGTTTTCGTCCACTCCCGATTCGGCAAGGCATGCTTTTCGCATAACCTTCAATGGCGCTCTCAAATGGTCTGGAATATCCAAAGCCTACAAAAAAATTCAAATACACTTTTCCACTACACAATCAAATAAAATATTAAATTGGATATTCACTGCCAAGCTTAAGCCAACCACACCGATCACAATTAATAAAACTTTCATCTTGAATTTTTTTAGTCTTGCTAAACCCGCAAAATGGTATCTAAGGTTGAGCTGTAGTGATGTGAATCCCATCTTTATATTTGAAACGAACTTCCATTGAACTTTGTTAAGTCATTCCATAATTGATACATAATATGCATGATTATTGGGCATTAAATTTAGAACCCAATTATATATTTGGTTGTGGGTGATCAGTTTTTTTTTTGTAAAATAAGTCTAATTTGTTCAAGCTTAGAAACTTCTGGACGTTTCAGAGAACATTTCTCTTATTCACATTAGAACTCAACATTTCATTTCACTTAATTCTCAATCAAATCCAATGTCATTACTTACATTGTATACATATAACATTTTGTTACGCATCATTATCGAAAGTCAGCTCTTTGTCATTCTCTATTAGCACATCAATTTCATTACATTCAGTTGTGCTATATAGGGACATTTTTTATTTCTTTCCTCATTCCGATTTTATCATCAAATAATGCAAAACATTCATTTAGAACGTCTAGATGTGTATTTATTGATATCAATATGTTGTGATACAGTAAGAAACTTAACATATTCTAATAGGTTAAGAGGTACACTGTACAATTTTCTAGTTCGAAGTATTTACAATTTACAAAATACGCTAGATTTTTAACAAGTAACAGATACAAAAACTTAAATAAATAGAACAAAATAATAAATATTTGTCATTTATCATGATATTTATAGTATTTTCGCTTAGGTGAAAATGAACAAAATCAAAGATAACAAAAAACAATGTTTATTTGCTTGGAACTAACATTGAACGCTTCTTCAGTCTTCTTTTTATGAAAAAGAACGTTAAATTTTATCACCGAAATCCGTTCATATTGAAAATGCTTAACTAATAAACTCTACCATAGGGCAAAGAACCTGTATACGGTATCAGCAGTTTGCCGCCGAAGCGAGAATTGGAACTAGAACTGGAAAAAAAACAAGAAAAAAAACGTAAATTTCATCATCGAAGAATATTCTCGTTAGGAGTTGAAACAAAGAAGAATTGCATTTTTTACCTTGATGAAAAGATGCTAGTGTTGGCTCGCATCGAATTTGTACCGTGTGTCCATCGACTAGATTTGGATTTGCCCCAAATTAAGCAAAAGATTGCCACAATTACGGCCACTACGAATATCATTCCGAGAATACAAAAGGCAAGGGCCAATTTCGATGATGACATACACAGAATGCCTTCGGATCGTAAGTGACGTAATCTCGTTGGATATTCGTCGACTGAAATACATCAATAAATTAATGTCCGTTCCATTTAGCAATTCAAATATATTGATGATAAACAAAATTATAGTTACCGGTAACATTATATCGACGATCGCTTCGCAAACGATCCAATTCAATTTGCGGTGCAATTACAGCCAACGAGTTGAAAACTTCAATGCGCCCCAATTGTTCTTCGGAATCCAAAACGAATGGATCTGATTCGGAACAGTCCACCTTAGAAAGAAAAATCGCGTTTGTCTTAAACATTGTCCAAAGGAATCCGCACGAAAAAAAAACTGAGTAAGTACTTACGTATGGGCATTCCTCACGACAAAGTTGAACGCCGCAAGTGACATGCAGTCTCTCTCGATCGGGAAATTTGAACGCTGGGAATGTGGCAGTAAATAATTTTTCCACCAAATCATCGATATGAGGCTTTGACCAACCTTCTTCAGCTGGTCTCACACGGGTAATAAGGGCTGGCATCACCTGTAAAACGAATTTTTTTTTTACATTAGTTTCATTTGAACAGAAAAATCTGAAAATTATGATGAATTAATCAATTCGGTTCGAGGCCTGAGGTCAAAAAATTGAAAATTTCTTTATGTTCACACGCGCTAACTTCGCTTCGAAAGCATTCCGCTTAGATGATTAACGAATTTTTTTATTTGAAGAAAAAAAATTGCTCTCTTCAAGCCATTCCATTAACTGTTTCAGTAATTACAAATTTTTTGTTGTTGTTGTGTTGTGATCATTGGGCCCTTTACATGCCGTCGTGCCAGCAGCCACCGGTCGGGCGAATTGTTCGCCTCTTGATATGAGATTCGCTTGAGTAATTCGGGCTTTTTGCGATGGAATGCAAAGTATGACGGCGTGCGTATAGTTTTTTTTTTCTCCGGCGATTTTGATGTGCATGAGCTCAAGCAAATGCATCGAATCCCTTGAATTTTCACAATGGTTTATTAAAAACGAAAGTGCCGCTACAAAACAGAATTGCATTTAATTACGCGTTTTTATGAGTTGAATTCACCATTTCATATGTTCAATTGTTTTCGATTTTCTTCTTTCTAATGCTGTGTTTGGGAGTTTTATTTTATTTGAGCGACTGTTGCTGCTGCCGCCGCCGCTGCTGCATTTTGCTCGTTTTTTTTTCTCGTAATGATTCACGTTAAAATAGTTCGATAGAGAAAAAAGTGGCGGCAAGTGCAGCACAAACTGTAACAATAACAATGAACTTATTCCGAATAGCATTGAAAGAGCCAAGAAATAGAAGATGAAAACAGCCAGACACATTCGCTAATAAGTTAAGTCGAACGCATTCACAAAATAAAGGTATAAAACAAACAAACCAAATGAACGAAACGAGTTCGAATGAATGAATGAAGGAGTCTAAGCGATTTAGAAGAAAATTGCTGCTCAAAATTGCTCAACCGCATCGTAATTATATGTAAATGATGTGATTTGTTGAGTGCTCTCCGAGGTTGAGATGAAAGAAGAACCAACGTCTCGCACATGTCAATGGGAATTAACCGTTGGATGTCTGGAAAATTTCAATTGTAATGCCGAAAGTCTCACTCACCACCACCATCATCATCATCGTTACTGCTGGCGCTGCAGCTAGCCGATATAACCAAATTGAATTGTATCGACAAAGTAACGTGATAAAAATCACTTGAAAATAGATATTAGATCGAGATGTGGTAAGGGATCGTACGTATATCGTGTGAACTCAATTAGGTCACAAAAAGACCATCTTCACGTGCCAAAACAATTCAATTTCGCGGAAAAGTGACGATGCGGGAGACAATTTTGTGTGAGAAACAAACAGCAATGTTACGTATATCACATCAATGATTTTGATGCTTCAAAAACAAAGCGAATCAACCGAAAGCGTTTTTAGTTTCATATGGCCAAACATGAAACCAAGACAAAAAAAACTCCATAACATTCAAAGCTAACGTGAATTTATGTGCACTGCGAACCGTAGAAAATAGCAACGAAAGTGTTTGAAACACCATAAACAAAAAGCACTTCATGTCAGCCGTACACACATCATTCCAGCTTTATGACTGTTTGCGTGTGATTCGAAAGAAACAATGTGTGTGTGCGTAAAGAAGAAGACGATGGAAAAAAAAACATTCGAAGCATAAATGCTACTAACACACAACGCTTTTTGTTCGGAATTATTTTCTTCGATTGTTCGCATTCTGCTTTTTTTTCTTCTCTATCTAAATGGGTCCGTTGATTTCGCTTTTCAAGTGCAATTTTCTTGTGCATGTGAATTATTATTGCATTGTTGCTGGTGGTAACCACCAAATTGTTTCAATTGAATAAGCCATTTAACCATTGTAATTTTTGGGTGCTTTGTGGCGTACTCTGGTACGAATTCTCAAACACATTTAAGCTTCGGATTAATCATTAAATAATTCAATTAATATGGAGTTATTCATGGCATTCTCCGTCATAATCATCGACCAAATTACTTCATCTGCTGTTGCGGTCATCGTCTGATTGTTATTATTCTCAATTTTTATCTGCTCGTTGATCCTCATTATTCTCATTACGATTGCACACACAGATGTGCGTAATGTAATCAACACTTAATTAGTAATTGTATCAGCTGTTAAATCATACCTGTTCATCAATCGGACAGCCTCGTTCGTCGAGTAGTTTTTGTGATGATTCGCCCAATCCATCTAATGCTGCACAATCAACGATTCGAACACCAACCGTACCTGGCAGTACCGCACGAATATTGATCGTCGTCATTTGGCCAACTTCAACCGTGCCCGAGCCATCGGTACCGCCCAGCTCGAGCCATACTCGAATTCTTGGCACACTACTCTCCATATCCGAGCTACTGCTTGGGCTCACGTGCATACGGCCATGCCTACTTTTTTTTTAATTTTGAAAGAGAATTCCATTTTGCTAGAGAAATCCATTTCATTTTGATTGAAAATGCTCGAAATTTTACCTGATCACACGCTTCTCCTCCGTCATGCCAATATTCATTTCCATCATTTGATTGGGCAAATTGCAACGAACCATTCGTTCCAAATCGGAACGTTGGCGCAATTTCTCATCCATTTGAATCACCAGACGCACTGACATCTCTAACGAACCATCGGTTTGTGCTTCACTGCGTATCCCGCAACCAGATGTTGGCAGATTGATTTCCACCGCAGTCGATCGATTACCTAACCACACAAAAATCCCAATTAATCATCATCATTGTGGACTCTATGACATTATGTATTTTGACACAACAAAATCACCTTCGATACTAATAAGACCAATGGTTTTTCAATATGTAACACATGAGAAAGACCGAAAAAAAACCTGCACATGCACGAAATTACATGACTCACTCACCTTTTGTGCGACACTCTTCCAGAAAGTCTTTGGCAAAGACGATGCCTTTGAATGATTTGTCCAGATCCAATTTTATGTTGAACACATCACGTGTGCAGTTGATTTTGATGCCATACAATTTGTTCGGCGCAATCGGTGGTCTACTTGACCAGCAACCGTGCAAATACAGTATTAGCATATGATAAATTATGCTGATTAATCGGGCCATTTTATCGCCTTTTGTCTAACAGTTCAACAATAAATCTTGGCTTCTTCTCCACTTTTTGCTCGGCTCTTCGTAAATATCTGCAAGACAAAACCAAATGAAAAAGAAATTTAGAAAAAAAACCATGATTCCAGTTTGTATATGGGTATGTGTGTAGTTTTTGTTTGAAACAAGAAAATTTATATCATCTCATTTATTTCAATCCGTTTTTCAGGTGAATTATATAATTTATAGGCGCGCATTTTCGGCGACGAGTCAAGTAAAGTCATCATTTTCCATATTCGCGGTCATTTTTCACGCAAATACTATAGAATGCGATGCAAAAATAATCAAAAGTGGAAAACAAGAGTCATGCTGTGTGTACACTGTACACACAAAAAAACTGAATCGCGAACTGTTTTTGTTTTGGATAGACTCATCAAGATGAGTAACATTTTAATTTCATTTTTTTCGGGTGTTAATTACACATATATGACCAAGTGTATATGAATCCATTGCGAAGATGTGCACTGTTTTTACGTTACGAAGCGTGACATTAAACGTTGAAGACTGTAAAATACTCTTAAAATGCTTAAAGCTCACTAGAGCGCTGGAATCGAATCGAATTTAACGGGTTCGTTCGTCTCATTCCACTCACTTTCTTACCCAAAGGAAATTGACTTCCGTAACGGTATTTTGAGACGAACCAAAACCACAAAAACGCTTCAATTTTGAGTATAAACATAACAAAATTCTGATTCAAAACCAAGCAGTTAATTATTCTTCACAATGAAAAAATAACCACATTCTATGGAGTCATCGTGTTTACTAGCACCTCATTTCACACTTTTACTAATGATTTCATTGGTGTTTAATGCGATAAATGAGTTGTTACTTTCAGGTTCATTTTCCTCTTTATTGAACACTAATTCAATTGTTGATTTAAAATTCTTATAATTACAAAGTGAACTTAATATCGATGTTATTTGCTTCACATTTAATTGCAAACGTACACAAACTCAATGAAGACGATGATTAAAAATCTCGCAAAAATATCGACGAAATCATTGTTGTTGTTTGCACCATATTCAACGATCGACTGTGGTGCTGCTTGCAATATCCATGTACTTAACCACCGTTGAAACCGGGCGCTACGGTGGTACACTCCACATGCGATTGTACAGGAGTCGAGCTCTCGTTTCGGCTGCATGCGAACGTGAAAAAAACAACTAGAGAGTGATGGGGGAATTTTACGAGTCGTTCAATAAAGTTGAGGTGGTGCCACTATGAAAACCACAACGCAGCCACCAAAATTACTTAACGTTTATTATTCTGCATTGTGTAATTGTGATTTGTTAGATTTTCCGTATTTGCTGAAAAAAATGCTATCAAAATTTAATTGAGACAAAAAGAAATGCTATCGCAACTCGGTATTCATTATCATTTCTTATTTATTTGATCAAAGTTCACTTCATTAGTTGACGTTCATTCACTTACATTCTTTCAAAATAACCACCAACGTAGCATTTTTAGTTTTAAGTCAAAACTGCGTACGTTGTAAGAGGAACTTGTTAAAATCAGTATTCATGTAACAGTTGAACAAATCGAACGTGTTTTAATTTTATATGAATGCCCAACAGTCGAAATAAATTGATAAAACAAAATGTGAATTTTGTGATATTTTTTTTGAACATTTTCAACTTTATTTCATATATTTTTCTTTCTCATTGAGGAAATAATAACAGATAAATTTCAATGCGTTGGTAAAAGTTCTGGTTTCACTTCGACAACGGCGGTTTCGGATGATTTCATGTGACTTGACTCATGTAGCAAATACGATTTCTGCGAAATGAATCCCTTGAGGCAAATTTTGCAATGATAATTTAGCGGAATCCCATGCCTTCGCCGATGTCGTAATAATTTATCAGTTCGTGCGAAGGCACGCCCGCAAATGTCACATTTATGCTCAGGTGCACCACCATGTTGAAAACTATGCTGTTTCAATGCGTATTTTCGTTTGAATTTCTTACCACAGTCAGGGCATTTATGTTTCCGAGATTCTGTGTGTGATTTCATGTGATCCTTAGCATAGCGTGGATGGAACCTAACAATTCAAAGAAAAAAAAAGAAATTAAGAAGAAATTACTAATAAATTCTCTCTTTTTCGGAACCTTTGACGGAAGTGTACTTAACCACCGTACCTTTTTTTACAAATCGAACATTCAAACGATCGATCGTTGCTGTGCGTTTGCATATGCCTACGCAGATTATACGCATTTCTCGCCGCATGATTACAAATACTGCAAATAAAATTGCGCGTCTCTTCGAATGGATGTGTCTTCATGTGTGCATGCAGTAAACTCTTCTTATCAAAGTATGCGCCGCAAATTTGACAAATTGGCTCTTGATTATCGGCCCACAATTGATGCTCTTTCCGATTGTGGCGCAGCAAATACTGTCTGATTTTAAAGCCTTTGCCACATATATTACACAAATGCTGTGACTTTGTTTCGTCAGAATCGTGGAGTTTCATGTGACGACTCAACGAAGTGGCACTGCTACAGAAAATGCCACACACTAAACACAACCGTGGCTGTTGAACGTGCAATTTCATATGACTCCTCAACAATCGACGCTCCCGGAAATCCTTTCGGCACAAATAGCATTCGTACGTTGTGATCACCGGTTTCTCATGGTAATCGATTGGCTCTTGTTGCGTCTGCTGACTTTCATTCTTCAAACAAATGCCTTGCGGATGAATGTTCATCATGTGCAGTTGATAGAAACGATATTGCTTGAATTTCTTATAGCACAGCATACAGTGCAAATTGGCAAATTGATGCGATTGAATGTGGTCTTTCATCGCACGGAACTGCTGATGTGTGAATTCCTTGTGGCACAGGAAACATTCAAATGACCGTGACTCGTTGTGATGCTTTTGTTTCAGATGACCGCGCAAATATCGTATGGCACGAAATTTCTCCGGGCAAAAGCCACACAGAAGGACACGCTCTTTTACATGTGTGAATATATGGCGTCGAACGGAGGCTGGATTTGGGTGTGTTGATTTGCACACAGGGCACAAATATTCTTTGCCGAGTTTTTCGAATTTATACGAATGCACCGAAAATGAGGCCAACATTCGAACTTCAGGTGTATCTTTTATACTGCACGGGAAGAGTCCATCCACTTTGTCAGCTTTGAATATTTCAAATTTCACGGGGTCCATTGGATCTTCTGCGGAATTCACATATTTGGCCAGCAATTCTTCGTACACATCAGTCACTGCATTTGGCTTTATTCGCTTTTTATACTGTCGTTTTGTCAATTTTGGCTTTTCGATCGATTTGGTTTTCCTAATGGACCTTAATACTGTTTCTTTTGTGTCAGTTGATGTTGATTGCTCCTCTTCGTCTTGATTGTTATCGTCGTCTTCGTCCATGCCGACGTCCAGGAAATTATTAAAATCATCATCGGAATAATCATCGTCTTCCTTCAAATTGCTTGAGCCTCCTTTTGCTGCTGCTATTTTTTCAATGCTTTCAATCACTTTTGGCTCTTGCGTAATTGTTCTTGATTCGATTGTTGTGTCTTGTTTGTTTCCATCGATTTCACTTTCCTCTTTGTTAAAATCAGCTGTCTGTTGTGAATCATCTTTTTGTGGTGGTTTCAATCGCGACAAATGGTCCTGAACGTGCAGAGTGAACTCGGAAAAATATTGAAATTCTTCGGAACAATGAATGCATACCAGTGCATATCGTTCATTTGGCAACTGAAACACTTCACCCATTTTTATCCGGCTATTCTGTTGTGGCGGAGGTTGACTCGCCGAAAAATCACTCTCAAAAAATATATCCTCGATTTGATTCATTTTTTCTGTTTTTTTTAACTAATTGCTTTTTTCTACAGTGAATTAATTCAAACAACGAAAACCCATCGTCGTTCGGTGTTTGTTTAAGTAAATAAAAATCGGTTGATGGAGCTGTCAAACCTTACGAATACTGCAATTTCTGACATTTACGTGTATATATATGTTAGCGCAATACGAAAAACGTACAACGCATCCCAAGAAGAAATGATACAAAAAATGTTTGTTATGAATGTGTGTTTTTTCTCCCTTCTTTATTCCCTAATTTCTGTTAAAAAAATCTGGCAAATAATGAGTTCGTTCACATATATTAATACAAAAATATCTAAACATTAGAATTTGTTCGTTTGAATGTGTGCAATAAATTTAATCTCATGATTCGTTGAGATAATTAACAGCGCTTGGACCGCTGTCGAATTGTACCGCTGCCGTATTTCCTCCCGAATGTCGTTCAATTTTCAATTCAGCCGTTTGATCACCGAAACTATCGGTTTGTGATTCGTTAATATCTGGCTTTCCTTTGCAGTGGAAATTCACATGGGTTTTAATTGACGTTAATTCCATAAATCCGAGACCGCATTTTTCACAGGTGTAATTCATCGCCTCTGGATGTTTTCGTCGATGTATCAGCATTTTATCGGAGCGTCTAAATGACATGTCACATATATCGCATTTGAACTTGGGTTCTTCGTGTATCAGCATATGACGATTCAAATGGTCAGACCGACTAAATTGTGCGCCGCATGTAAAGCACTGATAATTCTTCTCCTGTGTATGTGTCTTCATGTGTTTTACAATGCCATTCGGTCTGGAGAAAGTTTTGAAACAAAGTAAACACTGCGATCGGCTTTTATCACCATTTACTCCAGCGCTGTACAGCATTTTTGCGTTCATTTTCATCTTTGGCGCGATGAGTAAATTTGATGATGGATTGATAACGCCACCGCCGCTCCCAAATTTTTCAATTTTCAATTTTTTCGGCTGACGTTCCGTCAACACGGCCACATCGTTGTGCTTTTGTTCAATGTGACCCAAAATATCGCTCGGTTGGCTGAAATCTTTGTTGCATAGCTTACATGAAAATATCTTCATTTCTGAATGTGTAAAAATGTGCCTTCGGAAATTTGCCTTGTTGTTGGCCAAAAAATCACACATCGGACACTTGAAGCGTTGATCATCGGCGGTGCGTTTGGAAGTAAACTTTTTCGAAAAATACGGCAATAATTTACGTGTGTCTGATGTGTCTTTCACACGAATCAGTGGATGCTTTAGTTTGAAACACGTCTCTAGTGATGTTGTTGGTTCATTCAAACCACAGGAATCTTCCTCGTTCAACATTTCCGTGTCGTTGTCATCTTCACGAATATTTACTTTACACTCGATGTCGATCAACTCGTGCACATCGTCATCGTTGTCTTCCTCACCACACGTCGAATCGTTGCTTGAATCACTGAACAGCCATTCAACATTTTCAATACTTGCGACGGCCGGTGTTGGTTGTTCGACGGGCATTTCATACGATTCATTTTGTGGTGTACCCATCCACTGTAGCGCGCTGTTGTAATGACTCTGTATGTGGGCGGTAAATCGAGCAAATTGCTGAAATTCCTGTGTACAATGGATGCAAGCGAAGACAAATTGATTTTGTCGCACTTGAAACACTTCGCCAATTTTCAAACGATCCAGGGGACAAAGCCGCTTCGGATTACCACTACCATACTCGTCCTGTAGGTAAACCGACTCAAAGTCATCCATTTTTTACGTGCCAATTTTCCACTATTCCGTTTTTCAATGTTATAAATTGGTCTTCAACTCAAAACTTTTCTTTTAACTCAAGAAAACTTCTAAAATCTAAATTTGATGCTCACAAATGCGGAGCAACATCAGTGCTTGCTATTGTGTCAACAGAATTTGTGTGTATACGTGAATCTGCTGAAATTGAATCTGTCAAACATTACGTAGAATAAGTTGTTCTGATTAAGGCCGGTTTCCACAACACCAAACACCCAACCAACAATCAACTAATCTCCAATTGCGTTTCGAAATAAATGAATGAATTGAAAAAAAAACAAACACTTTGAATATTTTTTTTTTATTTTTACATTTGAAATTTTTATTCAAGCCATTTTATTTTGTTAAACAAAAAAAAATAAAAAATGACAAAAAACAAATCCATGAAAAAAATTACACTCGAGAAATAAAATGTGTCTACTATCGCTTTTAAATGTACTATTTTAGCTTTTTGTCTCACGAGAACGAAGAAGAAAGAAAAATAAACAGGAGAACTATTGAGGCATCTAAATATCTTATCGTCTAATCGCTTAAGTTTGAAAATAATTTAATATGATTGATTCACTCTCTCTCTTTTCTCACGAAAAAAAAAACAACTAATTAATGGCATCTAAAGATGTTTTTTTGTCTCTGTGTCTTGATTGTTTGTTTCTCTGTTGGAAGCTAGATCTAGAAAACGGTGCTTATTGGTAAATATGCTGATTGAAAATGAATGAATGATTGAATGAAAATTACATATCATAATAATTCATCGATAAATGTTGTGTGAAAAAACGTGAATATTAAATTACGAACAAAAAAATTACTAAATTCTTAAGTCAGATGGTTTAACACTAAGAGGGTTTTGTTTTGTTGTTGTTGTTGTTGTTTTTGTTTGTGTTTTTTTTGTTCCTGATTCTTTGAACTCATTGCATTTTGAGAGATGCATTTTGTTGTTACTGCTACTGTTTGAAGTATTCGTTTATAGTATTAATAATAATCATAATTCGGGGACTGTTGCTACGAAATACGTCATGGGAGAGTCAAATATGATTTTTTTTTCTTCTTCTTTGTTTTAAATATAAATAACTGGATAAATGAACCTCAATCTCTAATTCAAACGATTTGATCGTTTCACTTGTTTTTGTTCTTGAAATTTTCTTGCGGTTTCGTTAGGTGTGTTGTTGTCGTGTTGCTGTTATTTCTGTATTTTTTATTCTTTGTTCTGTTTCAGTCGATTATTGAAATGAAGAAAACTAATAGATTATTTTAAATAATTCACTGGATCGGCATGCCGACCATCGACATGTGAATTGGGTTTGGTATTTCTGGTTTCCTTCGATCGTCGTGTGCATACGACGGCTTGGCGTGTTGCATTTCATGTGTTGCATAGGTTTTTTGATCCATGAATCCAAGATTACAGAATTTGCAATAGAATTTCATCGGTTCTTTGTGAGTGCGTCGATGGTTAAGCAATTTATCGGCACGATTGAATGACTCGTGGCACACATCGCACTTGTGCTTCGGTTCATCTGGTCGCGCCAAATGGCGCACAGCATTTTTATCGTCAACAATCGGTATGCGCATATTCATCATTGTCGGACGTCTGGCTAAATTCTTGTTGCAAGCATTGCAGCAATTCGAATCACCGGCATATGATCCGGCGGCGGTTTTTAAATTGCTGCGACGCTTGAATTTCGTATGGCAAATGTAGCATTCGATTTTTTTATTTGTTTCGTATGGTTCTGATTTAATGGCAACGGGTTTGTTTCGGCCGCCGGCCTTGTGTTCGGTGCTTGAGCTACTGCCGTCATAAAAATTTGAATGATGCTTCGATTTGATGTGCTCCTGGCAATGTCTTGCGTGACGGAACTCTCTTTCGCACTGCCCGCAGCGGAACATTTTGATACGCAAATGGTTTGTGAGGTGTCTGCGTACCGTTGATTTTGAATTGAATGTGCCATCACATAGTGGGCACATCACCTGATCGTTTATCTTCGAGAATTCATAGTTCGGCATGAGATATTGCGAAATTTCACGAATTTCCGGCAAATCATTTACTATGATTGACTTGTTGTCCTTGTACAATGCTTGAAGTGCATCGAATTCCTGCTGAAATGACGTACTCCCAGCCTCACCAGTCAATACCATTGAATGTCCACCGCCTGATACATTCATAAAATGGTTTCCAAGAGAGTGAGATACATTGGATATATCATAAGAAGATCGATTGTTGCTGCTGGAGGAAGAACCACGGTTTGTCGGTCGCTCCGGAAGATTGGCTGGATTGCCATGCTTTGTCCTGATGTGGTCGCGTAGATGTCTAGCGTGCGAAAATTTACGCTGGCATGTGCCACAAGCAAACACTTTATCAACGCTGTGCGTGTACACGTGACGACGTGCCAATGCCGAGCCATTAAACTATATTGGATACAAAAATGTGATTTTTAAACATTTTGATCAAATTTCGATTTGGTTTTGATCAATTTTTACATGATTATTATTCGTGATATGCGTATGTAATTTGGTTTATTCCACAATGTCTTATGCTAGACAAATGTATAGAAAAAGACTTAAGAATCAAGTTAGATTAAAATTCATAAGAAACTGGTTTTTTTTCATCAAAAATAGTATTTCTGCATCGAAATATGTCGAAAAAGACAAAATAAACTGGGGCGTAACTCCTCAAAAACATCCGGAAATTTGATGGCTTTAAACTAAAACCTCGTAAAATTTGGGCTGATCCATGGATTCCCAATATTTGGCCTGAATTCCAGAGATATCATGATTGGAATTCTATAAAAACAATAAGTCATTTTTCACTTATCAAATGCGTACGAAAACGGGTGTTGGAATCAGACCAAATGTAAAATTAAAGACATGAAGGCCTCAAGAACAATATAAGAATAATAAAAAAAATCCCCACAATTATTCGGCGCCTTTAATCTAAATATATTCTCGAGATTTTTTTATATTTTTCTTCGAATGCATAAGGCATTTTGGAGCAAACTAAATGTCGCTGATCACGGAATATGCACATGCATTCAATTTGACTACTATTATTTATCTAAAGATTATCATACCAGTTTTTCGCAAAGAGGACATTTGTATTGGCCGGCGCGTTTTTCAATCGGATAACTTTCGGCCAGGTATTGCGACAATTGTCTCACTTCGGGCGTATCGTTGATAACAAACATGGGTTCATTGAATGATCGTTTCAATGCATTGAACTCGTCTTCGTATTGTTGTGAATTGTTCGTATTTTTGCGGCAATTCATATCGGCCTGATTGGCCGCCGCCGACGACGATTGCTGATTATTATCGGATTGAAACCAACCGTTTGCCGGATTGTAACCATTGTAAAAATATTGCGGTAATTCGCCCGCATTCGTTGGCCCACCAAATTCATTTTTAAACAATGACAAATCGTTTGCTGCTGCTGCTGCTGCGTACGCACCAGCGTGCGGTGGCAATGGGAGTGCTGCTCCGGTTCCAGTTGGATTTTCCATTTTCATCGGTTTCACTTGAATACCCCAAATCCGTAACAAATGCTGTTCAATGTGAACGGTAAACTCAGCAAAACGCTCTTGATCAAACTCTTGGAAACAATGCACGCAAATTAACGAATATCGATTATTCCTACGAAGATAAAAAAATTCACCCAATTTTAGTTTGTCCGAAGTATCTACAGTAGACGATAATCCATCTTGTGTAAAAACACTTTCGGTTCGATTCATTTTACGCCAATAGCTTTAGTTTTGTGTTTTTTGTTTTTGTTTTACCAATTTTTTTTTGCTTACAATCTGCTCAATTAAATGAACAGCGATTGCTTTTTTTGAACAATGATGGAAAACACAAACAATAAACTCTGTGGGCTTGTGTGTTTTTTTTATTAGTAGCCACTTATATATCCAATTGACATACACATCGTTTGACAGATAGCAGAAAAAAGTTTTTTTTCGGAACGAAGCGAACAATGGTTGGTTTCTCTCTTGTTGTGCGCTTTCGATGTTCGAATTAAGTGCGGTTCACACAATGAGCGAGCAACAACAACAACAACAGCAGCATCAGCAACAGCAACACCTTTAATGCATTTTGAATGTATACAATAATAATGTTTTGTTTTTATTTTCGAATAAAATTTTATTGATTTAATGGTATGTTTTCTTAATTTAGATATAGTATTATTTTCGGTATGAATTTTCCTATGCTACTACATTCTTAAATTTCTGCATGTAAAATTTGAAAAGTTGGTTGTGAAATTCCCTTTGTACTTGATATGCTTCCGTCCGGCTTTCCGTCGAATTATTTTTTCGGTGATTTCTTTGTCGATGCAGAACGTTTGAAATGTTTGACCATATGCAGTTCAGCGTCTGGTTTGTTTGTTCTTGGAAATTTCGTATCGCACAATGAACATTTGAATGACTTTTTGAATGTAATTAGCTTTGATAAAATATCCGTGTGTACATTGGCTTTGTGGCGCCTCAGAGATCTGTCATGTGTATATTTCTTGTAACAAAATGGGCAACTTAATGTTTTTTCCTTTTTCTCGGTTGGTTTTCGTCCATTTTGCGGTTGTTTTGTATTGCCATTCGTTGTTGTACCCACAATAGTGGCTTTTTCGGCCATCGGATATTTATTACCGTCCGGATCATAGCCCAAGTCAATGATTTCGTACACTTCTTCGATGTAGTCGTCTGAATCGCGCGATGGACTGGCAGTGATGTCGATCGCGGGTGCGTCCAAGTTGTATGATGTGCTTGATGGGCTTTGATACGATGGATATCCATTGAACGGAATGTGGCCATTTCCATTGGTAATGGGTTCTGGTTGAATCAACTGTGCTGGTGACAAACAACCGGAATGAATTTGTGTTGTGGCGCGCTGAGATCGTGCAGTGCGTGCTGTTGTAGCGGGTGATTCACGTTGAAAATGTCCTTCAGAATGTCGTAGAAAACTATCGATAGTTTTATGTTCTGACTGGCAAAAATCGCAAACAAAAACGTAAATGTTTGGACGAACGCGTACCACTTTTCCCATCGACGTTGATGATTGCTCAGCACAGGTTATTAATTGAGTAGCAGCAGTCGCAGCCGGAAAAATACCCATCGGATATACAGTTGTACTTTGATTACCTTCAGAGGATATCATCTTGTCACTGTGATATGTTTCACGGTGTTTTGAAACCATCCAACTTCAACTAATGTAGCAAATTGAAAACCAAGACCGCGATTGATTTGTGTATGTCAAAAAAAATGTGTGTATTCACACCATACACACATGTCAATAACAACTAACGGCCCCACTGTCGAACAACAATAATAACAAAACACACACAACGATGGCAATACGTATTCGAACGGATCATGAGTGTAGTCAAGCCTTAACTGTGCTGGCCCGAACGAATGAACGAACGATATGCGCGCACATATTTCCATGTCAATCACAAATACAAAGAGTTACATGGCAATATAAAAACGAACCGAAATGTCGTATAGCGACAGGTTGAACCAAACAATACGAACTTTTTATCGGGATTTTCTCGATTTTGTGACATTATTCCAAAAATTCACTTTAATTCATGGTTGCTTTTAATACAATGGAGCAATGCGATGATGTTCGATTGAACACTGAAGGGAAATGTGCAAATTATTCAATGATTTTGTTTTAATTTGCCAAAATTTATATTTTATCCAATTACAATACTCATGATATATTGTTTGGGTCGTCTGTGATTGCGGTAAAATTTTGTTAAAAACGTAAACAAAACACATTTCCCGCCTAGAAATCACAACAAAAATTCGTTCAATATCAATTTCGTTTCATTCACCAAAAATATTTATTTGCAACCATTTCATTCCATCTACATCAGTGTGAATCAATGAAATGTATTGCAAAGTGTTGCTTCAAATATACTTCGGCTCAAATTAGCCCATTCATTAGCGACTCATTCAAACACAATTTTTCATTCGGGATTTGTATGATTTTATTTATTTGCTTCGGTTTTTTTTTTACAAACAACATGAATGTTTTGTTTCGCTCGACAAACATTACAAGTCAACTCAAATACTAACCTCAAAATAATTTGTAAAGCGAATCGAAATTCGGATAAAAATATAAACTCTACATAATTTCAAAAGTGTTTTTTTCACCATCATAATTTTATATATATTTGTATAGAACATTGTTTTTGTTTCCAGCATAAGTTCATCACGTACTCTTTGTGTATGTAAAAATTTTGTCAAATGTTGTTCAAGTCCTCATTTATGCATATATATATGTAGGCTTACATTTCATTGACAGAATCGAAGATTAAAAAAATAGTTTGAGGGATAAAAATTAAAATAAAGTCATGAACTTTGTCTTTGTTTCGTTTGTTTTTTTAAAGTGGCTTCAATCGGAGGCTGGAACGATCGAAGCTCACTTTAACACTCATAATTTATTTGATTCGCGATTCATGAGGAACGAAAAGAAACTGTCCATGAATTGCGGCTTTGTTTTCAATGGCTTAATCGGAGTCGATGGCTTCTCCGATGTGATCGGTTTGTCCAAATGTGATAGGTCGTCAATGTTATAGGCAGATAAATCACTGGCATTCGAATCGGGCACAATCACTCTGGCTGGATTTGTAGCTGCAGTTACAGTGCTAGTGGTAGCAGTCGTTGACGGTTGTGATGGCGTTGGTGGCATCTGTGACTGCACCCTACTGGATGATGATGATTTATTTCGAGCACTCTTCTGTTGTGCCTTTCGCGAGGCATCCAAATCTTCAATAATGTATTGTTCCTGCGATAAATCAACGGCATTGCCTTGTGAATCGTTTTTCATTGCCAATGTTGAGGTCGTTTCGATAGGTACGAGCACTCCATTGTCATTGTAGGCAAGATAAAATTGCTGCGGTGGAATGTCGATTGCATCGACATTTTGTATGACCGTTTGATTCGAATCAATCGAATTGGCCGACGGTGTGTTGTCTATGGTTTGTTGTGCACCACGCCTCCGCTTTGAGTTGGTCACTTTATTTGCTGTCACGGTTGTTGGCTCGGGCGGTTGATAAACATTCTCCAAAGTTATAAGATCGCTGTCATTCTGTTGTTGAGTATATGTATTGTTTTGTTTGGGTGCACGACCGCGCCGTTTTCGTCCAGATGCCCCTGAAGACGATGACGACGATGACGGTGGTGGTGGTGGTGGTGGGGTCGATTCTATTGTCGGCGATGTGTGTGCAATTACCGATGTTGTATTTGTCACTTGTCGCTCATTTAAATCAACATTTCCGATGACATGATATGACCCATCGCTGGTTTGAATGCACCGCAATGCTGTATCGCTGCCCGATTGACTGAAGATTTGCTCATCATTCAATACGATGATTGTGTTTGTAGTGGCCACTGAATGGGGACGTTGAGCTTGAATATTTGATTGACTTTGATGACTGATTACCGCCGTTGGCGATGACTTGACTATGGGCACCGTATTCGGAACAGACGATATCGTTTGCACAACCGATTGAGTTTGACGTTGCAGCTGTTGTTGCAATAGCATTTGCTGCTTTTGTTGTTCATCCAACTGTTGTTGCAATCGCAATTTTTGCTGTTGCTCGAGAATTTGACGCTGAATCAATAATTGTTGCCGTTCCTCTTCTTCGCGTCGCAAACGCGCCTGTTCCTCTTGCTCTTCTTGAATTCGTTTCTGTTCCTGTTCGATGCGTATTTTTTCTTGCTGTTGTCTTATTTGCTCTTCGATATACTCGCTGGTTGACGATGGCATTACCCAGAAACCGCGTAGCGCTTCAGTCCCGATTTGTTGGCCGGGCGGTTCGGGCATAAGCCAAAGGCCAGTCGTTTTCAGTACAACATTTGTGGCTTCTTCATTGATAACAATGTGTTGATTTTTCGGTGCTTCCACCCAATTTTTGTTTTGCAAATGATGGGCCGCATCGTAAAATGTCTCATCTTGACAAGTTCGCATATGAACCATTAGATCTCTGATTGTGTGATATCGTCGGCCACCTGAATTCAGATAAAAAAGAATAAAATTTGGAATAATATTTTTATTTTACTCAATTCCAATGAGTGTGGTGTTGATCTCTTACATTGTGCACATCCATATGGGATATATTGATCGGCTGCGACGTGTGATTTATTTGCGGAAGTATTGACCAGTTCGGTGGAAGTAGTTTTCCCTTGTTGATACGAAGCACTGTTGGAAGATGGCACAACGTTTGTGATTGTCGCCGAAGGCGGTTGGCAATGGGTCAAATGTTCCGATATGATTTCCAATGAATTGAACATCTGTTGACACTGCACACACTGATAAAGCTGTTGATTTTGACTCTGTTGCTCCTTTGCTTGGATTTTTTTACGAATAAGCGCCTCAAAATCCTGTTCCAGACTAATGGTGCCATCGAGAATTTTCGTTCGATGTGAAAATGATGTGTGCCGCAGTAATGAGCGTAAATCGTTAAAATCTTGTGTACAAAACAGGCAAATATAATGTCTTATGGCCTTCTCTTTCGCCAATTCGGTATATAAATGCTGAATATAGTCGAGTATATCTTGGAACGAATCGTTCTGTTGTTGTATGACGGCTGCCTCATGCGGTTGCACCGTTTGTATTGTTTGTCCCAATGTGTTTTGCTGTAAATATGTTTGCGTTTGCAACTGATCGGTTGGATTGATGGTGATTGCGGTGGCGGTCGGCGTTGCCGACGATAACACGGCCGACGTTGCTTGGACATAATGTTGTTCGCCGTTATTCAATTGAATCACATACATTCCTCCTTGTAATAGTTTCCCTTGATTCGTTTGCAGTGTATACTGTTGCATGCTCTGGGTACCAAAAACCAGAGGAAAAAACAGTATTTCTTTTGCGTTACACGCAAACTAACACCCAATGTGACCGCGTTTTTATTTGCGATGAGATAATTTATTTTTCGGCCACCACACGAACGAAAAGATTAAAAAAAAAATATTAAATGCGAGAGAGAGAAATTTTTCACATAAACGTCACTTTATGTTTGTTGTGCACTGACAGTTCTGATAGCTTCATTATTTTTTCTCGCTCCTCGCCGTCCTCTCCTACTACTTCTTCTTCTTCTTCGAAGAGAAAGCATTTTCAAATGTATTTATTTGATGTGTAGCGCCACCACACATACACACATTTTATCAAATTAAAATATCTGTTGTTTTTCGTGCAAATGGTTTGTCGTTATCTTTTCGAGGAAAAATCATAAGTTTGGCATTTTATTTTGAATTTTTTCTTTTTGAAAATAATATTTTTGATTGTCGAGAAATGCATGCGTTTGATTTAATTCACATTATTTTACTGTGGAAGAGATAATGTTCCATATCAATTAAGTACACGGTGGTTTGATTTGGTACTTATTGTGTGACTACGTAAACCATTTGTGCGTTCTTTGTGAATAGCAGCGCCATCTCTGTTATAGCTTCGTCCCTTCGCTTGGGTGATAGCATAATTTCGGGAGCTTTACACCCAACAAAAAAAAACAGACAATTTTACTTACGTTTCTATTTATGTTTCGCTGTTTACAACTCTCTGGCTTCTACCTATAATAATAAGATGAATAAAGCGATAATGGTATTGAGTTCTGTTGAAAGGCGTTAAAGTTATACTACTATTTCTAGTTTCTAAGAATAGTTTGCTTCCTCTTTAAAACCTCCAGAGATCCCAATTGACGTTTGCGTGATATATTTTACTAAGTTGCAGTTGTGAAACGAAATCATCATAAACATGAAGAAATATTACACTTAGCTTCCAATTACCGAGTTGTAGTATTGGTTCTGTATTTTATGCAATGATTGTTTCTCAGCTTAATTTCCGTTGACGAAGATTTTCTTCTATTGATTCAAATGTGGATTTTGTTCATGCCAACAAAGAAATGTAAAGACTAAGATAAGAAAACTAACAAAGAAATGTAACTTAATAAGCTAGACTTTTTGTTATGCTAAATAAACAGTTTACCGCTTGGTGGTAATCGCGGAAGAGTCGGCCGGTCTGCGGATCAGTCACCGGAAGAAAAAAATGTGTGTTCTGCTCAAAAATTTCTCATATATGAACCAGTGAGCATAAAAACGACTTATAAAAACGTCGCCGAACAAAGCGAAACACCTATTTGTTACTCGTTCAATTCGGAACAAATTGTACACTGGTATGTTACGCCGACAAATCTATGTTACGTTTTGATCGGCGATTTTTTTTAAGACGTTTTTATGCTCACGGGTTCATATGTAGTATATTGCATAACGTTGCGTGAATTAATCATAAATTCTTTGCGGCCTTTAAATTGGATGCTCGTTAAAACGGACATTTGTTTTGATGTCGAAAAAATGAATGCGGTCTTTTGCGTGGCTACGAGTCGGGTCATTTCGATTTTGCTTTCGCATTAAATTTTGCAATCGATATGATATTCACCTCACCGTGCATCGTATATCTTTTATGATCTATGTGCGCGTGCACCCGCTCGACATACGCAACAATACTCTCTGCACCAAACCCGGCTTTTATGATTAGAGATTAGAAATCACGGCAATTTAGGCGTAACATAGCTTTCTTCAGTTTTCTTTTTGCGCACATAGTTACATCTTAATTCAGTCTGAGCCCGCCTGAGTCAAGAAAATTGTTGCGCGCCATGTACAATGTACATACGGTGTCTTGAAATCACGCAAAGCGATTCGATAACATTGCGCGAGCGCGGATAGAACGATACGAACGAGGAGCGCAATGCAATTGATGCAATTAAACAATAGTTATGCGCGCGTGCATGGTTCCAGCGTGTAGAAAATTCAATGGCATGATCTTGCGCATTTACCGTTAATAAGTTTCAACTCTATTATATGTAATTGCATTCTTTTAATTCTTTTGGCGCGTTTCGGTTTCGGCGTTTGCAATCATCATCATCATAGTCACACAATTTTGAAAGAGCTATACCGCATTATGTGCGCAACATTCAGAACACAACATGTGTGCATGCACACAAGTGCGGAGCGAGAGAGAGAGAACATTTTGATTAATTTGTTGTTTTCATTGATCGGGCGGGTTCCATGCAATTTGACACGAAGTTTAATCCAACGATAATCGCCACTTGTTATCGCGAAATGTTTGCCGCAAAATGGTTCATTAGATAGCGTGCATCGCCCAATTAAAATATCAAACATGATAGCAAAAATGCAACGATGATAAACGGTTAGCAACATTTTTTGATCAGTTCTGAAATGATCATGGTGGATTTCGTATGGATCTATGCGATTGGATGTGATTTAATCATTCCAAACAAGTTAGGAAGACTGTTTATGGTGTTCTCAAATTACTGAAATTGAATTATACAGCGAAGGCTCAAGCGAAGTGCATGATGATTGACCAGCGGTCGAGAGAACGGCATGTGTAAACCTGTTCAACGCTACGCTACAAAAGCGAATTAATGCAGAACAAAGAACTCATTTTGTGCTTTCACTCAGTGATGCATTCGAGAATCGCATGAAAGGGCCCATTTAATTGATGTAGAATGCTTTCTTCCCGACCAAACAACAGAACTTTTCACTTTGTTTTCATGAATAAAAGAACGATTCGTTTAAAATATAGCTTTCACATTTATTTTGAATATTCATATTCCGTTCGCATACAAAGTCTACGTTAAGAATAGTTGATTTCGTGTGATTTTAGGTGTTTTTTGAGCAGCATATTCTCAGGGAAGATCTTGGAGCAAATCGGGCACGGGAATTTATTTGCGTAAATACCATGAGCTTTGAATTTGTGTCGTTTAAAGTCGATTGCGTAGGCAAATTGACGGTAGCATCCTTCCATCGAGCATTTATACGGTCGTTCGCTAAATTCATTAATTTTTGTATAATAGATCTTTTTTTATAGATTAATATATTAAATTACCCAGTGTGACTTCGCAAATGCTCTTTTCTGTGTGTCTTTGTGTAGAATCGCTTTTCGCAGCCATCATACGGGCAATCGAAAGGTTTTTCCCCGTTATGCTTGTTAATGTGTTCCTTCAACAAATGACTCTTTCTCAATGCTCTTCCACAAACATTACAAATGAACCGTTTTGGCTCCTTATTGTGCACGAACCGGACATGTTGACTTAGACTCGATTCACTTCTGTACGTCAAACCACAAATCGTGCACTTCAGCTCTTTTTTCGGGAAATGCAGATAGAAATGCGCTCTCAGTCCATTTTTCGACGCCAATGAACTATGGCATATATCACATTCAAATCGCTCATCTGTGTGCGTTGTCATGTGCTGCCGTTTGTTACTCTTTCGAATCAATTTGTCACATCCATCGTATTCACACTTGAAAAATATATCGTTGCTCTTCTCATTCCGTTTTCTTTTCTGCTTTTCCACAGACAAACACATTCTAGATTGAATCTTTTCGTTTCGATTTTTTTCATCGACTGGTTTTGCTATTTCATTCTGTTTTTCATCAATTTCTTCGTTTTCTTTTTCAATCACAACATTCACCTCTACGTTTTCAGGTCCAATCAGTGGATTTACTGATTCTTCTGTGTCTAGCATTACTTCAAAATCTCCCAAACTACAACTATTTTGCTCATCATACGCACTAAATTCAGTATTTTCAGATTTTCGGTCGGCATCCAGATTTTTTTTCAGCTCTTTTGATTTCTTTTTCTTTTTTCGCTTAGGTTTTGATGCTATACACGTAACTGTACTGTGTAATACATATAAATTTTCGCCGATACGAATTAAATCTTGATCACATTTCATGCAATTTTCCTTCGAAAAGTGACTCAAAATATGCGCATTTTTATCTGCAAACATTTGGAATATCTGCGAACAGAATTCGCACTTTAGATTGCCGGTTTCAGCTGAAAGTCAGAAGAATTTGTATCAAAGATTTTGATTCGAAATTGCGTAAACGAAAAAAACAGTGATAATAAAAAAGCTGAAAAGAAATAAAGATGACAAACCTCGATGGTGTCTTGGGAAATGCAGAATTTCCATGATTTTATTGAAATGTTTGATAAGCTGAGATGAGTTTGTTTACAAAAAATTTCGGTTCTGTCAAATCAATTCGTCTCTTGTTTTTATTTCAAATGTCAAGCGTGTGTCATGCCTAAAGTACGTTCACTAAAGTATTCAGGAGTTTTGATTTTCAATTGAATTACACAAGGATTTCATGGCTTTTTGCCGGTATGACCATAGTTATGTATCTGCAACAGAAGCTTTGAACGAAATGTTTTGCGGCACATAAAATTTTGTTCTGTGAGGTGCGGAAGCTTATGATGCTTTTGTTCTAAATGTGTATCAGAATCTGAGATTTGGTCGGAAATTTTGGTATACATACATATATCACATCAAAGTGAGCACCAATATGCTTCGACTTATCATAGCAACAATGATTCGAACTGATCATTTCACCACATCGTTCGAAGTTGCATTTGTATTTCTTCATGTTTTTCTTGTTCTTTGACGGTTTTGGTTCGGATGTGTTTGGATTTGAACCTTTTGTAACTGATGTCTTTTGACGTTGTTGTCCGTTTCGTTTACTGGCTGCTTTTGGGTTACTGCTGTTGCATATTTTTCGAATTTTTCAAAGGATCTTCCTTTTTTGGATCCGTGCTTTCTTAAATGGTTTTCAATTTTATTTGAGATTATTCAGAATGAAATGCTTCTGATTCAATAATGTTCTTTGCATCAATATCCCAACACTCTTGCGGAGCCGCGAAACTTTGGTTTTCCTCCTGAAAATAATCAATTACCATCGTACTCTCTATTTTTCCGCATCACTCTCCACAATGTTATTGAATTAATTTATTCGAATGCGTTTTCTCTACTGTCAATTTGCATTTGTTCGTTTATATCCGAAATGCCAATGTGTCAATGTGAGATTACATTGACGCGGTTTTTAAAGTATCATACTTAACAACGATCGTTTGCATTGCATCCAAAAACCGAAACGTATCACGATATTTGAAAAAAAGGTTCCAATTGATTGGGTTCAAACAGGATCGTCTTATTTCTCATGAAAAAAAAGACGAAAAGAAAATGATGTGCCATCTCTCACTACGTATATTTCATTCGATTGATAATAATTTTCTATTCTCATGCAGTGGTTTTAATCTGATTCAATGGTGTCAATGGAAAGAGACTAACGCGTCGCTGTAAACTTGTTCTTTTTGCATGCAACTGAAAGAACTGCAAATGTCATTTCAACGGCGGCTAACGGTTTTTGAGCGATACATTTGACCTAAATCCAGTGTCGGTTCTTGGCTTGCACAGCGATGCATGCAATTGATATGTTGCCTAACTGTTTGCACTCGCGCTGGTGCTGGAGCCCGCGCACTCACACACACACACACACACACATTCGCTAGTGCACTCACCATGCCATACATAATGAAATTGAAAAGTAAGAACGATTCTACGGCTGTTTCTTATATATCAATGTCACGTTCATGTTCATGTTGAGCACATATGCCAGTGTGCCCACATCATCCAACTTGGCAGCCGGGAGAAACTTGACTGGAGTACTGGATACACTCGAATTTATTTAAATCGAGCTTATTTTCAGTTTGACGGCAGATAGAGAAACAGAACGAGGTAAAACCATTCGAAAAAATATTGCTTCAATTCCACTGGCTCATTCGAGCTCACCATCACAACATATTGAAAATTGACTCTCTATCGAAAGCGTAAACAATTTTTTTTTGTTCTTGGTCGTAAATGAAAGCATTCAATTTCGTGATCAGAATTTGCAAGTTTGGCGTGTAAAAACGAAATCGGATTAACGAGTGAATCGAAATGCAAAACGACAATTGTAAGTAGAACATTCTGATACGATCATCGTCGGTATGTTCACCTAACGAGGTTTGATTGTTTATGAACAAAAAAAGAAGAGCGAGAGAGAGAGAGAGAGAGAGAGAATTAAATTGTAATTCGTGCAGTCTTCCATCAAGCATCACAGTTTGTTTGCCTCATTACATGTGGCCGACTACTTCATCGGGCTCCGACACACATATATATCCACAGCCACCAAGTCAGGCCAAAATAGAACCATACTTAATATGCACAATGTAACCGGTGCGCGTAGCGCGCGAGCGCGATATAATCATTTACGAATGGTTGAAAAAGAGAGCCAACCAACAATAAGAACAAAGAAATTATACGATTGACTAATGGCGTCCGTGTAAGCATTTCCATATGATGAACGAATCACGGATAATCATATCTCGTTTTTTTTTTGCTTCATTTTATTATTATTATTAAAGAAGCATTCTAGCTGAAATCATTTCCCTTTGTCGTTTTAGCATTTCAATTCACGTCCACGTCGAATCATGGTCAGTGGGTCAGTAATATCTTCATTAGAATCATATAGATATGGCGTGCATGTGTGTTTGTAATGGTGCGTGTGTGTGTGCCCGCGTTGGGTGCCGGTTTCAAAGCAACTGTTTCAGATTCACCTAAATATTATTTAATTACATTGTATTGGAATTTGTTACTCCAGCGTCACGACGGCCACATCATTTCTTTCTTTTTTTTCCATTTTCTAAATCTTCTTCATTTCATGCGCTCATTTTCCAAATGAATGTGTTACGCGCGCGGCAAAATAAATATCGATTGAAGCAATGGACAGAGAGAAACAACAGCGAAGAATGAATCGGTAGAATGTGAGATATTCTGTGCGCTCGAAACTCGTTCATGCGAAAGAATATCAGAATGCAAAACATTTGAATGTTGTACAAATGATCATTATTGTTGACTAAGTCAACATTCATGCTGCTTGTTGCACAGCAGGATCGCCACCAATCGAGCCAGAGCCTGGTGTTTGTGTGTGTGTGCGACCGGGCGATTTGCACCGCCCAACCAGCCGAACACACAAACAGTGGAAATGTAACTGGATAAATAAGAACACGACATGGATCGACTTAGAACATCATTTATTTAGTTAATTGATACTCAGAGTTGTGAATCTTGTTCCATTGCTTTTTGCAATTCCACCTCAAGCATTCAATTAAAACGAGAAGTTGCGGCGCTTTTCGTTGTGGTATCATTTTTTTCGGCTTCTTCTGCAACCAGAACTCAATGCAGTAATGAAGAGAATGGGCAAACGCATCTACATTTGGTGCAGAAATTGTAAACAGCATTCACTTGCTCTGACAGTGTGTTTTCGACTTCGTTGAATGGGATACTCGATATAGTCCATGTGCTAATTGTGTATTTGGAATAGCCTATTGAAAATAAAGCGCAGAGGCGGTAACATTGCATATGCATATCTAGAACATTTGGCCGATTCAACATTCAATATTTCATGTTTGTTTGCCAATTAATAATAATGATCTATTTCAGAATAATGCTGTTTTTCTCCCTAGCCTTCTCTCTCTCCACCTCTATCCTCGCTCGCACAAACCTTCTTTCTTCTGGTCATTTCAATGGCAAGTTTACTGACTTCCTTATTCACTCACATGTACGGACACACGAATTTCATACCGAATTGATCACAAAGTCACCATAACGTATTCAAAACGGGTATCATTCTAAATGGCAATTATAGTTTGCAAATTTATCGCAAATGATCGAAAAAAGTGTGATCGTTTCCATGTGCGCCACCGAGCACAAAACATTCACCGAAGATGATCGTTTTGTAACAGGCGTTTTTTTTTTCTTTTCTTCAGTTGGATATTCACAAGAGAGAAAAAAATGAAAGAAACACGAACAGTTAACAGCGCAGAAAGAAAGCATAAGAACAGTTAACATGCACTTTTGTAAGTTCAAATATTTGCTATAGATTTTTCATGCTCTATAAACATTGAAGAATTGGTTTGAACTTTTTACATTTTACATTTGTTGCGGTGCGAAGCGTTAAGTTCATTTAAGAAAAAGAAAGAAAAACGTCTCGCTATTGGCATTGTACGATTACAACCGCAGAACAATTGAATGAACGCAATACAAACGCGAAAAAAAACACATAATGAAGAGGAACTGTAAAGAATGAAAACAACAATAATATCATCACACGGAGAAAAAAGTGAGCGAAGAAGACGATGACGATGACGACGGAAAAAGCAGCAAACCAGATGATCCAATGCGCTAGGTTGTAGTAATATGATGATGTACGAGCACAAGTCTAATGTAACCGAGTCAATAAATAAACAAAACGATGGAACGCAGTAACAACAATTCAAAGCCAATCGAATGAAGCATGAACCATCCGAATAGGGAAAAGAGAAGTGCGAGAGAAAAACAAAACAATAACAACAGCAAAGAATGAAGTAACATCAGCACGTAGTAATGTGCAATGTTGGGCCTTTTCCGCCAATTGCACACATGCTGCCAACCGATTCCAACACCTGAGCAACAAAAGGTAGACAGAGAGACGAGAGAGTCGTTTGGTGTGCGAAAGTCATAAACATAACTGAGCTTCGCGTAATTACAAATTAATAGTTTTGACTGTTAATCGGATGTTAAAACCCCAATGTACTTATACAGTTTACTTGCTTACGCGCATGCTGCCAAGATGTCGAAACAACATCACGAAACGACGATGTGAACAAAACAGTATTGCACACCAAACACACACAATGAACTTGAATAAATTCCATCTGCGCTTTTATCTTCACTTTGAGCGCGTTTGGGATCTTTTGTTTTGCCACACGTATGGTGTGTATTTACGTTTGCGTCTCCTGGTTATGTGTCTGGCTGGGTTCATCTCTTTCAACCAATTCCGAATGCCGCTTAAGCAATTCCGCCGAATTTAGCGTTATTTAACACCTTTCTTTTATCTTTGTCTGTGCACCATTTCGGTTTTCTTCCATCATCACACACACACAGACAGAAAAATGTTTTTTATGTTATTTTAATTTGAATGAAGATTAAGCAAAAAATAAATACTCTCAATGCGAAATGTGATTGCACAAAACAGACGAAAAAAAAATAAAGCTATCTTTCAATATTGTTGAATATATACGCGTATAAATGTAAAACATCATGTAAGATTATTAATTTGTTTGCTTTTCATTATTTGGCCAATATTTTTGAGTTGTGGATTGAGAGAGTCTTCCTTTTATTTTTTCATACCATGAGTGGTATACAAATTATACCGTTTGAAATGTGTTTGGACTGGCAGATTTGAAGATGCTGCGATTACAACCGGATTTTCGTCATTCAAAAGCAATAAATAGTAACAGATAAAATAGCATCATATTGGATTTTAAAAAAGCAGTTTTCCATCGAAACAATTAAATTGATCAAAATCTTTGGGTCGAAACATTGAACGAAATTCACATAATGAATGACATCAGAAACCCGTTGGATGATGATATATGTTCAAGTACGTTTGATATGCATCGTGATCGAAGATTCCATATGTTTGTCTTACGTCGATAAGAATGTGATGGTTTTGTTTGCTGATTTTATCATCGTATCGATTGCAGATGATTCAATGTGAAAAATCTAATCAAAGCATTTGTTGAATGGTCGACCAAAAGCGATGGTTATTCGTGACCATTGTCAAGATATGATCACTTTTTTCCATCGTAAATTTATGCATGAAAGTCGTCGACTTGGTCAAAGAAAACAATTCAATTACATAACAAGAATGTGGAGAAGGTGCGAAAAGCTTGGACCCGTTACTTGTTGATATTCATTCAATTCGTTGTAATTAGGAGAAAGAACATCAAAAAATTTCGTTCGACAAATTATAAGCTCGTTTTTAGAATCGATTTAATAATTTTTTTATGGGAATGTTATAATAAAAATATGGAAAATTATGGCCGCATCACAGCTTTATCAGCTGAATCAATATGAACGAAAGAAAAGCAACTCAACCGTAGAGAAACAAGATGTTAGCTCATTTCTAATCTGATATCAAAGTGATTCCTCTACGCGAGAGTGTGTCTTTGAAATCGATAATGTAATGTGCATAAATTTGCAACTGAAATCATAAAAAAGAAAGCATTTCACCATTTCCTCATATACATATTAGCAATTAAGTGCAATATTTATTCGCTTTTATCTCATCGCTTAATTTGCTAACGGTGTTAAAAATGAAATCACATATACACGCCAGTCCAGCTGGCGTATACTACTTGCATCGGAGCTCCCCGGTCCAATGGATCGCCACTTTTATTGTATCCATCGCTCACACTTAACGCACAATTTATTCGATTCGGTTTGATTGAACAGGTCATAGAATTTTAACTGTTTTATAGTCTATATTTTATGGGCAGCAATTTGGAGCACAGCATCGAATCGTAAAACCGTAATCTGAGCTCAGAACTCAGAAAAGTGTTGTGTTAGTTATTCACGTTTTTTTTTCTTCATTCTTCGGTGGGCTTGTCATCAAAACAGTGGCACAATCGAATGGAATCCGGAGACTGAAATAGTTTGTTGGATTGCCAAATATATGTTCAACAAGTTGAATGAAGAAAAAACCGTTTGAACAACATAAACGATCGTTCCAACCGAGTAGATGTCAGACAAGTTAATCGGATCAATTTGAAGTGACCCTTGATTAAGCTTTAATTTTAATCCGCTCGATATATGTACACACACACACACACAAAATAATAGACCGCTGAAAATATGGCCTACTTGTTTGCCGATTAAAAACAACCGATACACAAACTCTGGCTCTCTGGAGTGAATAAATATATTTTTTGATCAAAAGAAATTCTGTGGCGTAAACTTACCGTTATAAAGTCGGACGATATCCACTAATTACAGCAATCTTTATGCACCGAGCATATTTCTCTCTCTCTTGCGTTATCGTCTTTATTTGCGCGATTAATTAAACGCACTTGCTCAAAGGAACACCTATTTTTCGTTCTTTAGCACCACAAGATTCTGGTTGTGGCTTTATTTATTGCTTACATTACTAATTTCGCCATAAACTAATTAAAAAGTGACACACAATAATTTATTAAAAGCAACGGCTATCAGGAATGCAAGACAAACGTGAGCCAAGAGCGAAAAAAATGTCACCCAACGGCCGTTTATGCAAATGCAACACTACACTTCAGAATAAAACGGTCTGAAATTGCTTTATTTTTTGATTTTGTTCAAGAATTTTGTTCTAAGTTGTCTCTGATTCCAGCACAATAATTTCACACCATGAAAAACAAATGTTGGCCAATAAAGAAGTTGAGTGGCCGATCTTTACGTTATTTTTGGATTTGCACGCGCCAAATTTTCACTTGACTGATGCGACGACTTACGTTTGAATCGATGTTGCTTCGGCGGCAGCTCACATTGTACTGTGCCGAATGAAAAGTTCAGTTGCTTCGATATCGAACGCATTGCGAAGATAGTGTGTTAACTAGTTGTATAGTGTTGAATCTGCGGCTTCATGACCATTTCTTTCTCGTCCGGTGTATGTCTTTCTATCTCTTTTCATTTCTTCGTTTCCTCTAGCCGCTCTTCGGTTTCGCTTTGGCTTTGGCTCACAGCGACAACGAAATTCAAAGCATATCGCGCACACAACATTTCTATCATGTTCTATGCCCGATTCTCGCGCGCAAGACTTTTCACATCCAACCGAAGTGAAATTATATTCTATTTTCTTTCGGTGTGCGCATGATCGTTTTGTTCTATTTGATTGAATCAACCTGTGTTGTTGTTTTTTTCTCTCGGTTCTCAACTCACTGATTAACGTTTTCGTATTGAAAAAAAAAGAGATGTGTAATTATGGTCATGAAGCACAATCAACAAAATGAACTTAAAAATATGATTTGTACTTATGGCCATCGTTTTTCAATGAACGTAAATAGCCGCATCGCGATGAAATGAAAGAACAACAAAAATTAGATGTACATCGTACAATGAGATCGTCGTGTTATTTATGGCTGTAGCAAAGCGAAAAACAAATGGCATTACCAAAGAAATCACATAGGTTTTTTTTTCGGTCGTTCACGACTTTAACGGAACGACAAGTGCAAAATGGACACACGAAACAGTTTTCGACTTGTCGATGGGTTCTCATCCGAAACGATTATCTCTCTTTGCCGGGCGATTTCGGAAAAATAGCAAAAAGAACTGTCGAAAGCATCAAACACTTTGCGTGAGTGATTTTCATCGCTACGGAAATCGCTGCTTATTTGTTTGTTTTTTCATTACACACAATTAAGCGCGTTGAATTGAATAAAGCGTTGAAAACAATTATAGACGAGCCTCGAATCGAAAAGTACCTCGCAAAATGAGCAAAAACGAAGAAAATTTGAGAAAATAACATGCCAAGAATTAAACGTCGGAAAAGAAAGAAAACGATTGACATGCCAACGGATCTGAAAAATGCTTCGACCAAAATGGAAGCAAAGATAAAAGAGTAAGAGACGACAAAGACATAGAAGAGCAAAAAATAGTGCACCTATGTGGAAAATCGGCTGATGCTCTGCTGTATTTTCATTCGTCTTGTCGCTTTACAAGAACTTCCACATGCGTTCAATTATTATGTAATTTCCAGTGACTTTGGAGCGTACCGATGTGGTTTCGGTTGCTAGCTACTGCTTGCTGCTACTGTTGTCTCTTTATTTTGTCATCGTATGGAATTGACGGCTGCAATGCTCGCGTTTCTTCACGTTTCCCGTGTTTGTTTTAGAAGTGTAACTAATGATGATTAGGTAACTTTGATGGGGAAAACACTTGATCATCATTGCGCCCAAGTGTAGAGATGTGACGAACGCGCGCGCGTTAGATGTAGCGGTACTTGCTGTGCCGATGTACTAAATGCGCTTCATACTAGTACACAAAAGCAGCCCGTCAGTTTTTTGGTTTCCATTAAGAAAAAAATTGTCCAAACAATTGGGCTGGAAAAAATTCTTCTCATTTTGAGCTAAATAGGTCAATCATCTATGCATTTTGACCGTGCACGAGGTAAAGGCACCTCTTACTTCTGCTTCTTGGACAATATTCTGTTCTTTTTGCTGATGACATCTATTTAGTATTTATCGGAATTGGATAGTTGCGCCAAATTATACCAACGAATTCTCTTTTTTTTCTCCCCCCATTTCCAATGCAAAAACTAATGACTTTTTCTCTTCAACCTAACTTCTGACATCTTTTAATGCGATGCTTTTTATCTACGAGAACATTTTTTGTCGTTCTATCGTTCAGGCCGGCTAAATCAGCCGTCAATCAAAATTCGTTAAGTTATCTCAACCTTTTTTTTCTCTTCTGCTCAAAGAAATGTCCAATGGAAATATGTTAATCTAGATTAAAAAAGCACATTCCGTTGAATAGAAGAGTTTTTTAGAACAATATAGTTGATCAGCGGGAAAAAAAATAATCTCTCGTCGATTCAAGTCAAGTGGTACCAGTGACCTATTTTCATGGCTGATTATCATTCGTGTTCGTTTTTTGTTGTTATGTTGTCATCAATCGCCAAGAATATTATGCGAGAGATGAAAATTGACAGAACAAACATCGGTAAAAACATTGTCTACGACATAATATATTCGAATCATTGGTGCTTGACTGCTTACTCGTGCATTGAGCCGACCACCGCTTGAGCAATCGGCATCACTAAACATTTGCTGGCTGCTTTTGTTGTGATCTCTTGCCCAGAAACGCAAGATCCAAACCGATCGATAATACAATGAACAAATTCACATGGCATTACAACGGCAATAACAACAACAACGACGACGACGACGACGACAAAGAATGAAAGAAAAAAAACGGCAACATAAATACAGTTTATGCTTTTACTGACGTTCTTGTTGCCAGCGCATTAGCTTCTCGTTGCTCGAACGTAGAAGCCGTACCATTGACCATAGCTGTCCCAATTTTTCGGTATGAAAAGTCAGCGCCAATGGACAATGTAGCTTCGATCTTGAAGCATGCGCTTTTCTTCTTTTCCTATCTCTCTCTTCGTTGGTTTTGTTCTTGCCAAATGGAAGTGTTATCTGATCATTCACTTTTTCTACACACACCGTCGATCCGTTCGTTTAACGTTATGCTGTGTATCAAGCTAGTTCATCACACCACATCTTTCGCTCGTTCGTTTTGTTTGTTCGGTTGATTCGTTCGTTCTCGCGAAAACGTACACGCGATACTATTCAAAGTATTTAATTTGCTTCTTGAGCGTTTTCTATCATGATTATTGGCATTAGCATTTTTCGATACATATTTGCTTTTGTTGTGCGCTCGTCGAATCGGATGTGTTATGTTGTGTTGTTACGGAATCATAAATTATTGTTTGGCTGATGTTGCTTACGATCACGGTCATTGATTAAATGGGATTATTATCACACACGTAAACCGCAAGCAAATGATTTGTTGTTCCTTTGTCTCCTTCTCTCTCTCTCTCTCTCCCTCTTTTCAGTTGAACTACAAATCGAGCAATGAATTTACGATTTTATTTCTTTTCATATTTCATTCTTTCAAAAGCCAATTCCGAAGCTATGTGGCTAGCTGGCTGGCTGATTGACTTCGTGTGAAAACAATGCAAATCGAATCATATGCAGAAAAAAAAGAAATAAGAGAAACTATTTTTTCCTTGCTTCTCTTCTCTTCAATGTTTTTTTTTATGCTAATTCATATCACCGACCAGCAAAGTGATCTAATAAAAGTTGAATGCATCTTGGGAAGTTTTCTCAAATGATCGCTTCAAGAAACAAACATCCATCGGACACATGAACAATGGTCAATGAGCTTGAACAACAGCAAGAGAAAGAGAACGAGAGAGAGGTAGAGAGTGCGGGAGAGAGATGAAGAATATGTGCAAAGAAAAACAACATCAACAACGATTCCGTATTATTCAAATCGGAGGCTTTCACAAAATCGGAATGCTGTTACACACGAAATGTCGAAAAGATAATTGAAAATAATTTCGATCGGCTGTGTGGTTTATGGGCATGACTTCCATCAATTGAAAATTCTTGTGGCCGCGAAAACTTCACAACTTTGACACACATTCCGGTCATTTCGTCATCATCATTTTCTAACGTAATAAAAGTATTCCCAATTTTCTCTCTCTCTTTCTCTTTCCGCATCTTTCGCCCTCTTCGGTTGGCTAAAAATGTGGCGATGGAAAAATTGGCGGAAAATCAGAGACAAGATTTGCCAATAATCCATTTGTAACGCTTGATTAGGAATGTAACGTTGCCGTAGCATTTGGTGAAAAAAATTCTAAGACCTAGAATATTTCTTTTTCCCTCACGAAAAATGATAATCGAAGAAAAGATGCAAATATCCAAAGCAAAATTAGCATTAATCCGTCACATCGAAATGTGGAGAGAAGAAGAAAAACCAGAAATAATTTCCACTCGAAAAAATTCGATAGGCTCAAGTGAAAAAGTGTCGAATTGAAAACGCTCAGAATTAATGATGAATGAAGCGAAATGATTTGAAATTAAGAAAACATTCATTTTGTGAATGGTCTTCGACAAAAAGCGTGCACAATGAAACAGTTACGTTTCATTGTTACCATCGACACTGTTGCTATTGCACCTGACCAAAAAGGTACAGTGTATTCGCTTGCCGTGCGATACAATTAAGAGCCGTGTACGGCTTTTTCGGCGCTATATTTCAATTCATTACACACGCTTTTTTCCTCATCTCTTTTCAGTATCTTACATGGGTGATGTGTATGTAAAAGAAAAGCGACGAGTCACGTTATTCTTTCTTTTAATGATTTTGGTACGATTAATTTGATGGAATCAATGTGTTTGGTTCTATAGATTGAATTCAATACATTGCGAGACAGAACATTCTGGACAGCGCGTGTGCTTCGATCATAAGGCCTACAAACGTAACCATTGTTACAAAATAATTGCACAGATTGGAAAATTCGCGAATTCACACCACGGACAACACAAAAGATCACACCGAATTCTCATTGTACGGCAGTGACAATAGAGAGAAGCATCGATTAAATTGTCTTCGTACGTTTTCATTTTGTCTGTATGTCTCTTCTAATGTTCGTTCTGTTAAATGAATTTAATTTAATGACGGTTTTTACCATCTAACATAGCAGCAGCAGCAGCAACAACAACAACAACAGCAGCAACGGACCTGAGATGGCACTGCACAGTAGAAAATTATTCGTCTGATCTTGACGGTAAAACTCTTGTTACATTCTCAATTACAATTTTAATGGTGAAACCAGACAGAGCTGGTTACTTTGTCTGAAATGTTTCTGCATAAAAAATTTCTTCTCACGAAAAAAAGACAAAATGCATTTGGATGGTCATTGAGAAAATGTGGATAATTGCATCTTGTGAAATTAACAGGCAAATTGCATCGGTAGTCATTGGTGGTTGTTTGGTAATCATGTCATCTTAAGAGGCTCACACACAATGTGTTTTCACCAATTTATGAAATGAAGCGATGATTTTGAATATTTATCTTATTCATGCGAATTTGACCTTATTTTAAGTGCGGACCGCGGATTTCAAAAAGTTCCCTCTTGTTTTCTTCTTTGAATGCATCCAGTTTCGTCCGAATGCATTAACGTTGATGTATTTTCAATATTCGAATAAGAAAAGTTTTCTTAGAAAACTCATGATGACTGACAAATTGGTGTTTTTTTTTAATTTAAAACATTGTTTTATTTGATGCTCATGACGAAGACTCTATCGTTATTTTCGTTATGTTGCTAATCCACTAAATAAAACGATTATTTTTCGAAGTTTGACCACTCATTCAGAGATATGAAGATTGCAAAGTCAATGGCGAAGGCCGAATCTAAAATTAAAATGAAATCTTCAAAATACGAAACGGTTTAATTCGTTTTTGCATCCTTATTTATTCATCGTCTGTTGAAAAACTGAAATCACAGATTAAAACTTCGCGCAAACATATGATTAAGTACTTAACATTGTGAATATTTTCCCAACAAATGTGTGGCTGCTCCACAAAATACCCATCTATCTGTTTTGAATGAATTGTATCAAGTTTCTTCGTAGGTCAACTGATCGGTTGTTATCATTATATTCATTAATTTTTTTAATGTTCTAAAGAAAAAAAAATCGCAGCCAAAACATGTGATATTCAGCTATTTGTTCATTTTTCGTTGTTGCTTATCAATTATTGATAATGGCCAACCATTTTTATTCCAATATTATCAGCATTAGTCATTATCGAAATATGTTCACATTACTCAAAATGTCTAATCGAAGAACAATGAAATGAACGCTATGCCACTGTATTTATCATCAATCACTGTTTGCTCGATGAATAAACATAAAACTTCAAATTCATCTGATTCATTCATATTACAAGCAAATGTTATCACTCCATCAACAGAAGTGTACTGACTGAATACACTGCCCTCTACTGTATTCGGCGCACAAACTCATATGCTGATATGTTATTTTTCGTTCACGACATCAAAATGTCAAATCAACAATGAAAACAAGAATAACATTACAAACTCTCTGGATCATTTGCACAACAAACACACTTGATTCCATTCACAGCAATCAGTCAGTGTTGAAACGTCATTTTATCACTAAGCAATAATTCGTCGCAAAGACAAATACAGTGCAAAAAAAGACACAGAGAAAAAAAGTGACTCAAATGTGAAGAGAAGAAAAAAGAAATGATAAAGCATTTGGTATTGTGTTCGGATTTATGTGAATGATTATTTTGTAAGTGGAAATTTGAATGAAATTTTATGAAATGTGAGTGGAAAATTGTGTATGATTTTTAGTTTTTAAGTAAAACAAGTGCCTAATTGAACAAAACACACATACGAAAGAAGAAGAAAAAAACAACAACAAAGACTTGACGATGTACAATTTTTTTTTGGTCGTGAATTTATTCGGTAGTTTCGATTAGTAGAAAAAAAATACATGTTTGCACTGTGAAAAAAACTATCTAACACAGGACCAATACATTGTTTGGTGTCACATTAAGTGAATAAATGCAATAAACTGGTGAGGTTTTCTAAGTGAAAAATGTAGTAAGAGAAGAAGAAGAAAAAGAAATAGGCGACCTCGACGGCGACAACGGCAACACGAAAGAAGAAAGAAAAAATAGAACAAATATCACGAGATAAAGAAACCAGCGAACGCGCAAAATAAGCACACGTACATAGAAAAAGTTTTTTTTTACTTCAAGCAAACACATGTCAGTGAACGATTTGGTGATAGACGAAGCAGAAGCGACCGCAGCCGCAGCAAATGTGTGCAAAAATTATTCCATTTCATTGTTGTTATTTTAATTTTGCCATTTTTTGGGCGTTTGTGTCACCACCGTGTTTCTCTTAGAAAAAATAAAACACCGAACAATTCACGTAATACCTTGAATGTTTTGTGAAATACCACATTGACTGCCGTTCGATTTATGTACATATATATTATGCTTCGTTTATGTTGTTGTGGTCCGTTTTTTTTTCTTTTCGCTGCGAGACTTGCATGAAATCGCAATGTAACAAGAAACGATAATCGTAATAATAATAATAAGCAACAAAAGGGAACAAGTAGCGAATCAAGTGAAAAGAAAGCAAAAAAAAATGTTGAAGAATTTTTTAATGATGCATGTTTTCTGAGTATGTGGGCTAAAGTGCAAGTTTAAATATGAAATGGTGGAAATTTTGAATGAACCCCAGCACACGGAAAAAAGTGAAAAAGGAAATGCAATTTTATTTTAGCCCTATTACGACGGTGCACACAAACAATTTGCACGAATCAAAAGTGTATCAATAATTTTAGTTGGAAAGAGAGTGAGAGAAAAAAAAGTAGAAAATGTTAGCTGAACTGCAAATTGAGTGGAAAAGCCCAATTTCGACTTATGTATTTCTACATTGAAAATTTATTATCCGCATCTTAGTGTGTTTTGGTGGCGCCGTCAAAGAAAATCGAAATAGAAAGAACAGAAAACATAGGAATTTTGTCAACAATATGGGTGCAAAAGACTCAAAACCGTCGTGTATAAGCTATGAGGATGCGATAAAACGCGGTAAGTGTGAAATTGTATATATTTTTCATCGTAATGATTGCAAACAAGGCACCATCGAAACAACGACAACATGAATAAGCGACAGACACACACACACAGAGAGAGAGAGAGAGAGAGAGAGAACAGAAAGAATCGCATTAGGCTTAATCATCGGCTATGCTCGCGTGTGTGTATTGTAGAAGGCACGAGCAACCGTTAAAGGAACTTAATTAACTTGAACACAAAATAAAAAAACAACAACATTGTAAACGACACAACGAAAATTGCAAACATGTTTAGATAGTGGGATTGAGTGACAATCGTTCATGGCGCTGATCACATGAATAGAATTGAGTCTGTGAGAGGGAGAGCTGAACAAACAAAAATGTCAGTCAGTTCGTTTGGATCGACAAACAAAAACCAAAACAACCAAAAGCAAAGACAAAAAGTTCACGCTCACACTTGCAAAACGGCAGCGGTTTGATTTCAGTGAATCCGCATTTCAGTGTTTTGTTTTGATCCATGCATATGCAGTCTGTTTTTTCTCTTCTTCTTCTTCTTCTTCTTCTTCTTCTTCTTCTTTTCTGCTCTCGTCTCTCTATTCCCTCAATTAAATGAATATTTTCAAACTAAACAAGATAAATAAACAATCAAAACGAATGGGAACGAAGCATAAAATCAAATAATTTGACGTGATGTTGTTGTGTGTATGAGCGTATGCTTATACGTAAGCTCAAGCACAGCACAGCACAGCACAGCACAGCTCGATTCAAGTATTTTATATTGAATCGACACACAAATCCAATTGCGCACAAAAAAAGATCACTTTGCATACGTGTGTGTGTGTGTGTTTCAACAAGCACGAAACGTGCCCAGTTTAATTTCACTAATTCGATCTTTCACACTGGATTATCAAATACACATATGGAGTCTATATGCGTCTCATTTGGAACTGTTTTTCTCCCCAACGCCGAGTATTCTAACATTTCGAAATGTCTGTGGACGACAGGTTCTTGATTTCGATGTCTGAATGAAATGTATATTTATATTCATGGGCCAAATAAAAGAGTCACGCTTCGGTTTGTTATAACACGGGTGGATAGAGGGAAGGAAATGTCAAGATTACCAGACTATTGAATAATGTTAGCACAATGTGAGTCAACGGTATGCAGTGTTATCAGTGCCGGGGCACTTGATCATAATTCTTCGAATCAAATCATGATTTTTACCCCACATTCGAATGAAACTTCTTCGGCATTTTCTTTTGCGGCGATAAAATTATGTGATAAGTGACGTCAACTATTAGTCAATTGGGCAGAAGGTAACCAGAAAAAAAAATGGCGCATGATTTTTTTCTTGGCAATTCTTCAACGTAAACAAGTTTAGGAAAGAAGCAGATTTTTTTCTTCTGATAATAATATGACGTACAAATACAGCATACAGTTAAGATTTTGTTCTCCCATTGTTTTAAATGTCTACTGGATTAATTGGCATTGTTTTTTGATACAGACAGAGTCATCGTCGGTGGAGAAACGATAACAAGTTTGTGTTTCAATCCATTTATACCTATTATTAAATTGCCCGTTTCACGCTTTCTATTTGAAGTTGTTGAACACATAGACTGGATTGTGGCGCATGTTTGGCGCTTGTGTATTTACCATGTAATCCGTTTACAAGTAAGATTACTAGGAAATTATCCATATACCGTATTACAGCGGCGAATAATGAACTTACCAATGATTCACTGTATGTATTCCAAACAATGATAGTGAATTGATTGAATTCCGTGTCCCCGAATCAATGCGCTACAACATTTCATTCATATTTTATGGCCTGGAAAATGACGATGAAGTGTCCTTTTTACACATGTCTCTACACCATGTTTCACCGGTCTTGTTATTGTCATTTGGAAAGAAGAAACACGAACAACGATGGGTAAACAAATGACGAATATACGTTCAACTAGTTGATTATCGTTATACAAACAGTAGGTAATATTATTGCCATATGTATTTTTTATTTGGTCTCTCAATGAATTATTTGCCATAGAGAAGCTACGCGCCGGGAATTTTGAACGATTCAAACGAATTTCTATTCTGTATGGTCAGTACGGCTATTTTTTAAGTTCATTTTGAGATTCGCCAAGAATTGATTAGTTTATTCAATGAAAAAACAATTTGTGGGGTTTGTGGAAATACAAACAAAATATGGTAATTATTGTGACCAATTTCTGTTCCCCTGAAACCGCTACCTCCGCTGTCACTGCCACCGATTAAATATGTCTTTCTAAACAGACACTCTCATACACTCAAATGCTCCAACAACTTTGAAAAAGAGTATAAAAATATAAACACACGTGTCCGCGGCTCATTCAATTTTCATTCTCTTTTTCGCTTCATACATTTTTTTCTATTTGATAATTGAAATTAAATAAATTGCTATGTGATAACCGAGTGTATTGTTTAAATTATCGTCATCCAGGTTTTTTTTATTCGTTCCATTCGTTTTGAATTAATTCGTATGTCATTTTGGGCGATTCGTTTGCCCCGTACGGATTTGCGCTTTACAAGCATGTAAAATGAATTTTTGACGTTGGAAATAAAGACAAATTAATACCAGATTGAAATACTCTTTGCTGGCTAATGCGATGAATGAAATCGATTGTATTCTGGAAAAAATGGAAAACAATTGCATTTGAGAAAGCTCATTTGCTTTGTTCTGCATTGAATAAAGTGGAAAAGCGAAGAGCCTGCAATGAACTTTGTGTACATTATGAGATTCCAAATTAAGCTTTCAATAATTGTTCCATCGGCAATTAGTTCTCCATTATTAAAACAATGGTTGACCTTGGATGGGGTTCTGGATTGTATGCTCGATACACGCTGGTATACGTGAATTCTTATCGACGAAACAAGTGTATCGATAACACTCACATAAGAATCTAATCTTGTGCAATTATAATCAAATGGTTAGTGGCGCTATGGAATGAACTCGTATACACCTCTAATACACAATGCAAGTTGACAATTTAATAGTTCGACACTGCGCAGTATGCGGCTTCAAATTCAAACAACAACAGCAACACGAAAAAAAAATGGTCAAAGTTTTGTTATTGTTTGACTTCGAAAATTGGCCAATTTTCATGTGTATGAGTGGCGCGCGCGAAAGCACGATAACATTTCCATATGAGTGCATGTCGTATAGTTGGGCTGTCAATTAGCTGTGTGACAATTTTATTTATTGTGTCTCATTTTTTTTATTGGTCGACTAAACTATTTTAACGAATCAACAAATAAAAACGGTTCGTTTTATCTATTCCTGAAGTGTATTTTTTTCACTTCAACTATTGTTGCATCTCGTTTCACACATTTATTGAATTACCGACTCAATTTTTTTTTCTCTCAGATTGTTTGCTATAGATTTAATGAGGGAACCATAATAATAAAACAAATGTCTTAAACTTTGTTTTTCTACTTTTCACTGTACCATACAATCAAACCGTATAATTTAAACAAGCCACTTTTTTCTCTCTGCTCTCCATCTTATCTGAATGTATACTATATCTAATGTGTGTGTGTGTTGTAAATTTCATGAGGAACTCACTCATCCGTAAATACCGTCATTAATTTTTAGAGGTCATAATGCACCTGATGAATGCCTGTTATAAGTAACAGCCGATAGAGAGAGAGAGAGAAAAAAAAACAATGCATTCGTTACTCTAATTTGTGCCGACAAGACTGATAAAATGCTTGTCGTTAATAGTGTTTTGAGTTGTCAAGGTCATCTGACGACGTGCTACAAAAACAACATCCCATGTGAATATAAATTTACATTTCACGAACAAAAAAAACGCATTGCAAATGTCATTTTTTGTTGATTTCCATTCGATTCTTTCGATCGATCAAATGTGTATTATTTTGATGATAGAAATTGATTAGATTTCACAGGGCCTTGCCGCTGTGTCTCATGTATGTGACAACATTTTTTTTTTGTTCCACAGTTTCAACCACAATTCTGTACTTTTAAAACAATGTAATCGTTTTTTATATCATTTTTGTTATCAATATGATTTTGTATGTCAACAGCACAATTTTATTTCGATTTTTTGTCGATTCGATTTCGATTACCGCTTTACACTTTTATCGTCATCTGCCAAAGAATTTCCGGCTCACGTCATTCCGGCCCAGCGAATAGCAATTTTTTTTTCGTTTCAATTCAGCTTGAGAATATGCCAAGTCACAACCAAATGCGATATTTATTGCTTTTCTTTCATTGAAAGCATTTGTATTCGACTATTTTTTCTCTTATATTGCGGAAATTTGAATCTTGATATCAGAGATTACTATTACGTATGCATTATTTCTTGTTGCAAAAAAAATAGAAGATTAGCATATTTCATTAGGCTGAACAACAGCAAAATGTGCGTATAATATTTTTATGTTCATGCGTATGATTGCCACAGCTAAGCAAATTCTCTCTCTGTTGTGTTTCATTCATAGTGTAAACTAAAACGAATGAAGGTACACATAAAACAAACAAACGTTGGTGAATAAAATATGATTTAAGGTCAGGCATTGTGTTGCAATAATGCGCGCGCGAACGTGTACACTTCACACCGACCATGCAGTTTTTGTGTCGTTAAATGTGCGCAGAATGATAAAATAGTGTGTGGTTTTGAGCTACGACAGTTGTTGTTTTTTGTTCTGCGTATAAAATGCGTTGCGATGCGTATGACACTTTGCCAGTCAAATAGTTTCGTTTTTTTTTTGCTGGTGTTTGCAATAGAGACGGACGGCTAGTCAATGGAAAAACCCATTGCAATTTTGAATAAGCGCCGCATATTCCGACCGATTTAGGCCAATGTGATTTCTGTTCTGAATTCGTGGAAAATGTCATAAAATTACTAATTACATTCAATAAACATTAATTTTAGCTCTGCATAGATAAGCAACATGCGAAATTATATAATTGTGATGTTTTTTTTTTACTAAAGTTAATGAAAATGAGCTGCGACGCATCAAAGAGGCATTCAAACGATCGGCTGGATCGAATGGCACAACACTCAGCAAAAATGCATTTCTACAAGATGTTCTATCCGAAGGTATTCCAACTGTGTTAGCCGACTGGTTGTACAGCGCTTGCGGTGGCACACAAAAGGGTATCGCATTCAAAGAGCTTCTCTGCGGTCTGGTACTGCTAACACGCGGTTTAACCGATGAAAAAATCAAGTAAGTTCGATCAACTTTACCGTTGTTTTTTTTTCTCGATGTTATATGTGTCATTTAATTAGAGTGTTCATTGACGCACTGATTTTTCAGTTGATTTGGTAATGGATTAAATCAACAATCTCTATGAATTGTTAAAGTCTAACATCTGGGCAAGAATAACTCACTTTCGTGGGTAATTTTCCACTTTGACTGGCAAATATTCGACTTTATGCAAATCGTGAGCACACAAAATTGCCCACAAGCAAACTCACGATTGTAATTGTTATGCTTGTTCACGGAAAATAACACTCATCAAGAACTCTTTCCATCCATGCTAACCATAAAACAAGCAATATCCGTGTGAAGGTGAATCGTAAAATCACCGACACTCTAAGCATAAATCAATATATCGTTCGACCAACAGAAGGAGAAGAAGAAACGAAAATCAATAACGATAATTTTAAATGCTATCGCACTCACGTGTGTCATTTCCATAGCTTCCATGACAATGTGTAGACATGACAAAGTGAGCAGTGTTGAGCGTATGGTTTAAAATATATGCGTAGCCACTCTCACCGCTAAGACTTATGCTCTTATTTCTGAAATAGGCTTATGACCACCCTTGAACTAAATTAATGCTATCAATAATTTTGTTTCAACAAACCAATGTTCATCATGTTCGTTAAATGGATAAATCACAAAGCGAACTGCAAACGAAAACAAAGAGCACAACAACTCCCACAAGTGTACACAATCGTTCGCAAGTTCAGCGCGGATGAACTTCGCTAATAATTCAATAAAAAGCCGCCGCTGCTTTGTGTGAAGACATTGTTAACAATTATCTAATTGAATGTGAGCTATCTTTAGGCACACATTTTTTTTCCTCTTTTGCAAATTCAAATGCTCAGTGTTTGTGCTTGTCTTCTTCCTTTAAAGACAACCAAAGCTGTTATGTATGAGTCAATCGAACAATATAAGCCTGTCAAGCTAATGCCATTTTTAATGCAGATTTGCACGAATGAGACAGATTTATGCCATTTATCTTATATAAATATGTACGGTTGTTGTTGTTGTTGTTGATGTTGTTGATTTGATAATTTGGAAAATTACAAACCGTCTCTAATTGAAATCTACGTTGTATTTTATTCTTTCAGATTTCTATGGAATGTTTATTGTAATGATTCCGGAACACACATTCACAAGCAAGAGTTTGCGAAAGCATTGCAAATTGAGGAAACGTATCAACAGTCAGGGCCGGGCAATGCCAATAGACCAACAATCACCGAACTACAAACCAAATCACAAAGCGTTTTACTGTCACTATTTGGCCATTCCGATCGTGTAAACTTTGAACAGTTCAAACAATGGATTATCAAACATGAACGTGCCACAGTGCTGTCGCGATGGCTTCTGTTGGAGTCATGCGTGAATTTAAGCACAGAATTGGAAACACCAACATTCTACCAGAGTTTAGCCGGCGTTACTCATCTGGAAGAACAGGTACATGGTTTATTGTTGATATCAATTCGAATTGTTCTAAGGCTGAATTCCAAATTACAATCTCCAATTGAAATTTTATTTTGATGAAATTGTCTGACTTTTTAATCTCTTTTTATAGGATATTGGTGACTTGGAAAAAACATTCTGGTCATTAAAAGGATTAGCTAAAACCGGGCAATTGGATTTGGAGTCATTAGCACCATTGATAAGCCCACCGGTACCGTTGTCAGCGTTAAACGGTGTTTTTTCGGCCTTTGATGAAAATCGCGATGGGCACATAGATTTTAAGGAATTATGCTGTGGCGTAAGCGCTGCATGCCGTGGGCCAAATGTAGAAAGAAGCAAATGTACGTAAATCTTTTTCTTTGTCCAATTCAAACCCAATCGAATTTTTTTTTCTTGCCACCTTCCAGTTTGCTTCAAAGTGTTCGATATTGATCGAGACGGTGTGTTGAATGTACAGGAAATATCCGAAATGATCAATATTTTATTGTTTGTCGCCAAAGAAAGTTCGAATTCCACACAAATGAAGAATATGACGTATGTTCAAGTGTTTGAAGAATTACGCGAACGAGCCAATGTTAACAAGACGCTAACAAAAGTAACGGATGCCGTTGTTATTAACAATGCCGATGCCAAAGATTTTACATTTTCATTGGAAGATTTTATGATGTGGAGTGTACAAAGTCCATCAAACTTATTGCAACCATTTATGGATTTATTATTCGATGTTTGCCATGTTGTGCTCGGTCTGAGGCCGCAATGCCGTCACCTGGAAAACAATATAGGTAATTTTGATAAATTTATCCGCATTTTTTCTTCTCTGCAAATGATTTACAATATTGTTGTTGATTCCAGTAAAAGGATGGTTGGCTCGTGAGGTTCGTCGTGGCTATAAAGTGGGCCAATTCTGGTATTTGATATCAGCTGATTGGTGGCAAAACTGGTCACAGTACACGCAATCAATATCATCAACAGTGCCATGTGGATATTGTAAATCCGCCTCAACATATTCAGCGAGTCGTCATTCTAGCTCTGGAATGGGCCGAAATAGTTTGGATGAAGCGGTTGTCTGTGACGAAAGCTTTACATCGAACTCCACCGAGTCAATGGGTGATTTATTATTTACCGGTGATTCAGCAAGCCTAGGTTCGGGAAGTAGTGGAATTTCGGTTAGTGGCCGAAATGGTGTTATGCATCCCGGTCCAATTGATAATTCAAGCTTAGTCGATCAACCCATTTACAAGAATATTCGAACACTGACCGGTGAAGGAGGTCGATTAAAACGAAACAACATACTGTCCGAGCATCGTGAATATGAATTAGTGCCAGATTCATTGTGGAAAGCACTTTCACAGTGGTATCGATGTACGCTGCCGTTGCCGCGTCAAGTGATTCAAGTGCATCCATCAATGCCAGTTGAATTGGAGCTGTATCCATTGAATCTGCGCATTTTAAAGCATCAATCAAATCCACCAGTCGCTCAAACGGTTTCATCATGGGGTGCTGTAGCGGGTAAATATTTATATTTAATAGATTTTTCTGGTTTTATCTGTGGAAGTGACTAATTTTCCTTTTTTTTTATTGATTACAGGCGGTTACGGGGCAGTTACATCGGGTGGAAACTATACTAGCAATGCTGTGCCATCAGTTCTTCAGCCGCCAAAACGCTATTTAGCAAATACAGCCGCTTTCAGTCGTTTGGCCACTGTGAAACAGGTCGGCGAATTTCTGTGCCAACATTTGAAGTTGAAAATGGAGGATGTACGCTTGTGGCATGTTTTCAATATGGAAGATAATGCTTGCTTGTTGGAAGATGATTATATAACGCTACAAGACTTGGCAATTCGTGATAATGATCAAATTCTCTTGGAAGTTCGAAGTAAAGACCTGACATGGCCCGAAGAGCTGGGTTCATTGACCATGTCGCAATCGCAACACGCGGCCCATGAACGACGTGCCACAATTATTTCCGTTCAATCGGTACATGCACCCGGTGCAACTGGATTACACAATTTGGGTAATACGTGTTTCATGAATTCAGCATTACAAGTGCTATTCAACACGCAACCATTGGCCCAGTATTTCCTGCAAAACATGCACATGTATGAGTTGAACACAATGAATAAATTGGGCACAAAAGGACAACTCGCACTGCGATATGCTGAATTACTCAAAGAAGTGTGGACTGCATCAACGCGTTCAGTGGCACCGTTGAAATTGCGATTCTGCATGACAAAGCACGCTCCGCAGGTATGTTAAAGCAACAATTTCGAATAAAAATGAGTGAAAATAATGAAAATGATTTTGGTTTCAGTTTGCTGGCGGCGGACAACATGATTCACAGGTAAATTTTCAACATTTCATCCAATTTTTTGCAGTTCTCAACACTTTTTCTTATTATTTTTTTTTTTTCGCAAATAGGAACTCTTGGAATGGATGCTGGATGGCTTGCACGAGGACTTGAATCGTGTGATGGAGAAACCATACTCAGAGCTGAAAGATTCCAATGGTCGGGCCGACTGTGAGGTAGCAGCTGAAGCATGGGCCCAACATCATGCACGAAATCAAAGTATTGTCATCGATTTATTCTACGGCCAATTGAAATCAAAAGTTAGCTGCTTGACCTGTGGCCACGACTCGGTTCGTTTTGATCCGTTCAGTTTGCTCAGTTTGCCGCTGCCCGTCGAGAATTATACGTATTGTGAAGTTCTTGTGATTCGACTCGATGGATCTGTGCCAATCAAATATGGACTTCGTTTAAACTCCGAATCCAAATACGCCGATTTCAAAGTGGAACTGTCCAAATTGTGTCAATTGGATGCAAAGTTGATGCTAGTGTGTGAGTTGTCGAATTCACAGATTCGTTGTTCACTATCCGATACGCAAAAGCTCAAAGTAACAACCGCAACCGAACTGTTTGTGTATGAAATACCAAAAGGTGATTTCTGGAAGCCACGCGTCAACACCGAGCAAATCTTGAACATTGGCCAAGGACTCAAGGATATTCAACGAAATCAAGGTATAATATCATCCACATTCATAAATTTGGACACCGTATTCAATATGATTTTGCATCAAACAGCCCTTCAATCACTGTCAACGGATAATCAATTAACGCATACATCAATTTCGTCGACCACATCCGATGACATTCAATTGATTGCATCGAATGATTTGAATGCTCAAAAGATGGCACCGTACGATGCAAATGCGGTTGCGGTGACCAGTCGAACATCGAAGGTAAGCCGGTGCTTTGGAAACACTCTCTGCATGCCACAGAATCTGTTGTGCTTTAAGGTACGGTTAAGTACTAATTTTTGTATTTTAGTTATTAATTTACGCCACACATTACACAAAAAAAAACAAAATTTACATTTTTGACCCCTATTCAATTGACCCCATTTTCACGATTCGCAAACATTACCAAGAAAATGTTCCATTGAAGAAGAAAAAAGAAAATCAAAAACAAGAAATAGGCGGACAAATCATGTCATTGTCACACAAGTATCGCAAGTGATATGGTTGCAATGTGGCAAAATTGCCATCTCAACACATCCATTATTGTTATTACGCAAAAAAAAGTAATAATAACAGAAGTACAAATTTGTTGTACATCATTTTCTGTGCCATGCAAAACATCCCTTTCTCTGATTTCGAATTTAGAATTCAGTTGTCAAAATAAATAGGAAAAAGTGAAACAATTTTTTTTTATTTAGACCAAAATAATCTCTGTATTGAAATTGTAGTTTTGTTGGTTACTATTTCTATATTAAAATATCATTCTGGCTTGTTAATCGTAGTAGAACAAAAAAAAACATAGTGTAGTTCATAGTTCGTTGCACGATTGATGTTGCCTGACTGACTGCTCATTTAAATTTTATTTTCATCGTAGCTAATTTTAGACACTTTTGTAGCTGTAATCGTCCATTTTTGCACCGTAGTTTAGTAGTTTGAATTTATTGTCAACACAGTTTCGTTTAATGATTGGCACCAAGTAGTTTCATTCAGGTTATGTGTAATTAAATTTGCATTTTGTGTCGGTCACATGACGAGATTTTCGATTAAAATCGCAGGAGATACGGACTTATTTCGAAACGATAAGATCGCAATTAAATGTGCATCATTCTGTGTTCATTCAAATTCATCGTTCAACAACACTCCTTGACATTCATCATTTTCAACAATGCTCATAACAAAGCAAACCTAATGCAGGTTCCAGTGAAATTGCATGCGCGCAAAGCACTAACACCGACATCCATCAATCATCAACAAAAACAACACGTCATTCTAATATCAAATTCATATCACCACGAAACATACACAAGTTCATTTCACGTTTAATAAACAACTACAAGATTTATAGAGATTTTTTCAACATTCGTCTCCTTCAAAGTTTTAACTTTTGGCCAAATAATATTCATTATGATTCCAAAACATATCCGAATTACCCACTGAAATACTATTCTTTTAGAAAAGAAATGGGAACCGAACATTTTTGTGTGTTTTTGCAATTAGCTTTCGATTGAATTTTTGCTAGAAAACAACCACAACAAAATATCAAGGGATTTGGCAACAAACTCCTTCAATAGCTTTGCGAGCAGTATATATTTTCAAATTTAATTTTCATTCAATTTTGCGTTCAATTTCTCCAACGTGTGTTTGAGCTTCATGCAAATTATTACGATGTTTGAGTTTTATTTGTGTAAATAGCTTGAATTGAATTTTTCTTGGTAGTGGTTATTCCTCCCCATAGAATAATGCATCTAATTGAACTTTGAACCGAGTTTCATAATGAAGAGAACTAAACAATCTAATGTATCGAACGGGTTCAGCGTTTAATTGGGACTAAAACAATGTCACATTAATTTGCAATCGTTTTGTTTCGACAATCAATTTTTTACAATCTTTTTCGATTTATTTTTTGTGTGTGTGTGTGTGGAAATTCTTATCAACATACAGCATAGTGGACACGCTGACTTAAGTACAAGCCCCGATACGACATTTACGCATGCAACGTACTCATGCCATCGCAAATTGAGTACGGTCACGAACCTACTGCCCGAATTCAATTCAGCTGGAAGTAGTTTGGATGAAATGAATGGTGGCGGCGGCGGTCATAGCCATGGCCATGGTGGCATCAACAATGCTGAAAGACCAGTTGATGAAGCCGTTGATAATAATGAGAAGGATATGAAGGCAACTAGAACTCAAGCAAAATGTGATAGTCAAAGTCAACGAGACACAAAAGCGTTGGCAACAAAACAGGATTCATTAGGTCATACGGAGAATAATCGCAATAATATAAAACTGAGTAATGCGGATAATACGAATAGAAAAGCGGGCGGCTTTTTAATTGCTGTGCATAGGAAATTAAGTCGACAAGATACGTATTTCTTATCGTATCACAAGACTCGACCAAGTCTATTTGGTGTACCATTACTTATCCCATGCTATGAAGACGGATCGAATAAAGATCTGTATTGTGCGGTTTGGGTACAAGTAGCCCGATTGCTTAGCCCACTGCCGTCAACACCACCCGATCAAGCTAACCATGCTACGGATTGGTAAGTGAATTTTTCTTTGTGATTGGAAACGAGAGAAGAAAAAAACTAACATTTGGCTCACATTTTATAGTGATGACAGTTTGGGCTATGAATTTCCCTTCATACTGAGAGCCGTAAGCGATGGCGGTCGATTCTGTGCATTGTGTCCATGGTCGAAATTCTGTCGTGGTTGTGAAATTCAATGCAACGATCTACCGCTCTTTGAAGGAATGTTTCCTTCATCAAGTAAGTTGGTTTTCCATCAGAAAAAGACACGATTTTGAGTTCTTTTTCTTTCTCATCTGTTCATCATCTATTTCGAATTTAATCTGCATATCTTAACATCCTACGTGTACTCCATTATAGATACTCCCTCGCCGATGTTGGACAAAAATCAATTGGCGACACAATACCACGTAAAACCGAATCATATATTTGGCGATGGACTCAATCCGGGATCAATACAAATTGCAATCGATTGGGACCCAACTGCATTACATTTACGCTATCAAAGCACACGAGAACGAGTAAGTTTCAGACAGATTTCTCAGAACTTTTTACATTGCATTTTCTTTAAAGCGGTCGGCTTCCTACGGCCAAAGTACTCGTTCTTAAAATAATTTCTTCCATTTGTTTTTGAAATTTTTTAGATTTGGACGGAGCATGAATCAGTGGATATTTGCAGGAAGCAGCAAACCGAACCAGTCGATCTGGATCATTGTCTGCGAGCATTTACGACGGAGGAGAAACTAGAAGAACACTATCACTGCAGTCATTGTAAGGGCAGACAGCCGGCAACGAAGAAGCTACAAATCTGGAAATTGCCGCCAATTTTGATTGTGCACTTGAAGCGATTCAATTTTGTCAACAACAAATGGGTGAAATCGCAGAAAGTGGTAAATTTCCCGTTCAAGAATTTCGATCCAACGCCATACCTAGCATCAGTACCACAAGAGACTATACTACGTCACAAGGAGCTTATTGAACATAGCCATACCGGATTAACAAATGGATTTTCAAACAGTAACAGCAATATCGATGTCGATAGTTCACTCAGTGAGATGACACCGGAACACTCGATCATGTCGTACAGTATTAAGGAGGTCGATACACTCGATGTTGAAAGTACTGCCGCCGATTTGAATAGCGAAACAATCAACGATATCACCGCCAAACCGGATGAAATACAAATTCTGAATGATGGTCGGGCCGAGACAAACGCAAGCAACACTAAAACGAACAAGCTCAACACTCAACCGGATGTCAAAGTCGACCAAAGTCCGAGCACAAAAATGTCATCAACCACACATTCGTCGAGGCGTTCCACATCGAATAATGCCGCAATCAAAATGCGAAAACGTCTTGTATCGACGAGCCTAACCAAGTCACCAGTCATTGATGGTGCTTTCGTGGACTATCATCAGCATAATCTAGACAACGGCCAAGATCCATTCGATTTGAAGTATAAACTCTATGCAGTTGTGGTAAGTGCATGCACCTTTTGGTCCTATCTTCAACCGTTCAAATTCACAATCGTTTTTTTTTGTCGTTATTTCAGTCACATTCCGGAATGCTTAATGGTGGTCATTACATTTCATACGCTTCAAATCCAAATAACTCATGGTATTGTTACAATGACAGTTCGTGTCGTGAAATATCACAGCAACAGCCAAATATTGATCCTAGTTCCGCCTATTTACTATTTTATGAGCGTCAAGGATTGAATTATTCGCCGTATTTGCCAAACGTTGACGATAAAATGGTACCAATCAATAGTGCCCTTGAATTCGATGACAGCGATAATGATTTACGAAAAATGTGCGTCATATCGTAAAGGATTGTAGTTTGGATTTCGTTCACTTTTTTCATTTCCAACCGATTTTTCTTTTGTATTTTTTGCGCGATGCGAATGAACCATTTGCCTTAGCCGGGCTCAGACCAAGTGACATCAAACAAGCTATTTTCTGTTTGCCATGAATTATTGTAAATTCTCAATATTTATGAACCGAATTCAAAATACTTCGAACAAAAAGAAACAATCTTAACCGAAAAAACATTTATTCGAATCGTAAGGAAATAATTCGAAACAGAAAAAAGAAACCGTTTTTTTTCCGCTTAATTTTTCACCCCAAAAAATCTCATTTTGAGGCGATGATGAACAATTTTATTGAAGAAGAAGAAGAAAAACAACTCACACGTAACGTTCAAAAACAAAATACTTCTTGTTTATTATAAAAAGTAAATTTACAAATAAAAAGAACTATTGTTTCACTGAAAAATACTCGTTGTTTCGTGTTTGATTTTTTCATTTTGTAAACGATTCAAAATGTCGAAGAGAAATTCGTCGATGGTTTTGTACTGTAGCAATTTCACCCATTCGGTGGAGTTTAAACGTATTGGAGTCACCCTTGGATGTGAGGATGTCACGTCGGCAGTGCAAGGAGTAACTATGGCAACTCTGTGGAATAAAAATGGTAAAGATTAGTGTTAAAATCCACATCACAACTTGAATGCATCACAAAAAGTTTGTTTATGTTGTAATAAAGGTTAATTTCAAGAAAACTCACAAACATTGATCATCATCACATTGAATCGAGCTCAATGAATTCATTTCGGTGTCTGCAAAAGGTACGAATCGTTTGGAATGAACGTCTATTTTCATCAGCAATGGGATAACGTCACTATCATTGGCATGCATCAACAAACGGATATGTTGGCCCGAATTTTTTTTTCAAATCAGGTAACTAATTGCAAAGTGGTGCGGCATTAACGAGTTTATTCATATGCAGATTCTCTAAATCTTGCATGCTGCTCTTATCAAATGACTCAAAATATGACCTCCGCTTCAAAATCTCCTGAATTAAGGGTTCATGATAAATTCCAAGGCTATTCAGTCGAAGTGCAAATTTCGGCCAATTCAATCGAATGTCCAACTGTTGATGGAAATTCATCGTTGCCAAAGTGGGAAGTAGATCTTCGAAAAGTGGCGGTCTGTAATTGGCCACATCACATGCTATACAAATTTTCATCGAATTTCGAACGAAATTCTCCTTCACCGCTGTGTCACTCAAATTCCTAAGCAAAAAGTCGATCAGTTGTTTACTACTGAATTCCTAAAATTGAACCAAGTTTCAATTAAGCAAATTCGTATTGTTTTTAGTCATTCTTGCGTGGACTGAAAATCAATGAATCATTTTAACTTGAATGAAAATTCTTACCAGTCGATTGAATTGCTGTTGAATGATGAAGCATTTTTCCAAATCACCATTTTCAATGACAACCCGTGCACATTTCTCAATTAGCCGCGTATCTCTATACAGGCGATTTAGTGTTTGAATTCTTTTATTCAAAAACGTCAGAACCGTCTCAACCATTCGAATTGTAACATTGCTTGTTGACCAAACATCAAATGCCTTATCTAATACTGGTTGAAAATATTCGCATTTATCGCCAAAGTGTGATAGAGTTATGATAATTTTCATTGACTCATTCGCGGTAAAAATATCGATTTCTCGTTTGATTGCACAATTCCGTATGTTTTCAAAAGCCTCATCAATTATTTTTTGGCGATTTCTTCCCTGTTCAAATTGGAAACAAACAAGTTGTCACTCGATTCTTGGATTATGACTGAAAGATTGTTATTCGGTTAAAACTTACGATGAACTGTAACATTCTTCGGACTTTGACGAAATAATTGAATTCGACTGGAAATTGACTCGTTTTAGCATTGAATCGATCGATTAAAGTGTGATGCAATTCCCTAGCCAGTGGATTCGTTTGCTTCGATACGAAAAACGAATCCATTACCATAATGTCATTGAGTGACATACTATAAACGTTATCCAATAACGAAGACAGAATTGTATCGTAAACATCATCATTCGTTGGCACGGACAGTGTTTGAATTGCCTTGAGAATATCAAATTGGTCGGTGGTTTTAAAATATGGCATTGAAACTTTCATTGCCCGACGAAGAATGGCAAAATTCGTATGCTCAACAATATTAAATGATGCTGTTGAAGATGATGATATTGCTCGTGACGCGTCACCTAATTGTCGCCATATATTCAACGTATCGTCCGGGCTAAGCGCTTCCGATTCGGGTGGCACTGTGTTCATGATTTCTTCCAATGGATTCATCATATAATTGAAATTTCTGTGAATACTTTTATTCCGTGTTCCATTGTTTGTAACCACATTATTTACACCTGTTAAAAATGGAAACAATTGAGTTTTTACTCCAGAATGTTACTCAATGAAAGATTGTTACTCGCTTTGAGTGAAAACTCACAATACTTTCTGTGCAGCGGGAATGCCAACCACTTTGTTGAATTGAATTTGTAGAGCAACGATGAAAATGATGGACGCATTTTGTTTAATGTTGACGAAACACCAACTTTCCTTATGTAATATGAATAGAATGAGTTGAGGTTAGGATTTCACTTATTCAAATATTTTAACCATTATCACGACAATTACATTCAATTACTTGTGAAGGATTTCAATCTTTCATGAATTTTTAAATACAGAAAACTCATTAGTCAACAGCTGACTGATTCATTTAACTTCACACACATTTCACCGCTGTTTACGGCTAAATGTCAAAGCCTTTACGTCTATCAGCTGTTGACAGCGTATCTGTCAAACCGTTCAGTTCTCATACACTTTTAAGCACAACCGAGACAGTGAAAAGGCGCGAATACGATTCAGTTTTGACAGCAAAGTAGTAAGCAATGCTAAGTTAGCATCGGAGCACAACAAAGAACCGGTTGGTGAAGTTTATTTTCACAAATGATGAAATCATAACGCTGTTCTTAGATAGCACAAATGAACAAATCAACATGGACACATACTTAAAAGAGCACTACTACGATCAAATCATAAATTTGCTGAATGAACCGAACGATCGAACGCATGCATCGCTACAAGTTGAGTAAGTGTTTAGACTTCTTTTTTTTTCCGGCATTGGTATTGGAGTGTAAACAGAAACAATATGATTTTCATTTGACAGCTTGAGTTTGCTACAGCAACACAATTTCAACTGGTTGCAAGCAATTTTGTTGTGCGTTTACGATGAACAACCGAAATGGAATGCTGCATTGTTTACAGCACAACGGTCAATTGCATCCGAACAGGAGGCTTTTCTAGAGGAAGGCTATCAAATTAAATCGGTTTGTCATGTACGATTCATCCATTTGCCAGCATCCGATCGACGATTCAAACTCCCATTCCCGAATAATGATCAAGTTGGACTGTTTCGAGATGTCAAAGGAACGGTGGTGCGAATGTCGCAAGTCAAATTGCTTGAAATAAAACGTGATTTTATTTGTTCGAAATGTGGAACGTTGATTGAAATTGAAGCCGACTACACGCTCATGTATCGGTTTGATGTACCGAAAAATTGTACAAAATCCGATTGCAAAGGGAATATACATCAAAAAGATTCAGAGCCGAATCCAAAGAATTGCGTCAACTATCAAGAATTGAAAATTCAGGCAAGTCAACGAAAATATGTTCCGTGTTCGTTTAGGCATGGGCCTTTTAAATCTGTATTTGAATTTCATAACCTAGAAAACAATATTATTTTTTTCAGGAGGCGCTCAGCGAAAAGAATATACCGCCAACTTTGGTCGTAACACTCGATGCAGATTTGGTTGATTGCTGTCAGCCCGGTGATTGTGTTACGATTTGGTAAGGACATTTTTTGGATATTAAAATCTTTTTTTCCCGTTTTTAACGTTCCATTCATCTCGTCTGCAACAGTGGAACAGTGGAGCGTCGATGGATATCTTTCAATGAAACAAAAACGGAAGCCATGATTTCAATGCGTGCGGTTAGTTTGGTTCGAGAACAGAATAACTTGACCGTCGAGGACAGTTCTCTGTCGGAACAAATGATGACAATCAAAGCGGACTGGTTGGAACATTTGAACAAGCACGGTGAGCTCGGAATGCGAGATATTATTCTGAAATCGATTTGCCCGGATGTATACGGAATGTATCCAGTGAAACTAGCACTTGTCTTGGCTATATGCAGTGGAAATGAGATCAGCGGCAACAAATCGTATGATGGATTGCATCAAAGAGGTCAATCGCATGTATTGATGGTTGGTGATCCCGGTTTGGCCAAGTCCAAGCTACTGCTAAGCGCAGTTTCAATCGCACCAAGAGCCGTACATACAACGGGAATGGGATGTTCGTCCGCTGGTTTGACTGCAGCTGCCATTAAGGTTTTGATTTCTTGCAATTGAATTTGAATTTAATCAAAATCAACTGAAACTAACGAACCAATTTTCCACATTTTAGGAAGACGGTGAGTGGGTGCTTGAGGCTGGAGCCCTAGTGCTGGCCGACGGTGGCATTTGCTGCATTGATGAATTCAATTTGATCAGAGATTCAGATCGGTCTTCTATTCACGAGGCGATGGAGCAGCAAACCATCAGTATGGCGAAGGCGGGCATCGTGTGCAAGTTGAATACACGTTGCGCCATTTTGGCTGCGGCCAATCCGAAAAATTTACACGCTATGAGCGAACCAGAAGGCACCAGTTCAATAAACATTGGCATCGCTACACCTTTGTTGAGCAGATTCGATTTGGTGTTCATATTGAAAGACGAACGGATCCCCGAATGGGACGATGCCATCGCTGATCATTTGCTCGCTCAAGTGACGACCGGCTTTCAAGAACTCATCGTTCAGCAGGATGCAGAACTTTGGAATGCTCAAAAGTTGCAGACACACTTTGCTGCCGTGTGTCAAGTTCAACCCAAAATGACACCGATTGCAAGCGCCATCTTGGGTGCATATTATCGGAAATGCCGTTCAGATCAAAATCGCGATCAAGGCAGAACAACCGTTCGTTTGCTCGACAGTTTGAATCGTTTGGCTGAGGCACATGCTCGGATTTTGTTTCGTGAGGAAGTGACTGTGATTGATGCGATAGTAACAATTCGTTTGATGGAATCAACATTCGGTTTTGGACGAATTGTAAAGCCATATGATGTGATTAAAGAACCGCTGCCACTTGGCCCAGAAGCCGATGAAATTAAATGCATATTGGAGATATTGGAAATAGATGACCAATCATTCTCTAAAGAAGATGTGAAGAACCCCACTCAAAAATCTACTGGTCAAGACAGTGGAATTTCGTCACAAAAAGTTTCAAAGCCAATTCAATCCACCCAGACTACACTTCAACCTATCCAAAATACACTTCAATCCACCCAGAATACTCTCAGTCAACCAAATTCCAGTCAGAATCAACATGTTCAAGAGAACAAAACGCAAAATCAGACTCAAAAGCCCACAACTCAAACTGTGGCCAAATCAAATACGCCAAGCTTACGAACGTTGTCACAATCGCAGCGACTAAGACTGCCTGGTGGTTCATCTCAACTTAAACAGTCAAAACCTCAAAATACTCAAGCATCAAATTTTCAAGCCGTTGTCGATATGAATCCTGACGAATTGGATGAATTGCTTTCGTTTGATGGTGAGGCTTTTGATCTTGAAAAGAAACTTTTGCCATGTTTTAATTGAGTTGTTTCGATCTTTACAGTGAAACCAGCAAAAACGCAAGAAAAGTGTCAACCAACGACATCAACTCAGAGGGAAGACAACAATCAACATGCTATGTCGGATGATGCGGACATACTTCTATCGCAGGCATTGGATGACCTTGAAAATTCTTCAATTGGCGAACCAAAGTCAAAAATGCCAAGGCTTGAATTCAAGCCACTAGCCCGACGAACGTTGAGTTTGGGCCGATTCAAATGTGCCATTTCTAAAAGCAAACAAAGTGCGAGTCCATCTGGCGAATCATCAACATCTGTTGCCTCTATACCATCTCAGCATCAATTTCAAACGCTGAACGAATCGGTAAAAAATCGAATCCTTTGCACTCCAAGTGACGATGAAAACTCTCAAAATGCGCCATTGAACCGAAAATTGCCTACCAAAACGTTGAACCTGTTGAACAAATTCAGATTCAAAGAGAATCTCAACAAAAACCAACCACTACAACAGCAAAATGTTCAGCAACACAAATCTGATGGATCGCAACCCGAAAATGATAGTGCATACGATACAATGTCCTTTGACTCGAGTGCGTCAAGCACTGTTTCGGCTTCATGCAGAAAGACGGGAAAGACACCAGTCTTATTTGCGCCAAGTGGCGAAACGCAAAACAAAATGGACGAAGATGACCTTAGCTTCTTAGATACACTTAAATTTACATAGATCACATCGCGATTCTAATGCATACATTCCAAGCGACGCTTATATAGCATATGAATAACATTATTATTATGAAAAATATTTTCTAACTTGGAAATTCTGAGATATTAGCATTTGAGAAAAAGAAATTAGATTTATATATATTGAAGAGCTCTTTTTTTCTGTAAACTTTCAGACACAAATTCAAAACAAGTTTTGCCACTTTGATTAGGCATAAGTGACTAACTAAGATCGTTTAGACGGACGTTTAGAATTAATCTCATCTTATATGAATATTTTGTTCAATTTAACAAATGCAATTTATTAATAAAACACATGCAAACTTGAAATGGAATCTGTTTGTTCTGTCTTGTTGCATTATTCCAAGGAAAATCTGTCGGCGCAATTTTCTAGCTGATTTTTTTCCTCTTTAGTTACATCTGATAGGATGTCATTTAGAGAGCAAATGATAAGAAGTGCATTGTGTATAAATTGTTGAATTAAAATTAAATTAGAAATTAATTGAGTGTACTCTTAACAATCTTACCAAATGTGCGGTTGCAGTGCATGGCACGTGTGATGAAAGCAAAAGAGAAATGATTCCGAATCCATTTTTATTAAGTGATTATAAATTCATTTATTTTAATAAAATTTTGGTTTCTGATGTATTCAAAAAAAAGAAAAGAAATATCAATTTTCATCTCTCGACAAATGTGTGTGTATGAATTTTGATTGGTTTTCCCAGAAAACACGCATCAAAGCCAAACATTTAAATGATGGTGAATATCAAACTATAGAAAATAAATTTAAAAAAAGGAAGAAATGCATTTAGTTAAACAATGAGTTGTTAATTTCGAGGAGAGAAGTGAATCGGTTTTTGGTTGTCAAATGCAAGCATCGATTTGAAAAGGCAAAACAACAAAAAACTAACAAATTTCATGGTTTTCTCTTTTTTTTCAATCGTACAAATACATATGGTTTTTTTTTTATTGAAGAGAACAAATAAGTTGTTTCTATCGATTGTATGTGATTCGTTAACGAAAAACGGATTCAAAGAAGAAAAAAAGTGATAATGATGAATTCTAAATTAAGCGTAAAATTGCGCATTACATTTCATTTGAGCAACAATGCGTCACATGTCTTTACTCTTCATTGAATTTAACCTCGTTTAGATAATATAAAGTTGGTCTTTTATTTTCATACACTTTTCCACCGTCCTGCTGCTACGGTCCATACTCTTCACTTATAAGTAAGTTTGTTTTATATGGTAGTTTTACAATAAAAAAAAGAAGAAATAAAAGAAACACGTGAATGTGTGCAATTTGAGTGTTGAGTGTTGAGTTTTGTTCATCTCTGTTCAAATCAATAATTTGATGTGGCTTTTGTCCGCACTTTTGCACAAATAATTACACTTTGGGCTTCTTTTACTTCTCTCTCTTCTCGATCGATAATAGTTGATATTTATAAAGCGGATGGCTATTTATGCCACCGCCACTATAAATTGAAATTTGATTTCAATGCAATAATTTTGCTTTGTTGTTTGTTTGTTTTTTTGTTTGTTTGTTGGTTTAGAAAATGGCTAAATAGGTTTCAAAGTAGTTGGTTAAATATTTGTTGTTGTTGTTGGTTTTTTTTCTCTTTTTGTGTTGCGTTCATCATCATTATTCTAGCCACACACACACGCGCGCATAGATTGGTTGGAACCGGGAATATGCCTCAGCAAGGCCGCTCTAGTCACAGTCAAATTCAACATTTCCATCGTCATCGCGTCGAGATGAACTGCTGCGATCGCTCGGTTGTTGCGACGATGAATCGGACTGCGACTGATCGGGATGTGATTGATCTTGCAGATGACTAGATATAAATGATATTATGTTTCCATCGGGGCCCTCTGACGACACGCTACTCAATGATTCGCTGTCTCCTTGATTGAAAAAATTGAATGTTGTTCGGTATACATTGCCTGCTTGGAACGAAACATCAAAACAGTGTGAAAATCCAAGACTCGTATAAATTGCATCACAAATGATATGAATGAAGATGAAAATCGTCGATTTGCGATCAATTTACCTATTCTATTTGAAATATTCGTTAAACCAGGCATTGCAGTGGATTGTTGATCTTCGCTTGCATCTTTGTCTACGGCCTTTCGGCAAACTGGACATGTGCCGTGTAGTTCAAGCCATGGAACAATACAATTCTCGTGGTATATGTGCTAAAAATGTCAATAGAAAACCAATAATATTGAATATTTTACAATAAAATTGCGGTTTTATCGTTAATATTTAATCGATGTAATTTTTTTTAATGGGTTTTTCAATAGTAATTACCGTGCACGGTAGCTTTCGAACTGTTTCCATTCGTTGAAAATCGTCCCAGCATACGGAGCATTGCATCTTTTGATCGACCTGTTCGTCACTGATTTCAATACGCGGAATATCTTGAATTTTTTCCTTTGCAAGCGGTGGTGGTCCTGAATTTTCCATTTGATTTAACATTTGCGTAATCACAGTATCTAAACCTTCGCGTCCCCATGCATAGTCACCTGGATTGCCCATGAAAAACATTGGCCCCGATCCACCAGCCACATTGTTTGCAGCACCACCCTACGGAAAACGGGAAATGAACAGTTAGCCAACACGGTTTATAAGGAATTCATTGGATTATTTGTAAAAAAAAAGAAACAAACGTTGATTTACCGAAATGGATATCAAAAATTCTTGCATGATATTTTCAAAGTTTGGCATATCTTGTGCACGACGATTCCGGACGCGTCTTGGCCGTTGGCCACCTAATGCAAATAAAAACAAAAACGATTCCGATTAATGACATGTAAACACCAAATGATAGTATGTATTGTGAAGCAAATGGAAACATACTTGCAGAGCTACCATCTTGATTTGATGATTGATCGCTGTCATCGTCCATGGATCTGAGACCGCCTCCAATGGAGGACATCAATAACGAAGAGATTCGTTCGTTTAGCCGGTGATTATCGAATTCGCCAATTTCAACGTCGTCATTACTGCTTGTGCTGCGACTTCGGTCATTTGAACCGTTCGGTGGTAGCTCTTCAATGAATCCGCCAGCACACAATGGACATGTGTATTCCTGTGTATGCAAAAACAAAACAAGCACACCAATTCAAATAAAAAACGCTAAATTTCACAATAACAATTCATCTGCTTTGCATTAGTCATCACATTCCCATTGCTTTGACACGGAAACTTTTTTGTTCGTTCTTTTTTTTTCTGCTAAATTTGCAAGTTAACTACTACTCACCGTAGACACATTTTCGATTTCCACATTACATTTGTGACAATAAAACCTTTGCGGTGGTTGTGCAACAACACTTTCAGCCATTTTTCACGGCACTGAATTTGGTGTGCAATTTGTGACTCAAAACAACAAGATCAAAAATTGAAGACAAAAAAAAAACTACTACACTAGTCGTACACAAATTTTTCACTAATTTAGTATTGAATTTTTTTTCCCTTTGCGTAGAGTCTGCACCGTAAAACTTCTCCGTTTCTGTTTATGCCGCGCGTTGTTTTTCACCGTTGCGCGATATTCTTGGTTTTATTTGGAGTTGGGCTGTCAATCAAATCATCTCGATTTGCATCTTTAAACCAATTTTTCCAAATCTGTGAATTTCAATAGTTGGCCTTACACAAATGGGAATTTTCACACTTGTTTTAATTTCTTGTACGCTGTTGCTATTACTATTCTATGACTCTGTAGTGACAAAAGAGGAGAGAAAGAAAGAGAGAAAGAAAAAACCTCACGACTGACATGGACGATATTTCAGTGTGTATACATATTTAGAATATTGCACCAATACTTTTACAACAACTGTCAAATGCTTCGCTTTTTATGTTCGACTCTTCACTCGCTACATACACACACCATTGCAACAGCACTGCTGCTCAGCTTCAACTTTACACAGTTGGCCACTGTGACATGAGTCAGAAGTTACGTTTTTAGTACAAGATCGTTTTTAAATTGAAACCATTTCCCATTTTCCGGTGCAATCGATTGTGTTCAAGTGGTTTCGGTTTTATTTAGTAGGTTTATTTAGGAATTTTGTTTTCAATTTAAATGGCGACTACGACGAACTACAGATTAATGAAAGGTCAATGCGGTTTGGAAGAAACAAAATTCCTTCATTTTTTATCGCTAGATGGCACTGTCCCTAGTCGAATAATCAATTTATTCCTAAAAACTCTTCTTTTCTTCAAAATTGAAAAAAAAAATCTACAATTCATTTCCAATTGGATACAAATCCATTAGTGCTCATATCAAAAATGCCCAATATTTTTATTTCAGCCACACAAAAATGGACATTTTAATCCTCAACAGCGAAATTTAGAACGTTGTTTCGATTTACGTTCGACACTGACAAAAAAAAACTCGCTCATCTGTCATTTGCGCGCGGCTCGCTATTTGCCAGCATCGTTCATGTGGTGTCAACTGTCTACAGTCGCTCTTATCGCTTTAAAGGAAGAAGACGGAATAAAAAAAACAACAACACACTCACACAAAGTTCTTACGTTTATAAATATTTCTTTTTTTTTACGCAATCACAAAAACTTTTACAACATTTGGAAAATTAGTAAAAAATTGTACGTAATTGGATGATTGAATGGAAAATTTGGTCAAAAGAATTTAGCAAAAATTTGGTGTGCATCAACAGAGTTTTTATTTCATTTTGCATTTTGAAACAGCTGAACTTTTTTTTTCCCCGTCGAAAGAATCGTGATTTATTATTGGGTGATATAAATTATGAGATGACAAGTGAGGAAAAAGTTCAAAAGGCAATGTAGTGCACGAGAAATGGAGCAAGCGAAAAACAAAACAAATGATTAGTAGTGATGTATTTTTTTTTCGTTGGTCTTACAAAGACGTCATTTCGTTTTTCGTATTGTGCAAACTTGATTTTTCCAACTTCAAGAAAGTCGCCAGCAAAACGATTGAATCGAAAGGGAATAAACGTCTTTTTTTCTAATGCAAAAAGCCGTGTGTGTGTCTCTCTCTCTCTCTCTGTGTGTGTACAAATGAATGAGTGAAATGGAATTTTTTTTTATGCAATCAATTCGTTGGGTCGATGCGTAGTGCGAACTTAAGATTCAGTTCAGGATTGAACACAGTGGTTCTGGATGAAAATTTTCACGTTTAGCAAAAGTGTCAACAAAAACTTGTTATTGGCAGCGTGTTGCGTCAGAAACAACAAAGAAAAGTTACTTTCATTTTGTTTCCAAAAGTTGTAGCGTAAATAAAGCACCATCGCAAGACCTTGAATTTGGTTTATTGTATTACAAACGCACACGTACATAGCCAAAGAACGTTAAACTGTACCAAATTAACACCACCACCAACAACAAAAACAATGAATATGAATTTATAGCCTGAACGAATCAAGAATTAGAGAAAAGAACTTGCTTTGTTGTTGATGGTTTTTTCTCTTTCTTCTTTTCGAGTACAATCACTTTTCGGGATTTATTCATGATTCATGATGAATACGAGAAAAATAATACCATCAAACCAAATAGAAAAATTTGCGATGAGTTCAGTGCTAAAGCGGAATCAATGTTCGAATTCAAATCAGAATAAAATACGAATTAAAAAGCTAAAATTATAATCAAGACTTGGTCAAATGAGAGAGTGAGGTAGAGAGAAATGAGAGGAATAAAACAACCCGATCATAATAAACACAAACGCGTCATGATTGCTAAACAGAAAAAATTGTCTATGAGGGTATTCGTCTATTCGAACGCGAATTTTTGGTGCCTTGCGAGTGTGTATGGCAACGCGCCGTATGTGTGTACATAAAAATCTTGTCTGTGTGATGGTAACAATGTGTATCACATAATGTAGAGTCTTGGTTAGAGTCAAACCGAAACGAAACGAAAACGGCCCCATTGACATTATATACTCCATACACATGACACAGTGCATATTGAAATGAAATAAGCAACGGTAGCGTTTTGTTGCTCGATCCCCATTTCTTGATAGTTCCATTTTTTCTCTCATTTCATTCACACAACAATTTCAAATCTCGGGCGCCCATGTTGTATTTACTTTCTGTGTGAAATGATCCATTGTGATAAAACAACAAAAATTTAAGAAACAAACGCTGTGCATAGAAAGTAGCAAGTACGTTTCATTTCGTGCATTTTAACATCAAACAAGTGTTTTACGATAGAAAATCCGTAGAGTGAACGTGTTCACTCTATCCCAAAAATGTTGCTAAAGCGCATCCGTTACCAGCTGATGCATTTATATATTGGGTCAACAAATAATAAATACATAGCGCATAGATTTGCGTGTGTTTGAATCAATGTCAAGCCGTTTTTAATTGAGAATGTGGTTGCGCTGATCACGATACAAAACGACACAGCTCCCAATCAAAACCAATTTAGAAATAAAACGCAATTCAACCATTAAAGAGTTTCAAACCGAGAGAGAGAGGGATAGAGTTGAAAGTAGAAATAAGTAACTTTTTCAGATAGCATTCACGTTGGAGCTACATAAGATGCACTCAATACACCCAATGACTATTCAATAATTTTTCTCTCTATGTGTGTTCCAATTGTTCATCCATTTATATCGGAGTGGATCAATCAGCTGATCTATGAGACACCACAGATAATGATGATGATACGAAAAAAAACAACAATCTGTTCTACGTTCAATTTTTCTCAGTTTTTTTTTTCATCTCGATTCTTTGAAAAAAAATCTCAGTGTGTTTTATGTTCGAATGCGATCCAAAACAGAGTCGAAAACAATTAGAAATAGAAATAGACAAATGGCAAGCACAATAAAAACAAACATCAAAATATTCACAGCGTGACAAGAAGACAAAAAGCGAAATAATGTCAAAGTGAACAGAGTCGGAACAAGTGACTCTAATGAAAAGATCAAACTTGTTTAGAAGTTCAGCAAACGGACGTTGTATTGACATTGTCTATTCCGATAATTCCATTGTATTTTTACTGCGATCGTTTCACGTAGTTGCTGTTAGTCGCAGATAACACGACCGAAGAAAAGAACCACGTCGAAATATTTTCAATTTTATTTATAGCCAATTGATATCGGACACGGCAATGTGTGTGTGCTACACAAGTGTGAAAAGAAAACAAGCAAAACTTGACTCAAATGGCTATTGAAAATAAAACAAAATATTCGAATTCTTGTCAAATGAGAGAAAAAATTATGTAAATAAATATGAAAACAAAAACATGGGCTGATTTTGCTACACCGAGTAATTTGCTGTCGTCTTTGGAGTTCTGTGCTTGCAAATACGTAACGTTGATGATGAGATCATAGCTAGAATGAAAACACCTTGAAATAAATCTATCCGGTGAATTTTCAAAAACAAACTTGCATCTAGTTCATTCACATATTCCATTTGAATGTGGTGGCGCCGAAGTGATCTAAACACATTGGATGTGTATCAGCACATCAGTATTTTTATGTCATTTCAATTCAATTTCTTGTTCAAATCTTGCATGTCGCAAGGACTATTGTGCTGGAAAATCGATGGCTAGACAAAGCCCATTGGCGATTTATCAGTTGATATGTGAAAAAAAAAACATAGTCATAAATAAAAGTTGAGCCAAGTTTGTTACACGCATTGGCCACTGGGCTGTGGAGTCTGAGAGAGATGGCATAAGACATGATTTGCATCGTCAATTGTCATCAATGAGCAGCAGACGGTGACGCATACGTGTACAAAGCACACCTGCGCTCTTTCGATCTGCTGTTTCGGTGGATATTTATGTAATATTTTGACTTAAATCCAAGTCATCCACAATTGGTGTTTCTCTCTCTCTCTTCGATTTGGATTTCGTTCTGCTTTCTTCTCCTTCGCTGTGTTTGAAGCTTCATTAAATTTCGTGCTAAGTGCCGAGATGGTGACAGCCATCGTAGCAGATCGCACATACACTCAAATGATGTGAAGACAAAAAAAAACTTATGAAAACAAAACAAAACAAGAAACAGCACACGATTCGTGTAAAAATCAATTGAAGATCTTGTGATAGTCAGTGGTTTTAATTTTATTTTTTCTCTCCTCTTTTCGCAGCATAAACAACAACAACAGCAACGCTTGACACAATAATAATTTGTGACGTGATAAAATTTTTAAGCCGATTTCTGTTTTTCTCTATTCGAGAGTAATAAGTGTATCAAACAAGAGTAGAAAATAATAATAATAACAACAATATTGCAACCATAAGTGGAATAGAAGTATCTCTGAAGTGAGCGACAACAATCATGCAAAGTGTTAAAAATAGTTTAACTATTGGACGGTTAGCCATCAGTACAAACAAAGGACTCAAATTTCGTAATGGTAAGTCAAAGTTTCGACTGAATGATGAAAAATAAAACCAGAGACTGAAATTTTCCTCTTCTTCTTATTGTGAAATTCAATTTTATTTTGAAAACGCAATGTGACTTTTAAAATTTTTCATCCTGAAATAACTAAAAATTGATCTAGAAATTGTTTCAGGATGAAAAATTTTAAAAGTCACATTGCGTTTTCAAAATAAAATTGAATTTCACAATAAGAAGAAGAGGAAGATCCCGAAAATTTCAGTCTCTGAATAAAACAACGTAGCAACATCAATAGCAACAAATAACATTTGAAAATTTATCAGTGGAAATCGATTCATTCTTCGCATCGTATATACGATCGTACATCGGAAATTCCCTCTCGTTCACCATTTTATAGAAAAAAAAGTGTAAATAATGAAAACGAAACGAATCGAATAAAACATAAGTGATGTTTGACCGCATCAATGATTAAAGTTGAATAAATTGTGTGGTTAAAGCGCAGAGCGCGCACAATAAGAAGCAGAAGAAATGTACAAAAACAGAGAGAGAAAAAAGCAGCTAAAAGCCGAACGACTCACATCGATCTATCGGCATTTGTAAAAATATTGTATTTCTGTTGCTAATTCCTGTGCAATATATTGAGTGCACGCGAGTCGTGCGAGTGAGTGAATGAGTGTGTGACCCGAGAGCGATTATTTATAATTTCTTGCTACCTGCTCAACCAGATTTCAGTACTTCATTCAATTGGTTGCTTCTCTCTATGTTTCTGTTGCGTCTCTATGTGTTATTTTTTTCGTTTTGCTCGTTGGCTTGCTTGCTTCTTCATCTTTTTCTTTCTCTCATCTCGGCATGCTTAGTTCCTCGTTCGTTAGTTCATCCGACCGATCGTCGTTCGAACATATAAACTCCCATGTGAGATCGTAAAAAATTGCTGGGCGTTTAGTGTGGATATCAGATAAAAATATGATGCACGGCGAAATAAAAAAAAGCACATTTTTTTTAGTGGACAAGCTAGTTTAATGCTCTTTGACGTAACCATAATAATGAATGTCTTGGTGCACGATTGGAAGAAGACGACAGAAGACGAAAAAAGAAACCATACCACTGCAAATCGAAGCTTATGGATCGAAAAGCTTATTGCTTCATCTTGCCATTAATTAATTCCAATCTCAAGTCAATTGGTATCTTTGACTAAATTCATGCCGCATTTCGCATTTATGGCTGCATAATCAACACGTAAAATCATTAATAGGATCATATCATAACTTTAATGAATGCAAACGTTTCGCGAATGCATAGTTTCATTTTGTTTAGTTCTTGAGGGGCTTTTCCAAGTATCCTTTGCCAAGTCGTTGAATTATGCGTTTCTTTTTCGTCTTGTTATAGGGAAAAGCGCTTAAAAATTCAAACAAGTTTAACGGAAGTGTGCACAAACGCTTTTCGAGTAGTTTTTCATCGAAATCGTATTGCAAGTCATTCATGAGATCGTGGGCCAACAGGCAAATACATAAAGACAAGCCGTTGCGTGATTCGTTTGGTCGATTGAATGGCTGATGAAAATGGCCAAAAGAAGTGAAAGCCAGACCATTTTTGATGACCTTTTGCTCCTCCGACTTGGAACGAACGCGCCCAAATGCACGAATCTCCACGTGGCACATTGCACTCGCATATTCGCCGAATTAAATTGAGAAACATCGCACATTTCCATGAAACAATTTCATGAACAATAAAAATATTAATTAAATAACGGCACGTCATGATTCACACAAATTTTGTTGTTGTTGTTCGCAAAAAGAGTGACGAAAACAAATTGCTTATGGTACGGTCTAAAAGTTTCTGATCGACCTAAAAAACCAACACAAATACATATTAAAACGTGTGAATTTGTGCGAATGTTGGTAATGATTTGCTTCAATTTTGCCACTTTTACTGAAAGGTGATTCATTGGAAACACCTTAATGGTCATGATGTCCTCTAGAAGTCTTGATTTCTTATCTGTTATTGGTTCGATTGCAAAACGTGTTGCAACGTAAACACGTTTCCAAAATGAAACCGTACAGAAATAAACATTGAAATCATTTGGTAACACAGAAATTTGGTGAGAAGACAAAAAATTGCCGGTTTTGGGAAAATTCGCCGATTTTGGTGGTAGCTTCACTCGTGATTTTGATCCATTCAAAATGATCCAATTTTATTTTGATTTCATTGTTTAATGCCCGGTTTTTCAGGTTTATGTTCAAAAATAAATCTCGAATTGGCATGGGAAAATGATGATTTATGTCGCCAAAACTCGATAGTAAATTGAATCAGTAAAAGGGCCGACATTTAAAAATAGAAGCAAACCGATTCGACCGGAGGCAGACAGCCGGCTTGTCTCTAAACACTTTCGATTTCCTTCGACCAATCTCACAGTTCAGCCGATGGATGTTGGTTTTTATGCAACAGGTTAACCGTTTGCTTTGCATTCAGTACCTTACATAAAGCAAGAGCAAAAAATAAACACATTTTCCGGCAGTACAAAGGCGATTTTCGATTTGTTACAGTTATCAAGCGGAATAATCGAGAAATAGAAACCGGAAATAAAGCGTGCAGATTTTGTAAGAGTGTAAATCGAAAGACGTTTCTCTCTGCCGTTCGCTCGCTAGCGTGCTCTTTCTTTTTTCCTAATCCCAAACAGTATTTTCGAAATTTCTTCTACCGTAGCGTAAAATAGCGCTAGTCATTTTTTTTGCGCTACAGTAATAAACAATGAAACGCTGCCTTTTAAATCGGAACCAAATACACTATTTACGGTGAGCTTGGCATTTATCGATATTGCGCGACATTACTTTCAATATGGTTCGAGCCCATTTGAAAACAATATCGAAACAATTTGGATCATACCCAAGGCAAAACCGTCTGTTCGTTTGCTGTAATTCGTTTAAATGAAATGCATAATTAAAAATCGTCGGATCATTTGCATTCTCCGAACAAGATCCATGAAATCAATTTATAAGTGTAATGCAGAGAGGTCTTTACGAGAGACCGCACAGAGAAAAAAAAAAACAATATATAATAAACAAACTCTCAAAATGAACACATTCGGTGCTGATAGTTGATCCGAGTTTCGAAATTACACACATGCACGAGTTATATTTGTTGCCAAAAAAAATGTATGATGAAAAACAGTTTCGCCGTTGTACAAATAGCCGTGTATTTTTTGGCGTCTGCATACATTGCTTCAATACTGTTTTCAATTTATGTTTTTCGTTGATTGAGCCAAAGTGCGCATAAAAGCTGAAGACGACGACGATGACGACGAAATATACAAAATAACTAAATCAATTTCCAATCAGTTATTGAAACCACAACAGACGTGCAGCATACAAAATCATTAAGTTGCATGCAAAGCAAACCGTACCAAATGTTTTCGATTTCGGCAATCCATATATATCGGTTGTGTATTGGCTTTTTGGTCGGTGTCTACAGTTTTGGTTGTTGTCGTTGTTCATTCGTTTGTGGTGTGGTTGCATCACATCATTTTGAATACGGTATTTTTGTCTACCAATTTCAGCCGTTCAACGTGCCCCGACTTTTGATAATGTGCTTTCGGTTTTTTTTTCTTTCTTCTTTCGTCTAAATGTTTCAACCGGCTATTACATATGCGTAACAATGATTCACTTTGTAATGGAACAACACGAACCATTCGACAGCATCTCCAATGATTACCTCTGGCACTCGCCCCAACCAACCACTCTCTTTCTCTCTTCGTTTGAACCTTTCGGTCGCAAGATGTGAATAAATCAAAGATGGAAGAATTAACAATCAATTTTGAAAAATGGCCAACATTTACGGTTGAAGCTCAAGTGCCGAGGCAAAAAGGCGGGCAATAAATTGTTCACGTTCAAATGCATGTTGCGCAATGCGTAAATGAAACGAAAGTTAGCCGGCAACAATCTGTGGACTGACGCCAAAGGGTATTCAACAGATATGATGGCAAATTGTCCTGAAACACCGAAAATCACATTTTGTCTCATTCGAGAATTTTCATAAATCTTGTAAAGCCGCTAAACTAACAGCTTCAAAATTGCATTATTTGCAGCCAATTCCTTTTGAAACGAAGTCGAATGGCATCGATTTTTACGTCAACATTTCAGATGTTATACACTGCGGTTGGCTGATTTCGTCAGATCACTATTCGACGATGACTGATTGATTTAACTCAATTTCCTAATCCAATGGTTGGTTGAACGGGAAAAAAAACTGCAAATCTAATTGAACTCTCTCATTTTTTGACTGCGCACAAAGATCACATAAGTTAACTTTTTTTTGTGTGGTTGTTGTGTTCGCTATTTCTTGTTGTGCGATGCAATCGGCATCCAGAGCGAGCGAGAGTGAGAAAGAGCGAGACAACGCGATCACAAGCCATATTACATCATGTGAAAGCACTCGTTGTACTTGCATGGTAAAATCATGTCATGTTGAGATAACTATGTGATTTGAATATATTAGATCAAAAGGCAATACGGCGCTCTCAAGGTAGTGACGTGACTTCAACCATTATATTAACGAACGTAATTGGAATTTCATTTAAAAAAAATTCGTGTGTGTGAGCGCCGCGGCTCGTCTCTTTCTCAATCTTCACTCATTTTGGCCAAACATTAATGACAATCGTGACTATGCGAAACTCTATTTATTAGTGCCGAACCTATGCGATTTATTTCATATAATTAACACGATTTTTTTTCACTCTTTCGAACGCTCATTACACACCGCCATACATTCCATTTTTGATTGTATCGACTATAATCTTAATTAGCGAACATTTATGCATTGTTGTGAACTGGATTACATCATTCATTACAGCGGAATGTTAAATAAAAGTGGATAATCGAAAGATGGACAAGTTCTTAAAACGATTCTTGGTTTTTCCAATCAGAATTTGATCGCAAGCTTGACCATTTGTCACACACTCATACGAATGTTCTTTTTGATTCGAAGCAAAAAAGAAAAGAGACCTGAAACACGTTTGACAACAAAAATCCATTGCATATTTCAATTTGGAGGCAATCACTTAGTGGAGATTATAATTATACGGTTGACATTAGAGGAACGCACAATCGAATTACATTAATTTGACAAACGGCGTACACGCACTTCGCCCATTAACAAGCAAATCAACGAATTTGTGTTGCCAACTTTTACTGTCACATTCATTTGAAATGGAAAGGTTTATGCTCGTTTCTATGTGGTTGCCACCACTGTGGTTTAGATCGTTTGTCCATAGGCTACACACAAAAGATATATTATGTTTGCTATCAGAAATGTAGCGATCAAGGTCAAGGTGAAAGTTGATAAACAGAGAGATCGTGTTTTTATTTCTGCTTCTGGTGTATGTGTGAACATTGCGGCTTCTTCTGTTCAAACATTTGCGATGGCTTTTTGGTTTCTGTTGTCATCGAATTGACATTTCTCGATGTGACCGTTAATCGGTTAGTTGTCAAACAGCACCAAAACCCGATACCAGAAACCCGAAATTCAAATTGAAATCTTTCGTTCTGGATTTTTAACAGCGGTATTGCTATTGGGGGTTATACAACTTCGCAGCAAAATCAACGAAATCGTCAAAAGAAACATTCCATATTTCGAGTTATATCATTTTTATGGTCTTCTTTTCGGGACTTTTTGAATCATCCACACGCGAAATAAAATCGTCTTTGTTCGACAGACAATGACTTGCGACGAGATATTTTTCTCTACTTTTCATTCACATTCATAGAAGATCATTCGATCGGAAAGCGAATGCGAACAAATTTCTGATCGGCGCTGAAACAAGAGCGTTTCACAGAATTTCATGGGATTACTTCATGTACGAAACTGAAAATGTACAAAAGAATGAGGCCCAAAATGAAAAGGAAAAAGTTTTGGCATGCTTGTATACGCTATAGCTCGGCCCCACGATTGCATAACAATATTTTGATGTGTATTTGTTTCTCTCTCTCTCTCTCTCTCTCTCTCTCTCTCTCTCTCTCTCTCTCTCT